ATTGCTGGCCTTTGACATGTCTGTGAACGAGCGTGCTCCGCAGTAGTAGAGTATGCGCCACAACTCTTCTGCCACATTCACTGAGGCTTGGCTGAGCTTATCATCGGTATGCCCGGGTATTTAGGTACGAGTTAGGTAGAGGTTGTGATTGCATGGAGGGTATGCAAGCAGTGGTGGCTACCAAGTCGGCTATCATGGGTCAGACGCAGGGATCTTCTTGATGATGATCAGAGAAGAGCGTGTAGCACGGAGATAGGCTACACCATGCACAGGGCTCGGGGTATGTTGGTCAGCGTCGTGGTTTTGGTTGTGGTTCCATTACTTCATCATGGTGGTGCCTGCGTCGCTGGTAAACGGCGTGAGGATTGGTAGATGAATACGTACTGTAGAATCCCTGGATAGGGGAACAATAAACTCGAAGCTGGACAGGAGCAAACAAACAACGGGACAAACGTCAGAAGTGACGATATGCCACCCACGAACATGCAGCGAGTGCGGCAACAGTGGGGAGGAGGGTATGAACGAACGCAACGGCTGTGCGGCCGCCCGAGACCCTGCATGTTCAGGGTGGCGCTAGACCCGCTTATACATAGCCGTGCAGGCATGACAGCCAATCTGTTGTGGGTGCTCGAGGAAAAATGACGTGGGTGGGCACATATGAGGGACTGCGACTGTCAAAAGGTGGGTGCCTTTTCCGCTTTGCTGGGTCTTTGCGGGAGATTTGGTTTCGAGGCTGCAGAACAGATGGAGGGTCTGACGTCGATGGAGGGCTTCTCGTGGAGCAGAGAGGGACTGTGGGCCAGAGGACAGATTTGCCGCCCCTGAAGCTGCGTCATTGGCCACACAGGCACACACACACCTTCTCTGTTTAGTAGAGTAAGCAGAGAGGGTACACACCGTCTTTGCAATTGTGCTTTTTACTTTGTCAGCCCTAGTATGGGCTGGCCAAGAAACAAGAAACAAACCTAGTTACTGTGCAAGGCGCGGTCTGGCATGGCGGAGCAGCAAAGCAAAACAACAGTCGGCTGTCGACACCAGTCAGTAGACGCGGTAGGGCGCTGGTGGGTTGGGAATGGCCAGCCTTTGCCAGGCTGGAGTCCCTGTCATCGCCTCTAATGCAAGCCAGACCCCTAAACACCCTCCTCTCAGCGCCGCCTCTCTACGAGCCCGTCATTGGCGACATCATCATTAACGGCCTGATTCCGACATCGCTAGCCCGCGGCAAGCAGGGATGTCGGGATCGTAGGCCGCTGATTGGCTCTCTTAGCCAGCTAGCGCGCAACAAGTAGGACCCTGTAGATCTGTTCCCCTCCAGCACCCCGGCCTGGCGCAATGCTGAGGGTGGATCTCTGTGCTGAGCCGATAGTCATGGGCAGATCTATTGCCATGCGTGGCCATGATGGACTATCTCGTCCCGTCCGCCCTATTTTGCTCCCTGTGCGTGCGTTTGGGAGATACGAGCAGCTGCTATATAGTTTGCACCCCGCTTGCTTGCTACTCCCCTCATCACCACTATCTATCTACACATCTTCAACCACCACTACTCTCACCATACGTACGCGCTCTGCCACCGCCTTTGACACTTCACCATCAAACAACCATCCATCTCCACCCATCTCAACAATGTCCGCCATCACCGAGACCCGTCAGTCCGTCTACGTCTCCGACGGCTTCTCTGAGCCCATGAGCACTCAACACAACTTTGCCAACAACTTCGACCTCAACGACCCCGAGCGTGCCATGAGCGAATACCAAAGGTACGTCTCTTCAACCCTCACGTGACCCACCAACTCCCACTAACACGCACCAGAATCATGCACGAGCACACCAAGCGCCAGCTCACCACCGCAACCGACTCTGCCCGCCGACGAAGCGGAAGCTCCAACGAATCCGTCAGCTCCACCAGCTCGTAGTCTGGCACATACTCGTCTTTTACGATATTTTTCACATCGGCGTCCGAGATGCAATTTTTCTATAGCTATGCATGGACCAGGGTCACATCTTCTATCCACTTCATGAGGGCGGTTGGCGTTTTTTGCTTTACACTCGGCTTTTGCCAGTGGCATCACGGTTCGGTGTTAGATCGACTTAGCGGATACCTTGTCTAAATGAACCAATTCAGCGTCTCCTTTGTCAGAGACTACTTTGTCTACTATCTTCTCCGCTTTTGAATCGTGCCCAATCATCTTCCCCGGACTTCCAGATTGCATTTCAGGCCACACGCGCACGCAATATACGACGTGGCAGACAAAATCCTCAGGACCCGGTGTAAATTTTGCATGCAGGCCTACCATGTAGAGTCGTGTACGCGTTGTCGACACAGCAGTATGCGTTGTGCGTGTGTCCAGCCAATATGTCCATAGCAAATACCATGTGACTTTTTCCGGCCACCGGTTCCAAGCCACGGCATGCAAGCGCCCCCTAATGGTTGCATCAATTACCCATGTAAAAATTGCCATGTTGTTGAAAATCGCCTGCAGGGTCTTGATTTCCGCATGACCACGGCACCACGGGCAAGTTGGGCTTGCAGCTGCGGCAAGCAAAGTGCCCAAGCGGATACGCTGAGCGCCAACCACCCCAGCCAGGGTCCACTAGCCAGACCCTGTTTCTAAATGCACTAATATCTTGCAGTAGAATCTCAAAAACCTGATAATCTAACTAGAAACACCGTTAAACCGCCGGCGCCGCCCGGGGTATCGCTAGCACTTAGGCAATAGGTACAGGTAAGCTCAGCAACCTGCCGTGCTGGGTTGGGTTGGGGATTTGCATGACAAACACGTGGAAACGGTGGAGATGGCGTACTTTTGGAGGCATGATGGGGGGTATCTAGGTACCTCTTGGGGGGATCCGGTATGCAGACACAACACGTATACTTCTATTACACCGTGTTTAGCCTTCGCTAGCCAAACACTATTGGCTTGGGATGCGCGGCGGCAGTATGTATGCTAGTAGGCCTGCGTACACCGGACATAAGAGCGTTTCCAGCAACGCCTTTTCTTGTAGCGTACCAGCTATGTAAACCAGGCTATCGCGCTTCACTCTTGACAACCCGTCATGCCGAAAATATCGCCGACCCCGACACATCCGAATCTAACGTTTTTGCTTCCCGTCTGCGTGGTCCTGGACGAGAACCTGTTCTTCAACCCCGGCTATCGGCTCTGGCTCGGTGTATATTCCATCCGGCTTTCCTCAACACCGCACCGCAGTGTTGTCAACGCAGTTTTGCCCAACGGATACCCAAACCATTAACCCCCAAGCCTGCTGCTGCATGCAATCTTCCCCGCACATGTCCAACCCCTCGGGCATGCAAGATTGTCCGGGTTGATCCGCCCACGACCCAGGCGTTGCGTGTTCCGCATCATGGAGCCCCCTCACAGACATGTCAAACTGCTTTCAAATCAAAAATTCAACACTACAGGTATTGAATCCGCAATACTGGAATGAGTAAGGCACAAAAGTACCTCCGCCCGCTCTCCACCGAACTGCAACCTTCAGAAACGCGTCACTTGTCCACGCGCCAAGCAGCAGCAATGGGATTGGTCGGATATACACGCGTTCCCCACTAGTGACATCGTCGACATGCGTCAATCCCGAGCATTCATCAACCACTGCCAGGTACTCTTCAATCATTCTCGCAGCCTCTTCCTTCCATCCTGAGAGCTCCTTCCTGACCGTTTCATCGTACACGCGTCGCCTCTCGTTGTTCCCGTGTCGCTACCATCATGCGTTCCTCGTTTGCTCTTACCGCCAGTTTGGCGGCCCTTTGCAGCGCGGCACCCTATGGACAACAGACTCCGCTCAAGAACATCTTGGAAAATACCGACAAGAGTGAGAAGTACAAGTACCCTACCGATTTCACAAGAAACATTCTGCCCAAGCCCTTCCATAGCCACAACGACTACTGGCGCGATGTTCCATTCTATTCTGGATTGAGTGTCGGCGCCATCTCAACCGAGGCGGATGTCTGGCTTATCAACGGTACACTATATGTAAGTTTTGTGCTACTCCGTGCGACATTTCTCTCGGTTGAACACCCGGACTGACAGCTCGAAGGTTGGTCATGAGCCTGCTGCTCTGAGTGACAAGCGCACTCTTGAGTCTCTCTACATCAACCCAATCCTTGACACTCTGCATCGCCAGAACCCACGCACGCCTTTTGTCCAGCCAGGCGAGCAGAATGGTGTGTTTGACACGTCTAGTGGGCAGACACTGTACTTCTTCATCGACTTGAAGACTTCTGCCGATGTGACCTGGCCAGCCGTCCTTAAGGCTTTGGAACCTCTGCGAAGCGGAGACTGGCTCACCACCTACGACGGCAAGACACTTCGCAGGAACCCTGTCACAGTCATTGGAACAGGAAACACTCAGCTTTCCGATGTTCTTGCAGCATCCCCTCGCGACATGTTTTTCGATGCACCACTTGCAAACCTCCAGGACGCAAAGTACAAGGACTTGACTGAGAATGAATCACCAATTGCGTCTACCAACTTTGCATCGTCCTTTGGCGATGTGCGCAAGCGCGAAATGAACGAGACGCAGCTGGAGACTTTGAGGAGCCAGCTTGATGTGGCCCATGGAAAGGGCATCAAGGCCAGGTACTGGAACCAGCCTAATTATCCTGTTGGTACGAGAAATGCTGTCTGGAGGACTCTTTGGGACGAGGGCGTTGATTTGTTGAACGTTGATGATCTGGAGGGCGCAGCTGTATTCTGGGAGGGTGACAACTAAATAACGCCCATGTGTCTTTTGAAGCCGTGTATGCGGGCTCAAAAAAAGTAATGTAATTCGCCGACGAAGTATACAATCGATATGAAAACCATATAATATAAATCGTTATGCCAATAATGCCGTTGTTCACCCGCGTGAACATGTCTCGCTTAGGCGTGCGGCTCTTCCAGTTCCTGCAGAAGCTCATCCCTGCAAACCCCAGATTACGTACTCGCCCAAGATTTTTCCAATGCCAGTCATCCAGACGGGCCAAACTGTGCTATAGACTTCATCTCGTGCTCTCTTTCATCATCATTACATTGCTAGGCCAACATCGCCACTGACTACTTGTGACGTCTTAACACCTATATCCTTACGTGATTAGGTGTGCAGCCACTTTGACGCGCTATAGTCGCTTTTTCTGAAGCTTGCGCGATATTGCGCCACAAGCTTGTACACAGTCAAAAATCGCACTTGGATATTTACGCGATAGCTTAGCGAATTCGTGCTACTAAGAGAGTACACAAATCAGCAATTTTGGCTCAGAAAAGCGCGTTGGGATTGAGAACTGAAAAGAGCTTGGAATCAGCTGGCATACGTCATAGCAAACATGTTTCCTCCAACCCAAGGGTTGCGCCTGGACATTGATGCCATTAGCCAGATTTTTGGATCAATCAGTATTGCATGCTGGATAGGTACGTACTGTTGTTCTTTTGTGTCGCAGGAACTCCGTGTAACCAGACGTGCATCCCGTCGCCGTTGTACATATCCTTTGATGAACCTTAGCTAATGCGTGTGACAGTCGTCTTTTCGCCGCAAATTATTGAAAACTGGAAGAGGAGCTCTGCAGAAGGATTATCAGTCGTATTCATTGTAATATGGCTTCTCGGCGACTTCTTCAACATCATAGGAGCCGTGTTGCAAGGGGTGCTGCCCACCATGATTATCCTAGCCGTGTACTACACGCTCGCAGACATTGTCTTGCTCCTCCAGTGTTTCTGGTACAAGGGCTTCACGCTGCGCGACGATTTCAAGAAGCCCACGTCTGATTCTGATGAAGATAGCATAACCAGCGAGCAGTCTCCGCTCCTTGGCGAGCGTAGACCGCACTCAAACGGATCTCCTTATAACAACCAACACGGCAACGGTATCGAGGTCCAACGGCCTAGAATCTCAGACTATGAAAGACGCGGATCAGGAAACTCGCAGAGCTCATTCCGCGAACGCTATCTTTCCATCGACGGCACCCATCTCTCGCCCGTCACTCCGCTCCTCGACGACCCCACGTCCGGTCGCAGCAACAGCGCCATTGCAACCAGCCCCCCACCACAACAATCCAATCTCCAGATGATCATCTTCAACGCAGGCACTGTAATCCTCGTCTGTGCCGCCGGCGTCTTCGGCTGGTACCTCAGCGCGCGCAACTCAACCGTCCCCAGAGACTCCGACCCCCCAGCCGACTCCACCCTCCACTTTAACCTCTGGGGCCAAATCTCCGGCTACGTCTGCGCTGCGCTATATCTCGGCTCCCGCGTGCCCCAGCTCCTGCTCAACTACCGCCGCAAGTCCACCGAAGGGATCAGTATGCTCTTTTTCCTCTTTGCATGCCTTGGTAACCTCACTTATGTCCTTAGCATTCTGGTGTACAAGCCCAAATGTGGAGGCAACATGTGCCATGACGGCGAGGGCCGCGCAGAGTATGTAAAGTATATTGCGGTGAATATGAGTTGGTTGCTAGGAAGCTTTGGGACGCTATTGCTTGATGCGGGCGTTTTTGTGCAGTATTTTATGTATAGGGTTGATGATGAGGAGAGTAGTGATGAGGAGTATTAAATTTGGGTGATCTTGTGGTAGGATCTTTTTCTTATTTCAAAAAATAAATAAAATTGGTGTTGGGTTTGTTAATGGCCATGTACAAGATTTGAATGCGTATGTAAAATGAAAGAACTTGTATGGTATAGCTATGTTAGTATGGAAAAAAAAATTGATTTGCAATTCAATTTAAAGCATTCGACTTGAAATTTTTTTCTGGGTACCAAGCTGGATCCCAAGATAAAAAATGGAGGGTGGTGAAATGATACGACACACTCTGATATTTCTGCAAGATATAATAGTATTTCGCTGAGTCTGCAACAAACTTAATCCAACAAAGTCCCAAAAACACCATTATGTACACTCATAACCCCAACCAACCAACCAACCAACCGAAATCTTCAATAGCGCGCAAAAGAACAGCCAAAAAAAAATCACTACCAACATCATCCCTATCACTCCTCCCCAACAGTCCCATACCCCCTCTCCTCACCCCCCTCCTCCCCCAAAAGCTTCTTCTTCCCCTTCCCCTTCTTCCCCTCCCTCATCCTCCCCACCTCCTCTTCCACCCCCTCCTCAACCTTCCTCTTCAACTCCTTATAAAACCCCAACTTAAACAATGCCTCATACCACACAAATAGCGGCGCTAGGAAAAGCGCCTGAACCAAATTATCCAGCAGCGCCGGTTTCCTACCCTCATATTTCCCATGGCCGACAAACTGTAGAATCCAGCTTACAACGTGCACGGCAACGGCGATGCTGTTGACTTTTGTCTTGGAGAAGCGCGACGTCAGGTAGTTTGAGGCGGAGGCGAGGGAGAGGACGATGGGCGTGATGGTGGCGCCCGCGAGGTTGGGGGAGAGGAGGAGGTATAGGGTTGAGTAGGTTGCTGCGGCTAGGGTGCCGAGGTTTGGGGGGAGGTGCAGGCGGGTGAGGAGGGGGTGTGTGCGGATGGGGAGGGTGGGGGTATTGGTGCCCTGTTTGGTTGGTTTGCGTTAGCAATGCTTGTCTGGGGTTGATGGAGGTGAGAGGGGGGGGACGTACGAAGAGGAAGCCTGTGCCGAGGAGGATAGGGACGCAGACCATGTGGATAGCGACGTTTGTGGGGTCGCGGTGGTATGCGCCGTACTGTTTTCGTTGCTTGTCAGCGCGAAGCTATTTGTTTATTATGTGGACATGGGGAACGTACGAAGACGAGGTTCTTTTTCAGGTCGAAAATCGCCATTGTGGTATATATGCGATCGCTTTTCTTTGTCGCTGGTTTTTCCAAAGAGAACGGGAAGAAGGGGAGAGAACGTCACTGGGCGCGCAACACGCGACGGGGCTGACACACTTTATATATAGTAGATGCTGAGCAGGAGTTGCAATGCGGGGCACAGGAGCGGATCCGGGGCAGCCCAGAAGCCAAGGCAAGTAGTAATGTGCAGATCAGTCAAGCGGAGAGTGAGACAAGAGGGTGTGCAGGATCTAGCTCCTTCTATATACGCCCCCGGGCTGTATGTAACGGCTGCCAAAGCCTCAGTTACCGGTCACCCCATCGCAAGTACTGCCAAACACGGGGGTTGGTTGCGGCGGCCGAATGAGCGTTGACATGCGCGGGGCTAGGCGGATGTGGGGGAAACGACTGTGATTGGATAACAGTGGAAATACCGAGGTATTAACTCAATTGGGCACTGTTATCACAGTGTTACCACCGTTTGATGTGTGGTCGCGCTTGCGTCTGCCGTTGCTGCATGTGAGATTGACAGGTACCAGAAGAGTTAGTGGAATGATCTAGTAACGCGGCGGTGTTTTTGCGGAGCCATGATGATGCAATACGGGGGCTTGGCTGAGCGGATAGTCTGGGGATATCTGTTGTTGAGTATCACCGTAGAATCCGCGGTTGATTGCGTTGCCATACATATCTGAACGTCACGTGATATATAAAACAATGCTCCTCTACTGTTGACATACGATAATTGAACTTTTCTTCAACAGTTGAACGCGTTGTGTTGTATGTATAAATGAAAAACCATGGTTTGATTATATGCAACCCTCATTTCTAACCAAGCATGTGACGGAACCTGTTGCTTTATCCCTTTTTATAGAGCATTTTATTTCACGGTATTGCAATTCTATTCAAATGTGATCATTAAGAACTGAGAACTGTGTTTCTTGCCATGCCAGCTATGATCCATAGTCTTAATATGGCCATTTATCATTGTTCTAACAGCTGTTTTCTATTTCCACGTAGAGAACACTGATCCGAACCTGCTGTTATCGACGGGGAAGCCTGTCGTACAAATTCGCATTAGCCTATGTCGCAGAGTATCCGCTGAAATGATCACCCAATAGATATTAGAGGGTATGAAAAAGCATTATTTCTCATCAAATGACTCTAGATTTCTACGTCAAACGCTATAGATCTACAGTGTTTCTATACTCACCATTGTTATCCTCATACCCTGTTCTGTCTTTTTGCTCTCTAACTGTTTTGAACCATTCCAAGACTAAGGTAACTCTAGCCAATGATATATTTACCCAGAACCCTATCTCTAATATCAAAAACTAGAAGTTCGTAGCAGTCTCCGCTAGACTCGAAACCTTGACGCACAAACGCGACAGCAGTATATTTCGAAAAGCTAGCAAACTCGTCAAAAACACACTTAAACAATTTTTGGCCCAAAGCCTAAATATCATGCGTCATAGTCATATTTCGAAGACACACTAAATATAAGAGTGGCAGTCGCACTAGTGCTTACTATAGCGGTTCGGCAGGAATGGAGATGTGCAGAGTAGGTCCTTTTCTTTAATCTATATACCCGTTGATCCAGAGTAGGCACTCCAATGCTAACAGGTCGTACTAGGCGCATATGTCGTTTTCCAGAACCCGCATATTCACAAGGTTACGTGAACAAAACCATATACATACATATCTAGTCCCTTGAAATTCCAAACAGTCTTGCACAAGCTCTCACGCACTCTGTAATAACTTATGGTAGCAGACAAAACCGCGTATCTTTTGTTGTAAAACATATATAGGAGTGCACATATCGATAAAATAACGACATTAGAAGTCGTCAAATCATGCTGGATATTTCCACAACGACGACGGCGATACTGTCCTTGACCTTACCAATCACATGCGGCCATCTCACCCATGCTACCGACCCTGTCACATCCCAGCCGCTTACCACATAATCACTGCTTAAACTGACATCAGCATCCACCATCTCCAAACGTAGTATATATTTGAGCTTCAAAACCACATGTATAGGTATCCCCCCACCCACCCCCCAAATTCAATAAACCGTAAAACCGGCGGTATTATTAAGGAAAGTAAGCATGCTACCAGCAGCGACCAGCAGCCATGTAAAAAGGGTATAGAGCCTAAAAGAAAAAGAAGAAAGAACGACATGTGTACCCCCTTGCTGGTACCCCATTACTTTCCATCGCGATTCATGCAGTTGAAGCATCAAATGCGACATCCTGATATCTCCTCCTCACCACCCTCCACATCTTTCTACCATTACCTCACCCATCTTTCCCAACCGACTCTCTAACGACACATCACCCCGCAAATCCCACGCCTAAACCTGCTTCTCCCCCCTCGGCGCAGGCTGCACATACGCCCCCGGCTTCACCAACCCCTTCTTCCTTAGCACATACGTATTCCACGCCCACCCAATCTGCGCCGTAACACTAACTGGTGGTTTCTGATCCGCAAACCGATAAAGCTGGGGCTTAGCGAGTCCCTTTTTGCGCAGAATGTACGTTTTGAACCACCAGGGCAGATTCTCGCCGGCTTGGTATTTCATGTGTTTGCGGGTGGGGACGCCAAAGATGTAGTCGAGTTCTTCGAGGGTGCGTTGTTTGGTTTCGGGGAGCCAGAGGAAACTTGGTTGCGTTGGCAAATCATATACAACTGATGGTTGTGTGTGTTTTGTAAAAAAAAAGGGAGGGGGAACTTACATCATAGTAAGAGCAACAACGTTGAGTCCAGCGTAAAACCCAAACACACCCTGCGGTCTCATAACCTTGAGCATGCGCGGGAGGGTCAAGGATAAAATGCTCGCCCAAAAGTTATTCGTCGCAACGGCCCATGACATGCCGACTTCACGGTGGGACAAGGGGAATACCTCCGCCGAGTACGTAAACGGCACGGGACCCATACCCGGGCTGTAAAACGCACCGAAAAGGTAGACGAAGAAGGCGATGAGGCCAAGATGGGCAGGGCTATCTCTCGGAATGTAGTAGCACATTCCTGCGACAAGCAGCGCCCAGAACATGTTGGGGAAGGTGGCCAGGAGCAAGCCGCGGCGCCCAAAAGTATCGATTGTCCAGACGGCGGGCCAGGCGAAAAGGAAGTTTACCAGGCCGAAGCCGAAAGAGGCGATAAGGGCTTCTTTGTTCGAAGCGCCACCTTCAGCGAAGATTGTCGAGCTGTAGAAGGCTATGATGTTTATACCGCACATTTGTTGCGCAATCATAACTATACCCGAAGCTTGCGTTGCGCGGCGTACACGGGGGATAGTAAAGAGTTCGATGAAGCGGGTGAAGAAGTTGGACTTTGGGTTGATGCCTGCCTCGCTGATCAGAACTTCTTCTTGCTCGAGCAGGCAGTGCGTGTAGTAGAGGTCGCGGGCAGCCTGGAGCGGCGAGTTGCGGAGACGCAGGAAAGAATTGTAGGCTTGGGTGTATTTGCGCTTTTTCATGAGCCAGCGGGGGCTCTCCGGGACGAAGTAGATGCCCAGGACGAGGGGCACGGCGGGGATGAAAGCAGAGCCGAACTGCAGACGCCAAGATATGGACCCTGTGTTCTGGGGTTTATGTTAGTGAAAGTTACGCATCGAACAAAGATCAGACGGCGACTTACCATGACAACGAGATTAGCAACAGTACCAAGAAAGATGCCAAAAGCCGTCCAAATCTAGTTTGATATCGTTAGCTAGATACCAATTCACTCGTCATCTTTGGTTTCAACACACCTGCCAGGACATCACGAGACCGCCTCGAACGCTAGCGGGTACGTTCTCGGCTGAGAAGACAGGAACAGTGACTTCCTTCAGACCCATCCCAACACCGAGGAGCACACGACACACGGCGAGCTGGCCCCACGTCTGGCTGAGTCCCATGCCAAACGGAGCCAAGAGCGAGAAGATGGCAGCAATGAAAATGGTACCTCGACGACCGCAGAGATCATTGACAGGATCTGCCGTATGTTAGTCAGAAAAACAACAACAACACAATACAACTCCATTTTCTTGGGAGGTGGGATAAGTAATACTCACCAGAAATCCACGCACAAAATACGGCAATAGCAATATACGGACACGCATTCACAAACCCAATAATCCACCCATTCTTCTCACAATTCCCCGCAGCCTCGCATTCAGGCCCGGAATCCGGGATCCCCAGTGCCTGCCCAAACGTCAAATTTGCGCCATTCGAGCCCGTCTGGTCCCAACCCTGGATAGCGGCAGCAATCGAATTCAGAATGATTGTGAAGTACAAGACGCGCGGGAGTTTGAAGCGATGCGTTAGTTCTTCGCGGAGAAAGTTGCGATCCGTGTCGTCGAGGTCTTCGAGTTCTTCGAAGAGAGCGGGTGATTGGGCGACGAGTGCGCCTTTGATGAGGAGGGGTTCGACGTCTTCGAGATTGTGCTCTACGGCGAAGGTGTGGACGTTGGAGAGGAGCTGGGCGCGGGGGATGTCGACGAGGGGATTGCGGACTCTGGGGTTTAAGTTAGTTGGGTTGAAAAAAAGGATGGTATGGAGGTGTAAGTAGATGGTGATATAATTGGAATGTTTTTGTTAACGACTTACTCGCCCTCTATGTTGGCTGTTAGGCGCGCAAGGCTCTCACGGCGCTTTTGCTCATCGTCGAAGATGGAGGCTTTGCGCTCGGTGGTTTCCTTGTGCTCGTCGACGATAGGCCTACAAGATATGTTAGAACGTACAAGCTGAGTAAGAGATAGATCAAATATACTTACTCGATCTTGGGCTCCTTCTCTGGTTCCGCCATGGTGAACCAGTTGAATGCGAGAACAGTTGAACTTGAAAGTACAGTATTCAGTCCAAGTTTTCTGGGGCTGCGTGTGCTTAATATCTGAAGGGCGCGCAATTGACCGGGGGGGTTGTGAGTCTTCTGAGCAATGACCACCTTTATGCTGTTTGTAAGTCGGGGTTGTCACGAGGTACCCAACTCTGCGTAGTAGTCTTTGTCAAGGAGCTGCGTTTTCCCCACTTCGCTTCATTGCGCGTTGCCTTATTGTCACATTGTTCATTCTCGCTTTGGATCGCATCACGCGGTACAATCCTACTTAATTGTCCAATCGTGTGGTGGGTGAACAGCCAAGGCTGCACCACTTGCATTCATTCCTGGGGGTATCCAACGTCGGTGGCTTGAGAGTGTAAGGTGGAGTATGCGCCTTGGCGCTCACCTTTTCTTTCTTGGTGTTGCCTTGGCTACTGGTTTTTTCGTCTTGTTGTCCGCAGCTAAGATGGAGTTGCGAAACTCCCCCCATGTCCTGATGGTATGACCTGGTCCCGCGTCGGGTTGTTGAGATCGAGAGCAAAAGTCATGTCATTTTTACGAGTATGCTACTACACTTCGGTATTTCCAAGTGGCCAATGCGAGCGTTGCAACAAGATTGCAGAACAAACAAACTTTCCACATTAAAACAGATAATAAAACAGCCTCGAAATTAATTTCAGAAACAAATATAATACCCAGAGAGACCTATATTGCAAGTGTCTTGGCCTTGCTCAGCGTCGATCTTGGAAGCCTCAGGCAATCAGGCCATGGCAAGATTATAGCACGGCAGCCAAGCACGGAAGAGCGTGAGCGCAGTGCAACCTCAAATCGAACTTGCATGCATTTATTCACAACCTTCCAAGACGTTAGAACAGCTAGCCCAACTATCAGCTTACTCACCCACTCCCACAGTTAGACAGAGATAGAGATAGGAGCGCCTCGGACAGTAAGTAGATTTTGGCGCAGGAAGATATTTCATTACATACTAAACGTCTCAATGCACCGAAGAGGCCCCAAGGTACTCAAGAGTCTTCTTCTTACTCATAAGCGTCTGATCAAGAAGTCAAAGACCGGTCAGACAAGAAGAAGGGTTGCAACCGTGCCATGTACTTCCCCGCATTTTTAGCTTGGCCTCTCGTACTTGAGGTCTTGCCAACCCTCCAATGGGCTTGATTTGCAGCAAGGGTCCACCAACAACTTTTCAGGCATTCAATGACAGGTTGAGAACCCTTCGCCTTGCATGCACACGCGCCCTTTGTGCGATATGTCTTTTTTTCTTTTCTCTTTGGTAACAGATTGTGTAGATAAGGATCGGTAACCTGCTACAAATGTCAACTGCAAGCGATCAGCTCCCTGCATAGCACCCTCTCTGGACTTATAAATCGTGTTTCAAAGTCAGTTTATTGATTACATGAGCTTCACGAGCAACATCATGTGGTGTCTATTTTCTTAGTACGGCTGAAAAGGGCGAATGCTCTCATGTCTCATGTATGTACATGTGGTATCCCATAATGCGCCTAGCATTCGGCAACTCCGAGTTGTCCTCTCGTACCTGCCGTATCGATCACCGGTCTAAGCAGCTTGCATCATCGTTAATCGGTCCTTCGCTGGGGTATTGGTCTTAGTGCCGCAGGTGCAACGATTTCCAAGAACTGTTTTAGCGCCGCCATTTAACACTCCAAAAAACGACTTTGCTGAGAAACCACCAGGCTCCAGACTGCGTCTCTTGATACCTTGTACACTATCGCCCTGCAAAACCCTGAGCATCTTTGCAACGTACAATCAGCAGCAAAGAGATAGCCTTTTTAAGTTTCCCTCTTGGCCACCATTTCTCTAATGTTGCTTGCTTTCTCGGTGGGTTATAGCCTTGCGCGAAATTCTGGGCTCTGGCAATTTGCCCCACTGCATTCTCAGTTTTAGTATACTTGCTCGTGTGAGCCGGTATCGACAGCTGTCCCTGGCTTCGTACCAGACTACGCTCCAGTTATACAATCTTATTAGAACTGTCACAACAGTCTTGTGTTTCCTAGTATCCAGAGCCGTGCATCGCCGTTTCTCTCCCCTTGTTTCTCTCTGAGGCATCTCCCATGGTATCTGCAGATCCAGCAAACGCTTGTTGGATCGGTGGGCGAGGCTTAGCTGCAATGTCCAGCTCAGCAAACTTTGGTCGTACTTGGAAAATATTGACACGTGCGGCGTTGAAGACTTGCTCGGAAGGCGGAATAGCAACGGCAAGATTGGTGTTTTCTGTTAGGCGGGTGATGAAGAACATGAACCGACCAGTTTTGATTTGCATTTCAGCAAAGTTTGCACTTCCAGCGGGGATGTTGGTGTGTTTCCTGCAGTCAAATATAAGCAAGGTTTCAAGAGCCAACTTTGGAAGAAGATTAGTCACATACGCCATGCTCTGCTTGTGTGTCTTGAGGATACTTGAGATGCGTTCGAACCGGTCGGTAAAAGGATTTGACTCCTCAGTCTGCCTGGTGACATGGGCTACCGTGAGACAAGTTGTCCGCTCGTACAGTATCAGTTCTCTTGCGTCAATGACCTCGGCAAGCTGTTCTAGCAGCGCCTCGATGGTACCGGCGTTTGGGATCAGATAGTAGATTATCTTAGTCCAGGCTTTATACAAGCTCTGGTCCCAAATGCTCGTTGCAAAAAACTCGACTGTGTCCTTGAAGCCCTCGCTAGCCTCCCGTATGTACTCTGCGCGCTCATCGAACATGGCCTGTCGCAGTCGTGCTTGCACGAGATCCATCTTGTGTATGAGGCAGAAGACCTTTGCGCTGGGACTGCATTCGTGGAGGGCGCGGATAATGTTTGAATAAGAGACGACATCGGCCGCAAACTCGCGCGATTCGATATCAAAGACGAATATGAGAACAGCAACGGAGCCAAAGACATGATTCCTCGACTGGTTGAGGTAGTTCTCGACGAAACCGTCTTGACTATGATGCGTCAGCATGTACCGGCCTCGGACGCTAGGCGGCGGTGGGCATACCCTCCACAATCCCAAAGATTGAGCATGAGGTTACCCATAAACTTGATGTTGCTATGCTCGACATCGATGGTCGCGCCTAGCCTGCGTACGTCTTTGGCAACATAATTGCTGAAGACGATACTCCTCATCGACGACTTGCCGGCTCCACTCTTACCCATAAGCAACACTTTGCGCTGCTTCTGGCGCTTGATGGAGTTCATCGTGAGCGTGCGTAGGCAGGAATCTGGGTCGTTGACGGTGATGCAGAGGCTGAGGTATGTTTCCGCTGTGTGTTGAGGATGACGTATCGTAAACAGATCATGGGAGGGCGTGGAGCTTGGACGCGCACCTTGTGTGCAAGCTGCACTTACCCTCTGCTTGGCAGTGGGGCACAATTCCGCTCTCCGCAATCTTCAGCACGTACGCACACGTGGAGACTTATTAGATAGCATCCTTGTATGTGCTATTACCAGCATTGAAACATCAGTGGCCGAAGCGGCTGCACAGCACTCAATGCCGTGTATACAACCATGTCTGTGTGCAGACACACAAACCACCCGTGGAAGCACGGTCTGCACGTCACGCACCTCGTGTTCATGATTGCGAAATTCGACATGGCTTGCAGATTAAGATCAATCTTATCAATCGTACAATCGCAAAAGCTACTGGCTGTAATTCAATCGGCTCTACTCCTCAGCTAATTGTCCAATTTTTTTGTATCTGCTCCTCCCAAAAAGCACTTCGGTAAATGGCGAAATATTACAAGAAAAGGGATCAGGCAACCCGGAGCACTGAAGGTTTGAAGAAGACGACGAAGAAGAAGAAGAAAATAACAAAAAAATGTACACGTAGCCGATGTGACGAAGCAAAACATATCAACAGAAAGCCGAGCCACCAAATGCGACCGTCGAGATCGTGTATCATAAAGTCCCATGCATTTGGGCCAGAATTAGAAGGTCCTTATTGCGGCGCGGGTGGGAGCAACCCCCTCTGGATCGGGAGCGTGGGTCCACTGCACGCAGTCGATATCAAAATGAAGCGAAAGAAAGGCGGAACGGTTGAAGAAAGGGGTATCTTAGAAAACAGTGCCGTCCGAGAGGATCATGATCGGCGGTTCTTTAGTGTTGGGCCGCGACACTTCGGCAATTTCGCGACCTCCCTGTGTGGCGAGTCAGCAGAGCTCCGATTAGTTTGGCGTCCCGCGCAAACTTACCTTCCAACTTCCCGCTTCCAGCATCTGAGCCAGGGTCAATTTGTCTGGCCCGCTCAAACGCAACAGCTTGTTCACCTCGGCTAAAAGCTCATCAAGAAGGCCAACGGTTGCCGCGCGCCACTCCACAATCACGTCGTCGTCGGCCGTGAACATGGGAACCACTTCCATGCTGGGCTGACCCTTTTGCTGAGCATTCTCCTGGTATTGCGCCAGTCCGCGCTCTTGGTCTTCGGGCTTTAGTGTCAAGAGGCCAACGTCAATGAAGAGACCTCCGTTTCGGTACTCTGGCAGTCCAGTCAGGAGTTCAGCGCCGGCAAAGTGCACGTGGAGTAGCCTGGTCATGGGTACCATGAGTGAATAGGCGAGCCACTGAGTGAGTTTGTGGAATGGGACAATGTTTTCCCATGGGTGGGTCGGATGTGATGGCATGACGGAACAGGGCCATGCGTCGCCCATGGGTACGCCGTCGACTTGGGTCCTCGGTGCTGGCCAGATGGGAGTGAGGCTGTCCATGAGCGTGTTCCAAAGCGTGGGCAGAGGAATAATGGGGACAGAAGATGCTTGTGTCGTGGGATGTGAGAGAAGGTAGTCTAGCAATGTTAGTGCCAGTCCTGTCATATCATGTCACGCGCGTGCGCATACCAAGCATGTTTCCTGGGCGAGCCTCAAGACCAAAGACTTCTTGGTTCTGCAGGGCTTCTCCGAGGCGAAGAAGCAAAGTAGTGCGGCCCTCGAGACCATCAATTGGGTTGGAAGCAGTCACCTGGAGGCCACGGGCCACGGTCGCAACGTCGAGTTTCTTCAGGCCGGCGCTGTCGACTTGGAAAGGCTCTTTGGGGTCGCTGCTAAATGTGCCGGCCTTGAACATTTCCAGACTGGCGACGGCGAGACCCTCGCTGCGGCGGTAGAGTTTGCCAGACTCTTTGCTCTTGTACTGCCATTTTGTTCCAGCGCCAGCATCAAGCAAGACGGAAACAAGAAATAGATCAAGCAAGCGGCGCGTTCGCTCTTGGTTGTCGACAGTCGAGGGCCATGAGGCCATGAGTTGGTCGATTCGCGGGCGGCCGCCAACGTCAAAGTGCTGCCATCTACCATGCGGGGGGATGGATGCGTAGTCGGGAGCATAGTCGCGCTGAGAGCGAGTTAGAGCAGCGTGGTGGGGCGGGGCAGGCGTGCTTGGATAGGATCGCTCTCACCTTGATAATGGAGACTACAAAGCTGGCGACATCTCCAAACTTGCTCATGTCGACGGTGAAGTGCTTGAGCTGGTTCTTCTTTGCCTTTTCAAGGACCAGCCTGGAGCGTTCGCGGACTGCATAGATGCTGCGCAGGTAGCCGGCTGGGTCGAGCGATGGATCTGGGGCCTTTGGCAGCGGGACGTCTGGAAAGCTGGTCGGGCGGGAGCCGTTTGGAGTGGGACCAGGGGAGCGCAGAGAGCCATTGGAACTGTTTGGCTGACTGCCGCCGGGAGAAACCTGGGGCTTTGAGCCCTTGCGATTGAATAGACGCATGGTAGCTCACGACGACGAGGGACAAGAAACGCGGGTGGTTGGAGGGCTGGGGAGGTTTGCTGGGGAGTAGGAAGGTTGCTAGAGCTGGTCGAGGATGCTCGAGAGACGGCGATCGGCGCGCTTGTTGGCTGGGCGGGACCGGGAGATCCCTGGACGAAGAAACCGGAAGCGACTGCAGCGGTGGAGCTTGGAATGCAAGGAGATCGTCACGTGGGTCGAGGTAGTCGTGGTGGCGGCGGTAGGCCTAGAGTGCGATGTCGTAGTCGAGCAGCGGTGCAGCCAGTATGTGCGGCTCTGGGGGAGGGGGGTTGGAAGGGCCTAACAGGACGGCGGACAGGCGGGCGTAAGGACAGCAGGCGTAAGGACAGCAGGCGTAAGGACAGCAGGCCGACGCGTCGCCTCCTGGTGGAAGAATAAGGTAAAAGTATGCAATGTATGTGGTGCCGCAAGCATAGGCGCAGGCGCTGCCGTCGGGCTGGTGCTAGAGGCAGCCCCCTGGCTGGTCGCGCGGGTCGAATGAACGGCACACTGGCTCTGCGCTAGCGGGGCAGCAATAAAGGCTCAAGGCTTCGCTTGACCAGAGGCGCGCCAGGAACCGCGTGCAAGTCTTCCGAACGGTGGCTTTTTTTTTTTCCTTCCTGTGGGCACGCCCGTCGAGGGTGAAACGACGAGCAGCTGGGGCGCTGCAGGGTCTCGGCTCCATGGCTGCATGTGAACATGGGCATACTCGTTTGTGCCTGGCCCATGTACCGTTCGCTCCAGGGTGGGCGTTGAGTGCCGCCGAGTGGTAAAGCCGTGTGTTCGCACATCGAGCCCGGCCCCCGACCGTATTGGCCTAGCGCGCGTACCGCTACTCAGCATCCCATCACCTACATACAACCCATCGGGGAAGACGCGGGCGGCACGACTCTGATACCGTGGCCGCGGGTTCGCGGGTCGGCAAATCCGCCGGCGTAGCATCAGCGACTGGCGACTGGCGACTCTGGCCTCTTCTGGCCTCTGGACTCTGCACAGCCGCCAGTGACCTACCTCCCGCCGCTCCTCGTAGTCATCAGTCTAATACGACGGCTTCGTGCGCACAGCCAGCAGCCAGATGGGCCCAATCTGGTCATGACCACAAGCTGCCTGGGCAGCACTCCAAGGCCTCCCTCTTTCTCCTGCTCCTTCTTTTCTTGTTCTTGTCCTGTTGCTCCTTCCACGCCTGCCTGTCTCGCGGCTCCGGATGCTGGCCCGCCACTGAGTAATGGTCAATTTGCCAGCTTTCGGCCCGAGGCTGCAGGTCCTCCCACTCCTGTCCCTCTGAGCCGAATTACTTAGTACGTACGTCTCTCTGCCGGCTCACCTGTACCGACGCCAGGACGTGCTCCAATCTCCATCTCCGCGGTCGCGGTTCGTTGCAAGCTGACACTGACCAAATCTTAACCTGACACCCCTGGGCCTTTGTTTACCGCTTTGTTTACTCCTCCATCTGTGTACATACATGGTATTTACTTACTACCTCTCAACACATCTAGACGCGTCGCCGCACAAACCCACACGTCTCAATGTAGTATACACATTGCTCTACTTACGTATGCACTGCTCGTCCCCATGCAGCTGCAGGGTCCCTGGTTCGAGTAACCCCAACTATGCCACTATGTAACTCTGTTCCTGGCGTCGGTCGGTCAATCAATCCTCTTTAGACGCCCATCTCGGCTTTTTCCTGCCCTGCTCTGCCCTGCCTTCTTACCCAATCTGGCATCATGCGCTCTCTAGCAGATGAGCCGCGTACATGTCCATCTGCGAACTGACAAAGCTGCTTTTTTACTTCATGCACCTCCAACAAGGGCAACTTTTGCCGGTTACACCTGTGCCGTGGCTGCTTCCCAAATAAACGCTCAAGCACGTTGGAGCCAAGCTGTGGCTCAACGGACAGTAGTTTTCACTGCTTTTGCCGTGACATGTCCACCCTGCCGTAGACCCTGCATGCTATCACGTGACTCGGCGGTACCTGTGGCGCAACCCAAACAAGCGCGCCCGACCATCTGCAAGACAGCCACCTTTGACGACCTGTGATGTACCCAACCCGCAATCATGCCATGAAGTTTCCCTTGCACATTTCCTAAGACACCTACACTACCAACACAACCACAATGGACGACTTGGCCGGCCTGGACTGGTCGCAGCCCGCCAAAAAGCCAGCTACAAACTCCCCCGCGGCCCTCCCACCCTTCCGCCAGAGCCCCACGCCCCAGCTCTCCGGCCGATCTACTCCCCTCTCTACACTCTCCGCCCAACCCTCCGGCCTAGGTGCAAGCCTCGGCGCCAGCCAGCCTTTCAAGGCGCCCTCGAAACCAGCCACCCCGGCCAACGATAGCTTTGCCAGTCTTGTGTCCTCAAGCAAGCCAAAGGACTCAACCAACAACCTCTCGCTGCAAGAGCGACAGAGGCAGATACAGGAGGAAAAGGCAAGGCTCGAGGCAGAAAAGCGGAAGCAATGGGATAGTGCATTTGGCACCGCCGACACCCAGCATTGGAATACCTTGGGAAGCGGGAAGAGCACACCAGAGCCTGCCGCCATTGCTGCACCTCGAGTCTCAAACAACCCATTTACGAATTCACGTCTGTCACAGACTATCAACAAGCCATTCGCAGGCCTAGATACGAGCGTGAGACGTCCCGAGGTATCCTCTCATGATGAGGCCGACCTACTAGCAGCCTTCAATTCGGCCGCTCCCGTAGACCGCTCAAGCCACTTTCCCGTTCCTTCACAGGACAGCGGTCGCAACACGCCTGCCTACGGCGCAAATGCCTCTCGAGGCCAGACGCCGCTACCACAGCCCTCATCCAGCAACAATGCGCTCATGGACGACGACGACGATGATATGTTTGGGCTCAAGCAAATGGCGCAAAAGTCGACTTCACCTGCACCTCACCCTCCAACAAACGATGCGGATGACGACATACTAGGCCTGCTGGGTAAGCCCGTCTCGGAGTTTCAGCAGAAAGAGGAGCCTAGGTCAACGGCCAATCAAGCGCCTCCGGAGACTAGCCAACGTTCTTCTCCAGGCCCCCACAACGCGCACGACAAGGCTGTTGCTGAGCTAGTAGATATGGGATTTCCGGCTGAAAAGTCTGCTATCGCATTGGCTACCACTGAGTCTGGCCTAGACGTCCAGGCTGCAGTAGGCTGGTTGCTGAACCAGGCACATGTAGAGGCAAAGCAGAAGACACAGACACAGAGCCGTGATCGCTCGCGGCATGAAAACGAAGACTTTGAAGACCGCCCGAGGCGAGCAAATAGCAGACCCAACGCGCGAGAATCGTCAAGAGAGCCTCGTGCAGGTGGATCTCGACCTGCTTGGATGCAAGATGATGGGGCACGGAGTCGATCTGCCTCACGTAGGCAAGATGGACACGGCCAGGAAAAGGACATGACCCAAATGGCTTCGGAAATCGGCAACAATTTGTTCAAGTCTGCAAATTCTCTCTGGAAGACGGGCCGGAAGCAAGTACAAAAGGCTATAGCTGACTTTCAACAAGACGGTGATCCCAACATGCCAAAGTGGATGCGGGACGCCCAAGCAGCTGAAGCCAACACTCGCTCAGGGAGACAGCAATCCAGCATGCAAAGTGCTACAGACGAGGCAATGATGTTGGAAGCTGGTGGCCGACCCTCTAAATCTTCTCAGACGAGCGAGATGCGCCAGCAGGCTGAGCCGTTGCCAGTTCGACAAAGGAGGGAGCAAGAAACTAGTCGAAGCGGCCACCCTGATCGCATGTCATCTCAATCACCTTCTCAACGGCAACAGCCTTCGGCACTAGATAAGCGACCAGCCAACAGGTTGACTCGTCAAGAGGTGGAAGAACAGGGACCTCAGGCATATGTTAGCCCAGCACGTCGGAAAAAGGCCACACCTCAACCAGAACCGCAAGTAGACCTCTTCTCTCCGGAACCTACAGCGCCAAAGCAGCTCTCACGGCAATCCATGTCGCCTCAGTCCAAGAATCCCTTTCTTCAAGCAACCCCGAATCCAACAAAGCCAAATCCAGCGCGCACACCAACTCCACCCAGACCCAAAGCTCCTCCACGGCAGATTCCCCCGGTGTCATCTTCTGCTCTCAGCTCATCTTCAGCCGATCGGCAGAAGGGGTCAGAAGCGTTCAAGCGTGGAGACTACTCAGCTGCCCATGCTGCCTATTCTTCTGCGCTTAGTCCTCTTCCCCAATCTCATCCCGTAACTATTGTAGTGCTCTGCAACCGCGCAATTACCAACATCAAGGTCGGTGATCCAAAAGCAGCGATTGCAGACGCAGACGCAGCTCTGGCAATCATTGGGGTATCAAAAGGCGAGGGCGAAAAGATTGCTACAGGCGGCGTAGAAGGAGAAAAGGACATGAAGGAATTCTACGGCAAAGCACTCATGCGCAAGGCAGAAGCTCTTGAGAGTATGGAGAAGTGGTCAGATGCGCATATCGTATGGAAAGAAGCCGTTCAAAGCGGCGTAGGCGGCGCCGTCGCAATCTCAGGCCGTAATCGCTGTGAAAAGGCCGCGAGCGGTGGCAGCAATGCACCTGCCGCAGCAACAAAACGCCCACCTCCAGCTCGCAAGCCAGCTCCTCCCAGACTGTCTGCCATGGCTGATCTTGGCGGTGGCCCTGCCGCTGACTCGGAAGCCGTAAAGCGCATGAAAGCCGCCAATGCTGCTGCAGAACGCGCAGATGACGAGAAGTTTGCTTTGACAGATCAAGTTGACGCCAAGCTCATTGCATGGAAAGGTACAAAGGCGGATAACCTACGTGCTTTACTGGGTAGTCTAGATAAGGTGCTCTGGGAGGATGCAGGATGGAAGAAGGTCAACATGGGTGATTTAGTCATGCCTAACAAGGTCAAGATTATCTACATGAAGGCTATTGCCAAGGTGCATCCTGACAAGGTATATTTTTTCTTTGCTTCTGATTTTGAATATGGATATACAGTTGCTGATATGTTTTTGAACAGATTTCTCAAGACGCAACTACAGAGCAGAAGATGATTAGCGCGGCAGTCTTTGCTACCCTGAATGAGGCTTGGGATAAGTTCAAGGCGGATAACAATCTGTAGTTTGAGGCTGTTGTATGCCAGCTTTCTCTATTGGCTACACGATTGGTTTTCATGTAGATGACGCTTTGGCAAAGGAGAATGAAGGACTAGAAGACTTTGGTATCTTTACCTATCCATATATTTGATATCCCCATCTTGCTGAGTCTGTTTGATGTTGCGTCCGTGGCTTGAAATTATATGTTGCTGTGTGATATGTACATGTCCTTTCCAAATCTCTTCTTCATCTCCCTCTTTGTACACATCGTGATAGTACATAAGATGTCAGAGATTCGTGGCACTGATAATTTTGGATGACTTCATCTTTCTAAATGCAATTACGTGCCTGACATACCCGCTTCCTCCCCTCCTTCACTCTAAAATCTCCCAAATTTTTACGTCATTTTAAGGGGAAGGAAGTCCTGGTTCAAATAGGAACACCCTCACTTCCATTCTATTTTATTTTCAGTATTCCATCGTACTTGATCTATTACCCACCATTCCTTGAGTATTTCTCGTACTACTGTACACAAACAAGCACCCCTTCCCACTCCTCCCTTAACGATATACTCGTCAAAAGTATGTAAACCAGGCTACGTCATACCCGATTCCATCGTTCTACCATACAGCCCCTTAAATCACTTGTTACTTCCCCATCTAATCCATTTACAAAAACCTAACACGTCAAAACCACATGCCCCTACCACCCCCCTCGTCCCACAGTCACTAAATCCCCAAGCCCCTCCCCTTTAGCCCATAAGTTTACCCCCGAAAAGGCGCACTCACAAACGCCAATAGACCCTCGGGTGGCAAAAACACACCCCTAGCGCTCCACCCCCGGCATAAGTCCCCAACGAGTCAGCATCTCCGATTGAATCGGTAACTCCGATAGCCCGAATCGGAGAAAGGGGAGAAGGAGGAAGCGAGGCAGGGAGCTATATCTGATCCAGTATTTTGCGCGATACCTCAATCAGCCAGTCCAGCCAGCCAGCAAGGGAGTAGACGGGAAAGCGGGAAGGGAGGGGGGGAAGAAAGCCCTGAGGGGGGGAAAGAGGTGGGCTTCCCGCGGCTACCTATGTACGCTCCTTATGTATTGTGTTGTATGTTAGGTGTACTCTATGGGAAACTCCATTCTATCCATCCGTTTACTCAGCAACATACATACAAAACAGCCTAAGCCCAAGATTTCCCCTCCACACCTTTCTATACACAATATAGTCTACATGCCCGTATCATAAACGTAGTGCGCGGCAAATCCCCCCTCCCATCCCCATCCCTAGAATCAATAGTGTCGTCACAAGACAGCTTCGGCGTCAAGTTAGAATGTACATAGTACACTATTTCTCACATACGCCTCTTCCTCCTCCTCCTGCCCCCCCCCCCCCCTTTTTCCCCGCAAACCCATCAACCCGCCCTCCCGCCTCCCCACCCCCCTCACCAGCCATACACATACACAACTAAAAAAAAACTCTATTGGCCCTCTTTCTCTCCCGCAAGTCTAAATCCCTTAGCGGCAGACACTGGAAGCTCCGGCACGCGCGTCCGCTTTTCCCCTTCCCCCCCCCTTTCCCCCTTCTTCTCGGGGGCGGACGGGCGGGCATCCCGTGGGAAGGCTTGCGACGAAAAAAGCAAAAAAAAAACAAGAAAAAAGAAAAGAGTCAAAAAGGAATAGAAAGAGGTAATTGCGTTGATTAGGGCCGGTCCGGTGGGTTAGCCTTGTTTTCTTTTTCTTTTCTTTGCATTTGCGGGGGATTTAGAGTTTTTGGGCGCTATGTACTTGCTACTTTTTTGTGCAAGGAAGGGGTGGGAGAGGGTGGTGATCAGTGGGACGTTCCGTGTGTGGGTTAGAAAGGTTTGGGTGGCCTTGTTTGCCCTGTTTTTTTTCTCTTTGGTGTGGTTGGCGTCTGGGTACGTTGGGGGTTAGACGGTTGGATGGAGGGGTGGGATACGCCGGGGATATGCCGGGGAGTGTTTTTTTTTGCGTGGGTGGAGAGGAAAGGGAGGGAAAGGAGGAGGAAGATGGGTTGTTGGTGGATTGGGGGGCTGTTACCCCCTTTGATTCTTCGTTTGGGCAGCAAAAAGGGTTGATATGGGCATGGGTGATGCGGATGCTTGCTTTTTCCTCTCTTTCTTCCTCTTTCTCTTTGGCTTGGTTGGTGATGGGCGTCGACGATCAAGTACGTATCGTGGGTATGGTTGCATCGATGGTTTGCCGAGCCGGCACATTGGCCCAGTACCACTGGCATTTGCCCTTTCCCCCCCCCCCCCCCCCAAATCTCTGGATCTACATACTCAGAAGCAGAGAAGGTGTCAGTAAAGCATGTTCGCAGTGATTTTCGCTTGCTCGGGCTTCTCTTCTCGCCTTCGCTCGTGAGTAAACCGATTTTTTGTTCAGGGGCTTTTACTCTTACAAAGAGTTTGACTCACTTTCCTTCCTTAGGCCTATCAAAGCAAGGTGGACTTATCGTTAAGTTTGGATCAATAACTGTGGTCGATGACAGGGTACCACTGATCATGCCCGAGCGTCGGGTTTCTGTGGAGCCTCTATTCCGAAACGCGTGTACTGGGATTACCATACCTTGTCTTCAAACGTTCTGGCTCCGACCCCGTCAAACTATCTTGTCGGCACAGTCCGCGCAAGTCAGAAAACTCGGACACGCTCCGGACGGTATTGTAGTGGTGTACTATCGTAGGCTTGCCCTTGGCCCCCTATCTTCAGCCTCTATCAGGATCTACGTCTAAGCGAATGAGCGCAGACCGGATGGCAATGCGCGCCCATCACAGGTCAAAACCCGGTACTTTCCTCGCTTAGTCCAGGGATCATCCGGTAGACATGATGATGGCCGAAGCCACATGTCGGCGCAATGCACGAGCTGAGCACCGAACCGGTACACCTACTTGCACATGTGTGCATGTCGTCATAATCGTCTACTTGCTTGATTCAGACATTTAGCTCTCTCTCGTATTCAACAGGCGTCTAGTTAATGTTGAGAAATCTCGCATGCGCTGGCGTCAGTACGTGACGAGGACTTGGGTCAGCTGTGAAATATTGGCGCTGTTGACACACTCGACCAAAGTCTGAGACCTGAAAGAGGCTGTAAAGCACGTTCATCTGTACTCTCATGGTTTGTTAGGCCAAGCGGAACCCCGCATGGTTCAACCTTGCTTCGCTGGTTGCTGGTTGCAGTCCAGCGTGCTAGGTAGCACCCGAGGTGCAAGGTACGGGTACTAGCTTCTGTCCCCATAAGCCATGGTGCAACAAAGGGAAGAAATGTGCCGTGTGAGGTGATACCACAGATAGACTTGATCACGCTATCTTGCCCCAAGCGTGGGTATTTCCGATGGATGCTTTGATTCGCATGAGCCTCACTCCACCAGTGGCCTCTTTGTGTAAACCAAACGATGAATCAGGCCTTGGTTTGAATGGACGCTGTCAAGTTCCCATGATGCTGTAACTGTTCAGACCCATTGGGTGCTTGAATTATCATGATATTGTAGTTTCCTACAAGCACCCCTTATGTAATACTACCACTAACAGTAGATGACCGGGAACCTGGTTGATACGTAATTTGTCGTTGCCTATCCATATTTTGAGGTTGCACCATGAACCCCATTTGTCCTATCCAAAACCCAATTGTGACAACGCCTTCCAAATGCTCCAATGATGTACAAAAGAATAGTACAATTACAAAGTAGCTGGATATTACAATTGCAGAAAGACAGTGTCACCATGATTGCTTGATGACACGATACGCATCCGAGACGAGTTTTTGTCCGTACTGCTTCTCGAAACTTCTAAAGTTTGTTTTCAACCCAAATACAAGAAAAGTAATTCACTAGAGTATGTATGAATCAGACATGCGGAGACTGAGATGTCACAACGGCAAGTTTCAAGCTGAACATGTTCACGCTTTATCCGAACCCCAAGGCTCCGATGCAAGCTACGAGCATCTGACGCATCTATGCTTGCTGCGTATGTTGAAAAGAAAATGCGTATCTGGGGGTTGTATTGGCTGCGCCATCAGTTTGCACTGCTGAGCGACAACTAGCTTGTAAGCTGACCAACAACACCAAACAGCAATTGGCTATCGGTCTTGTACAGCGCATCGTCGTTTGCAAAGGAAGTCTGGAGACTGTTGGTGGTTCTCCAGAAGTTTCCATGGCTGCTGTTCCTGGCGTTTTGTCCTTCTTGAGCGGCCATTTCGGTAAGTTGCTTGATACGATGTGACACTGTCTTCTGTTGCGTTTTTGCCGATGACCAAAAGCTTGCCAGTTCATCGATGCACGAGAGGGAGGTGCTCAATGTCTCAATCAACTTTGGTAGAGTCGAGAAGAGACCTGCAGAGGTGAGGACATCAACAGAAAGCATGAGTGCATAACCGGGGAACGGTGTCGAAAACAAAAACTCGGATGCTGCGGCAGCTGGAAGACGCTGCTGACGGTTGACCTTGGCTACGGAGTGCATCATGGAGAGGAAGTTGGAGGCCATGAAGAAGGCCTGTTTGAGGTTCCGGCATATTTTGTCTGCTGGCAATGCATTGATTCGGACGTGCCGATTCAGTCGAATCGTCGCTGCACAATACAGAGCATGTATCGATATGAAGGTACCTGCATACCCTTCAATGATACTCGTATCGAAATTCTGCATGGTATAACGCAAATTTTCGGGAAGCATAGCGTGCCAGGCATCCAGTTTCTCATAAGTCTTTGCGTAGAAGGTTTCGTAATGCCGTTCATATCCAGCGTCGGGTCGCCGAGCTGCTCGACCAGTGAAGGTCAGCACCTCCCCCCACAGCGTTGAGATCAGACACAAGTGTGCCATATGACCCAAGATGGTGACAGGTGCCCCTCTTCCACTGAGAAGCTCTTCGCTGAAGAATGGGGCGTCGGATGGAGTCGATGACTCGTACATCCTGTCCAGACATGGGAGCCGAACAAAGGCGTCTTCCATGCTGAAAACAAACAAGGTCCCCCCAAAAAAGCCGTTGTATCGCTGTGGGGATGTCAAGTCAACGGGTGCCGGGTCCTTGATGATGTCGTAACTTACATCCATCAGTAGTCCAGACCAGAAGGTACGTCGGCAGCATTCTTCAAAGGTCTGGCGGTCGAAACCGTAGTCAGGGTTGGCATTACTGTCCGCGAGATCTTTGATGCCATCTTCTGTGTTAATCTTCAGTGCGCTGATGGCTCGTAGGCCAGCTCCGCAGTAGTCCCATGCCTCCTGTGACTTGCCTTTGGCGAAAAAATACAATGCAAGCATCAACCGCGTCTGACATAGCTGTAAACTGAATTTCCCGAAGCGTTTTTCAGCCGCATATGAAGCAACAGAAACAAATCTCTTGCCTAACGATCTTCTCTCTGGATCCGTTGCAAAAGCGGATCCCATTGCCAGGGTCGCATAGAGGAGCATCAAGTGGTCTTGATTCTTATCGCGGCTTGTCTCCACCCACGTAAGGAACGCCCGACGCGGGAACATACTGTATGTTGCGCGGCCAGCATGGCCAAAATAGAGCTCCAGCAAATCCAATGTGAGCCTAGGATCAGTTTCAAAAGGGTCTTGTTCCCATTGAAGCGCAAGGGGATCAGAGTACGACCCGCGTCCAAAGTCCTCCATGACCTGTTCGTTTGCAGAGCCACTCCAATCTGAGTCGTACGAGTGTACTGACATGTCTCTCTTGTTCCCAATGGCAGTTGATCGAATTTTCCGTGGCCTATAAGGAGTACTGATGTTCCAAGGATCAATGGCAGATTTGGGTGGTTCTCGTGGCTCTCCAATCGCTCTGGCTCTCTCAGTAGCCGCTGAAGGACTAAGCACTTCAGACGATGGGTGTTTATATAGCGGAGCGGAGCCTGATGGAGACGTCTCGCCGGATACATTGTTCTGGTTAATTCCACTGCCGAGGGTCAATATTTGTCAACAAGTGATACACGCTTTAATGCTCCAGCTCCCGCGTTAATGCGCTGTCTTCCTCCACAATAAAAAGACACGATATAGTCTGAACGGAAAAAGGCCACTTACCCTCGACACACTCTCTGCGACTTTGCGCATTGGTGGCATTTTGGATACCCCGGTTCACACTTGATCTTCTTCTCGCGACAAGTCAAGCAGGCCTGTGCAAGTCGTTTTCGAGGTTTGCCTGCCTTGGTGATGCCCCACGAGGGGTTGACTGCCTCACCATCTATAATGGCACGGCAATACGTGCCATCTTCATAGACGTAACAAAGACCTTCGCCCGGTATGTCACGCTGACCAACACATCGGGAAGATTGTATTAGTGCGCGTGAGGAGCCATCTAGTCGTCGCATTCTCATAGGCCTGCTCGGATCGAATCCTAGTTCCTGTTGGCCCATGATTGAGCCCGCTGAATCAGACGCCAGTGAAGGCTGCCGGTGCCCGTTGCCAGCCAAGTCATGTTGCGAAGGATGGACAAAACTTTCGCGGCGTTGGAGCTCTAGTCGACCAATCCCGAATCCGGAGCTGGATGTTGACGAGGCAGTAGACGGAGTAGCGGTTGTGGCCGGAAGAGACTGACGATGGTGATAGAGCGACTGTGAAGCCATGGCATTGTGCTCTGGGTAGCCATGGAAGTGGCTATCGTGTTCATGTCGCCGTTTCAACGTCGGACTGGAAGATCCGTAGCGTCCGCCCTGTGTATACGGGTGCTGAGTGCCAGACGCACTCAATGGTGGTGGATCGGAGGACTTCTTGTCGAGTAGCTCTGGCTCCAAGAGCGTACGGAGACTCGGCAGTTGCTGGGCATTGCTCTGGTTGCCACTGGAATCAGCAGGTCGAACTGGGTGGCCTGGTGCAATAATTTCTGGTCGAGAGGCTGAAGCATGGTGTGGCGGGTAGGAACCGTAGGACGGCGGAGGACCTGAGTGTGAGGGTATACGAGCCGGACGACTCATGTTGAGGAGCATAGTAGGTGAAGGAGATTGTGATGTTCGGCGATTGAAACAGGATAACCTCCACGGTGCACCCTCTCAGTCGGCCACATGAAGGTTTCTGGGACAGCAGGAGCTTGAAACCACCTCAACCCTCGAAAGACCAAGGCAACGCCTGAGCTGTGACACTGATGCAAATAGGGCATCAGCTAATGATCGTCTGGTCGTGCGTACAAGGGTATGAGGGGGGCAAAATGGGAAAGGCTGCCAACGAACAAGAGTGTGATTGCGCGTGGGCTAGCCTGCACCGGAATATTTGCTGCGGGCTTTTACAGTCTGGAAGAAATATGCCAAAAGAACCACCAGTCCGTGCAGGGTTGACGCCTGGAGATGAAGCACAGCTCTCTCCGGCTTCTTATGAATTACAACCGAAACATAAAGGCAGCAGTGCATGGGAGAAGGGTATGTAGGGGCAAGACGGGACGAACTTACAGCCGCAGGGTTTATGACATGCGGCGCAGGCACCTTGTGAGCGCAATCGACACCGAGCACGCAGCGGACAATGCTTGGATTGCCTGGTCGCGAAGGCAAAGGACAATAGCAATAAATACGATAATACCGGGTAACAGAGGTGGAGGTGGGCAGACGACAGCGGGACCTGTGCTCGGCCAGTCAAGAGCTTACCAGGACGCCCTTGTAAGACGAGGTTCCGAAGGGAAGCGACCGCGGCTTCAAAATAGGCCAGCTATCATGCCAGTGGCGTGCAGTGACGGACCGCCAGGGACATGGTCGTGGAGCTCTTCGCTGTTTGAGACCCGAAGATGCTAGGACAAACCGGGGTAGTGGACAAGCCAGCCGGAATATTGGCTGCAGCTATCGAGTCGATACCGTCTGGGGACAGGGTAGCGTGGTGAGAGCGATGCAGACGGATGCACGTTACTGCAGTTATGGATGGCGCGTGGGCGATGTGAGCCCCAGATCGTACCAACACGGCACTGGCCAACCGCAGCTACCGCTAATGACCTGTGCAGATCATGCAGCATGGGAACGGAATGCAGTGAACATGTCCTTGCTATTCTGCCGCCAAAGTTTGGGACCTGGCGTTAGGTTCTGGAGCGGTTCTGTCCAATGAGGGCTGCGTGGGTTGGGGCCAAGAACCAGATGTAGCGAAGGAGCGCAGCCACGGGAAAGGATGCACTGGCTGCAGAAGAGGAGAAGGCAAAGGCAGACGGGCGGCCGTCAAGAAGGGCAAACAAGAGGCCCAGCGAGTGTCGGCCGTCGGCCCTGTATCGCCAGCAGCCCCGGGCCATGGGCGTGCAAACTTGAAGAAGCTGGCGTGCCTTGGTGCTGTCAGCTGGGGGAGGAGACGTCGGTGGCCGTGCTAAAGCGGCGGGTGAGGCCAATCGGAATGGGCTCACAGCAGCCGTTGAGCGGCCGATGGAGCCCATCTCGATTGTTGCGTATCCCGGATCCCCCCTAACGCCTCTGGCTTTGCTTGCATGAAGCCCCGCGCCGAACGGCTCGACGTCTTTGGCTCGGTTTCGTCCAAGCCGGGCTCTGCTGGGGCGCTGGGCGGCGTAGATAATCAGAGCAAGCCCCGGAGGGAGCCCTTGATGGCTTGACACATGGTAGCATGCTGTCACAGAGTACCGCTCCGTCAATGAGCGTGCGTACGCCGTGCACATGGCGTGCAGGTGGGTGAGGCTGCTGTAATGTCGATCTAGGGACGGGTGTCGTGGCCCGCTTGGCCTGTGATGACGCCTACATGCTGAGGACTACAAGACGCTCGCGCTCACACCGTGGATTTCGAGACAAAGGACCGACACCGAGAAAGCCAGGCACAGGCGGATCGCCGTTGAGTGTGGCCTGAAGCGAGGCGGCTTGCGAGTCATTGGCGATGCTGGGGTAGCAGCAGCAGTAGTAGGAGTGTACGTACATATACGGTACGTACAGACAGCATAATGCTCTGCTCTAGGAATAGGACGTCCGCTTAGTAGTGTACATGCATCCACACGAGCGTCGCCGGGAGTGAGTGCCCCGGTCACATGGCCGCTAGCGGCTTGCTTACGCGACTAGCGGGTGCATGCCAAGCTAGCCTCGAATCTCTGCAGCCGCGACCCAGTCTGGCATGCACAACAACACCAACACCACCACCACCCAACCCCCGTCGTCGCCTTCCTGTTCGCATCTTCGCCGCCACAGCGTGCATGAAGCATACATAAATTCTGACGTAGCAGACTATTTCATCGCGCCCGAGCGCACAGTAAACACTTGCCATGGCCCCTGAGCACGGCGACAAGGACAAGGCGCCCAAGTCTCCGCCAGCTGCTGCTACCACGCCGCCCCGTGACGGCCGTTCCAGTACCCCAGAGGCTGCCAGCGTGGTCGCACCCAACCGCGACGGAAGCTACGCGCCGGGTGCTGAGGCTCCGCTTCCCTATGACGACAGCGCGCCTCCGCTCCCAGACGAGCCCGTTCCTGATGCTGAAGACGATGGCTGGGAGAGCAAGTGGGACTACAACGCCGGCGCCTGGTACTTTTACAATCGCAAGACGGGTGTCTCGCAGTGGGAAAACCCCCGCGTACCAGAGGCTACCACGTATACATATGGCTCGTACGACAGGTTTGCTAACTATCATCGTCTTCGTTTGTCTTTCCTAGCCTAATACGTGAACTCGACAGAAACTATGCCAGCAGCTCATCCGCCATAGCCTCAACCGCTGGTGCGCCTGGAACTAGTTCTCCTCCCCGGCGCAAGTGGGGTGGATACAATCCCGCAATCCATGGCAGCTACGATCCTAACGCAGACTACGCCAGGGAAGCCACCAAGGAAGAGGAGGAGGCAGAAGCGGCTGCTGCTGCCACTCTCAACGCACCATACGGAGCGGGACATGACTACGCAGCTACCGCTCAGTTTAACCGCTTCACAGGCAAGTTCCAACAAGCTGGCCAAGGACCGGAGCTCCACAACGACGAGAATAAAAGCAAAAGGCAAATGCATGCCTTCTTCGACGTAGATGCCGCTGCAAACAGCCACGACGGCCGCAGTCTCAAGGCAGAGCGCCGCGCAAAAACTCTCTCCAAGAAGCAACTCAAGGAGTACAACGAGAGGCGCAAGGAGAAGAAAGAAGAGAAGCGCAAAGCCTGGCTCCGCTCCGACTGAACGCATGGGCGGTAAGGCAAGAAAAAAGACGACAAAGTCAATACGTCCACTAATGCGACCTAGGCATGGGCAACGCCATTGACGTGATCAAGTTGCACCCATCTTCCCAGGTAGGGCCTAACACTTGCTTGGTCTTTGTACCTTTGATTCATGGATATGACACGTTTTTCTGGAAGAAAGCCCACGCTACGTTTGAAGTTGTTTGTTTAGCGTCGCGCCACCAACGATACACATCCTGCACGGGCACGCCCACGCTCTCAGCGCCTGCTCGAGCAAGTGATGACAGATCACAGCAATCCCATTCCTTATTCTTTCGTCTAGAGGTGTCTATAGAGCCATTACGAGGAGCAAGAGGCTCGGGCTGCAACTCATGTCAAAGACTGAAAAGCGGTCTTGTTCGCTGTAGTGCTTATCCTAGAGTAGGATGCAATGACAATCCGTCTGCCACACTCTCGGTCTAAAATCTCTCTCTCTCTCTCTCTCTCTCTTTCTCTGTCTATCATCCGCACGCATAGTCGTCAACCTGTCCTACTAGCACCACAGCTCTGATCATGTGCGACACAGACGCGGTCGTGCTAACTGCAGACCATGCCATGCAGCAATATGCTTGCTGCACCGGCGTCCCGTCATACTCAGCATATACGCTTCCTTGCAAACGGGCAGATCGCAAGCAAAGCACGTTGATTGCCGGCAACAGTTTTCGGCTGCTCAATCATCCTTTGCCATGCTATTCTGGGTATTCAAGTGCTCCATCTGTTGCCGGGCATTCTCCACCGCTGACCCAACTGTCTGCTGTGGGGATGTCTTATCGCCCTCTGCACTATCCATATTGACACCGCCCATATCCTCGTCAGCACTCTCTCCGGCCGACCCCTCACCGGTCTGGCCGATACCCTTTTCCAGTTCTTCAACGGCGCCAAGCAGCCAGTCAACTACGTCATTCTTGTCGTTAATCTCTGCCTCGTACACGGCGTCGTGGCCTGCTTGGTTCACAATGGTAACATCGGCACCAGAATTTATGAGAAGTTTGACGCTTTCAAGGTGGCCATTCAGCGCTGCCCAGTGGAGAGGGGTGTTTCCTGCTTCGTTGACTGCATTAAGGAACTCTGGGCGAGGCTTGTCCGTGCTGGTCGACAAGAGCAATTTGATGACGTCTAGGCAACGGGTCAGATTTGGCAGTGTAGTATCAATGCTCTGGGACAGTACCATTGTGACCGTTGGCAGCAGCATAATGCAGTGCGCTGTTCTTAGAATACGGATCGATGGCCGCGGTCAGTAATTCGGCCTTGGACTGCTTGGCCTTGGCTGACAGTTCGGAGAGAAACGAATCGAGCTCAGTTGCCTCATTTGTGCGCGCGAGGTAGAGGATGTCGTCTATGGTGTCTTCATCTAGGCCTGCCATGTTTGCTGTGCGCTGCGTTTGGATGTCTGCTCGATAATTTTGTGCAAACAATTTTTTGGGCAGGGTTCGCCGAAGGAGGAAGGCGGGGGCGGGGTATCAGACGCTAGCCCTGATGCGTCTCGGCGTCTTTTCCTGTCAGGCTGAACTGACGCTGCACCTCCTCACCCTCTCACACACCCCCTGCCTGTCCATGTTGCATGCACGCTGCGCTTCTCGGTCGTATACTGTCCACACACAGCTAGCACATTCGACCTCTCGTTGTCCTTTCGTCAGCATAAAGTCATCTTGATGCTGCACCCCTGACTGCAGATCACGCATCCTTGATGAACGAGCACTGCAATCAATCTGTCGAAGCGCTAGAGAAGGTAAGCCCTGTACCCATGTATGGCGTGCAGATTGACGGCCCAGTCTCTTCTCCGGCCGCCACTCGGATCTACCCAATCATGCCGCCCACTTTGGTGGCTGAAACGAGCCAGTAGCCGCACCCGTATCCACAGTCTTGAGAGCCGCTGTCTCTTCGAGCCCACGCAAGGTCAATCCTGGCATGTTTCGCCCTTGCGTTGACTGTCAACTCTGCCACAGCGGAGCAGACTGAGTTTGTCTGCTTCCCCGGTTAAACATGGAGCCTCTGCAGCTCTGGTTTGTACATCTTGCATTGTTGAGGTGCAAGACCAGCACAACGAACATACATACAAGCAAAATACCCTTCAGCTCCCATAAAACCCGTATCGGCTCAATCAAAACATTCCTAGGCCTACGCCAGAGTGCATCACCGACGGACATGCTTAGGACTAACTGTGCAGCCAAAATCCTTCATTCAACAAATCCAGGGTATGTCGCTTGACGGTTGAACGGGGGTCTCAGGCCACCTCACTGCCGTTCCGCTGACCCTTGTCAGGTAATAGATTGGCACAAGAGTTTCGATCCATGAACCTGGTCCGCCCGCAAAGATCCGAGATCACAACGGGCCTAGGTACATTGCGTGCCTCGGTGTGAGCATCATCACACCAACCCCTGCTGCTTTCCCTTCCATATCGCAATGTTCGCCAACAGTTCCACGCACATGAGAGATCAGTCCTCGGGACTGATCTGATACTAATCTAGCACAAACTTCTACATATTTAATGCTACTTGTCCCGTGCTTTGATGTGTCAATCGTACAAGCACTACTAACTTACAGTAAGCTTGGATCGACACGGACGTTAATATCGACCTAAATGAAATGGGTATATTGTCCGTCGGATGACAACCGAGCCCAGTTTTACACACCAGTGACAATGCAGGAGACCAGTCTGCAGGTACGCCGTGTTTCTCAATGCGCTCCTGTCTGCTCTTGTCCATGGAGCTGTTGGTTGTGTATCTTTCCAAGGATGGGTGGTGTTCCGCTGCTCAAAGCTTCCACTCTAGAGTACTAGCGTACAACATACGAAGCAGCAGCCGTGTCCTCCGATGGATAACACGCAACCATCCAACTCTACTAGGTTTGATCAATTATACCTTCACTAGACTGAAACAGCACAGATCCTCCATGGAAATCCACGTACGGCTCGCATTCGTACTTGGGTCCGATGAAGCTTTTTGCACACATCACCACAGATGGAAGTACATGCTCGTTGCCAATGCGCCTTCCTACGACGGTGCGGCAACGTGCAAGGGCCCCTTTCATCAACCCTACAGTACAAGTCGGTGTATGTACTTGTACCAGGGCAATCTACGTTACATTTCCAAAGTACCGCACGTGGCAGCGACCGACCGAGTCAACCTCGATATGACAGCCAATATTCTTACGGTGTTTGCCAACGCTGCTTTAGCACACCATCACTGTTTGCTGTGCCACCGACGCTTGCAAAGCTAATTTGCTTTTAACTTTCTTCGATGCACACTAAGATACCCCGCGCGTACTCGGACGGCACGGCTAGGCCAGTGCAAGGGTCTTCTTGTATGGGACACAAAGGCGGTATTGAAAGCCGAGTCGACAAGTATTGCTTTTTGCGGTAATGTACCGAATGTCTACTAACCGATTGCCTTGTTGAGCGTATTAAATTCGAAGGAGTGGACGCCGTACGACACAGCCGGTTGGACCTTCCTGCTGCGCCGTGTGGCTGCATTTTGACCAACATTTGTCACGCGAGTGCGGTTGTTCGAATGAACAAACTTGGCAGAGAGGGATCTCCTAGCTCGTGTACGCATCTCTCATACGTCGGTTGTGAGGTGGCGGAAGCATCGGGTCAGCGCTACATTGACGTCGCATGAGAGCCAATGCAAGACATCGTGTTGTACGTCGGCAAAGCATCTGAATTCTCCATGGAGGCTTTGTAGGTATGTAGGGTTGACAGAAGCCGTCGATCTACGTGACAAGGGCGGCTCCGAGCATCCCTAGCTGCTGCTGCGCTTTGACAAGCAAGGGTAATGGGTGCCTAAAATTGCTCCCTGTGTCTGCGCGCCGCCTCGAGGCGGACCGGCAGCTGGTGTTGGCGTCTAGACAGGGAGTAGGTTCACAAGGCCTTTGCTCTTAAGGATTCACATGTCAAATCTCAAACAAGCAGTCGCCCCTTCGAGACCCCCGAAGCGGGCCATGTACCTGCGGGAAGATCCTGACGGACTTCTTTAATTATTTGCCAACCGAAGCAGGCAACGGAACAAATTGCATCTGCCGAGCTCCCCATGAACATTTCTTCCCGTCCGTTACTTCTTACCGTCCGAGCTTGTTGACAAAACCTCGCTAGAATATAAAATTTTCCCTATTTTTCCGGCTGCAGAAAACGCAAGGGACATGGGAAGAGACAAAAAAGAGGCTAAAGTACACGCCTCACCTTCCCGATCGTTTCTAGAAACCCTGTGTGTGCGTTGGTTTGTTTATAAAAAAAGCCCCGAGCGGGAAGGCGGACCTTGCATATATTTTTTGCGTTGGGCTTCTCGAACGTCTATTTGTAGGTCATTATACTATACCACATTGACCCTTGCTCTGTTAAGTTCTCTTCTCTCATCCCCCTTCTTCCTGCCGGCTTGGCGTTGGGTTGGGTGCTATTCAGGCAGAATATAAGGGTTTACCGTATGTATGATAGGAACAGTGATGATTGAATTTATTCGGGGAAACCTTTTTTCCAACGATAAGAGAAGAGAGAGATTGTTGACTGAGAAAGTGGGGTGGGGGTGGGGGGAGCGGGTAAGACTGTCTGTGTGATTGCAGCCATGGTTAAAGATGAAATTTACTGCGATATTTTAACCTGTTTTGCCTATCTCTCTATACATTTTAGCGGTCATTGTGGATCCCCTTTGTTGGAGCAGCTAATTTGGCAAATACGAAGGTATTATGAAAAGTATGAAGATGGCAGATGAAAAAGTTACGTTACCTTTGTTTCAAGGGTCTTTGCTAGTTTGGCTGGGCCGTTTATTCGTATTGGCCATCATGCTCATTGACCCTTGTTTTCTATTAACTCACTTACGTATTCTCTATTTCCTGGGTGTGAGTGAGAGTGAGATAGAGAGAGAGAAAGTCCGGCATTGACCATAACTTACCCGCTAGCTAGCCCCTATGCGGGCGTTTTTTGTTCCTACCATACATAGTCGTTATCTGATTCAAGGCGCCTGTTAATATCAAAAGGTTGTATGTACGCTAGAGATGGTACAAGTGGCGGTTTCCCTTAAGAAGGAAAAGAACAGGTTGATGAGAGTTATGATTACTTGGAAGAATTTGTAGTATACATTGCGGAGCTTGTGTTTCCTTGACGTACGTATTGTTGCACATAAGATATTACTGTACATCTGTTGTGTACATATATCTGTTGACAAGTATACGTGTATGTAGGGTAAGGATTTGAAGCGGGTAAATACGAGGTGCAGGTTTTTTAGTTCTTGGAGTATGGACGTGCGTTATGTAGGGTTGTACGTAAGTACTCTAGGTTGTGTAGATAAATGACATGTTTTAGTGGACCGGTTAGGCTGGGATGATGACGCACTCGTGTTCGTTTTGGTAGTTTTGACGATATGAGGGGTTGTTGGGTGGCACTGGTCGTTTTGTGCACTTTGGGCGCCGAAGCGCCGAGGTGCCGAGGGAGAGAGAGCGGTGTGATAGGAGGTTGTGGGATAAGTGGGTATGGGGGGAGAGGGGAGATGGGATGTTGGGTTTTGTGCCCTGCTTGGGTTTGCTACTCTTTGCTTGTCCTCTGAGTAGTATCTAGTCACATTGATTTTTGCACATGGAGAATATGAAATTGGAAAGAGAATTTATTAGCACTGTGTTTAGTTTAGAATGTATTGTTTAGTGATGTTGTATGCTCGGCAAGGGTACTGGGATACAGGTATTTGCAACATCCTTTCTTCTCATGTGTCTTTTTTCACACTAGCTCTATTGTTGTATACTACAAGTGGGTGTGACTAAAAACAAGAGGAAAAACAGAAATTGGGACTGAGAAGCTGTAGAAAGAGTAGCGAGTGTAACCCGAGTATTGCCAGATGCTATAATGTATAGAGATTTATGAGACTACAACTCCCATTACGACAGAAGGAAACAAGACTGCATTCACTGGGCATGTAGGAGGAAGGTGGCACAGCAATAGGCAAGAGGGACAGGTTCCTGTAATAGTTTATATCCGCTGTCTCTACTGTCACCCCTAAAGCTCTCCTTATACGGGTGAGGACATGGAACTAGTCCTGTGCACTAGGACGATACCAGAGAAGCGACAGAAGCAATGAAATGTTATCAAGAAGCCGACTGTTTGTCATGCTATGTGGTGGTAATAGTACATGGAAGAAAAGAACAGTATATAGTGTGAAGAAAAGAGATGAACTCTCACGCCTAGAGCACATCTCAAATGCCTTCATGCACCCTCACTTTTTGTTCAAAGGAGAAGAGAAAATAAAACGCCAAAATCACTCATATCAGACACAAACCGCACTCGTAGAAAATAGACAAAAGAAGAAGAAAAGGCCCGTCTACTCCATACACCAAAGGGCGACAAAGAAGGAAGAAAAGACAGACAGCTCACTCTTCGATCAGCGCACCCAGAATTAAACTCTGAATGACAAACTCTGCACAAGTGATCCTAACAGTTATGCCCCCAATATCTCCCTTAATGAAAAGTTCTTCTTGAACTTCACCATCAACGTCTCTCTTCCTCTTCTTGCCCCCCTTCTTAGACTTGCCACTTACAGCTGCAGGTTTCTCTGTGCCGAGTAACGCAGCCGCAGCCTCGGTGACACCGTGTTCGTCATTGTCTACATAAACCCAGTCCCACTTGCTATTGGCAAGCATATCTGATGCAGCTGCTACATCGGCGCAGCGACCAACGTTTGCGGACCCGAGGGCATGTGAGAGAAAGAAGAACGGTTGGCGTTTCTCGATTGCCTTCTTTGATTTGCCAGTTATTAGAAGGACATTTTGGTCACGTAAAAGCAGGTCGCGGCCTTGGATTATCTGCGCAAAAGTGGTATCCTCGCTGGCTGGATCGTAGGGGGCCATTGTGCGTGAGCGGATGACACCGTTTGGATCGAGAAACTTTGAGACACCGGCGGGCAAGAGGTAACGTGTAAAAGGGGCAGCGCGAGAAGCGTTGAGCGAGTCGTGAATCCAACGAACATGCAAACACGGAACGTTGAGGGCGAGAGCTTGGATGTACTTTGTGCTGCGAGAGTGGGCATCCGAAATAAGTGCAACAAAACCTAGGTCCTTGTATGCCTGCTTGAGTACCAGGCCATTAGATCCCTCGAAAGTAGAACTTGATCTCCGGCGGTTTTCAGAAGATGGTGGGGCCTCCTCTAACTCATAGTCAAAAAGTTCGTGAAAGCCGTGCTCTAGTACCTGGCCATTGTTGCTTTTGATAATTCTGGTAACGCTGTCTTTGTCCACATCCGCTGTCGTGGATGTGATTACAAAAGCCATGTTTGCGAATACACCGCTGCTAGATCGGGTTGTCGAAGCTACAGAAGCAGCTCGCGTGGTAACATCTTTCAGAAAAGACAACACTGCCGTTCCGCGTCGAGTGAATGAAGGAGTAGTCAAAGGGTCTGCAATAGGAGTGCCTATGCATGAGACTGATTTGGTTGGCGAGATCATCGATGACAATGCAAAGGATCGATCGCGAAGTCGCTTGCAGAGCGAAGCGGTCAGATAGATGCTTGCCATGGGTACTGAGATATGCGCAGATGGTTGAAGTGCTTTAGCCCGTGGTAAACTCTCCCTTGGTCTCTCATCCAGAACGACTGTCGTGTGCCCACGCTGATCAGTAGTTGGAAACTCTTCGCCGCCAAGATCATTTATCCTGTCTTTGAAGCCCACCACAATGTACGTGTTCTTCTTCATACCTGGCTCATCCACCTTGACCTGATCACCCTTGCGAAGGTCTAGTGCTCTTACATGTGCCGCGTCCATGAATGTAATGTTACCGTCATCATAACGGATCTGAAGCTGACGAGCTGTTGCACGACCAATACACGTAGCAGGGTAATAGTGGCTTCCCGGCCAGCACGCGAAAACCCTATTTGGCACAACAATTTCAGGTGGAGTCGTACTTCTCTGGGATAAATCTACGTCCATTTTCTCGAAGTTGGCAGGCTGGGGAACAGAACTAACAGGCATGGCTGTTTGGCTGCCGACATCGGCCATGTCAATATCAGTTGACTGCTTCGCGATAGCTTCCCGAGGCTTCGTAGGCGTAACTGGGCTGCTAGTCCGAGCACGAGCAGACCCCCCTGATCTTGTAGGCAATTGTACAGGTGAAGACATGGTTCGTAAAAGCTTTTTTGAGACCGATTTCAATGCACCTTGTCGTTGATTACGAGGCCTGGAAGGCTTGGGCAGAACTTTGGACTTCAATGAGGTCGTTCGCGTATAGGAAGATCGCGCTTCTTGTTGTGTATCGACCATTGTAAGCGCACTCTGTTCTTCATGGTCGTGAGTCAGCATGACTGGCTGGGTCTCCTCGAGTGCTAGCTGAACTTGGTCGAGATGAGGCGATGGAGGAGGATCTGAAAGCGACTCCGTATCAGTTGTCGCTCTCGGCGAATCTCGGAAGGCTTTACGTTTATCAGTATATGTAACCCTGCGCCGCTTCGCAGATGGCGCAGCTGGTGAAGACCGCTGCATGAAGACATCACCGTCATCATCCTCCAGCCCGCTCAGTCTAGGCATCTCCACATCTTCTTCATTTGCTGAATGCTGAGTCTCGGGAAGATTATAGATATCGTCCAAACACCGGATGCGGTCACCTTCCAGAATTGTATCGCTTCTGTTGTCTTTTGAATTGATGGGTCCTGGCAGGTTGAAAGGAGATCCGTCACGGTCTTCTCTAGCCGTCTGAAGAAGACCTGTGCCGTTCGTTTCGTTCTCAACAACAGTATCATCCTCTACGACTTCTTCTAAGTTCTGGATCGCGAAGAACGAGGGTTGCGTCTCCTCAAGTGCGTCTGTTTCTGGAATGGTATCCTGACGCTGCATACGTGGTGGTCCAGGTAGTTTGTTACTGTGCACGTTGTGTCCAGGATTTAAAGTCTCTGATACTTGATCAATTTCCACGTATGGTTCTGCCGGCTTAACCAAATCCAACTCTTCTTTGTCTGAATACGTCCCTTGATCTCCAATCATGTTGTCTTCACCTACAGGCCCTTGCTTTGCTAGAGGCAGATCGTCTTCCTCATCCATGGCTGTACCACCATCAATTGTTGGGGATAACAACCCTTCTTGCTCTGGAACTCCCTCTATGTATTCATCGTACGTATGTTCATCGTATTCCACATCTCCATCTCCAGCCTCGGCATCATCAGGAGGCAGAAGTGGCGGGCTGCTGGGTACCCGCTCCTCGCCCTCGGGTGTCACGTCATCTTCAGCGCTACTCGACTTGGATGGCATTGGAGGTATGGAAGATGAAACGACCTGGCTTGTATATCCCGTCTTGGTAGCCATGGTTGTCTGGTTTATGCTGTATTGGTTTGTTGATGGTGATGAAGGAAAGCGTAGCGATTTCGGCCGTGGGACACTATCGAAATCTGCAGTGACATCTGGCTGAGAGTCCATCACGGCCACAGATTCTCTGCTGCTTTGCGGTTGGAATGATCGATGGAGACTGTGCAGCAATCCGATTTCTTGTAGTTGGTGTTCTCGGTGCATCAATGAAGCTTGTGTATTTGGTTGAGAGGAGGCCCGTGAAAGTGAGCCTGAGGGAGTCCAGTGAGGATGCGAAGAGGTTTTGGGGACTTGCACGTTGTTATCGTTATGTCTCCCCGCAGTCCGTGCAGTATCAGGCACCTGCTGTGATGATTCATCGACGGGGTCTTCTGTATTGTGTTCATTCGTTTCATTTTCCGTAACAGGTTGCGACTGCTCATCCATTGTCACGTCATAGTCCTCCACTCCGCTATGCACTCTGCTTCGCGATGTCTTCGACTTTTCGGGCGACGGATAATCAGTGTTCATTGTGCGCTCCCTGGTCGATCGCAACAACACAGGGGTTGGCGCTGAGACGCTGGACAAGGACCTGGCCGCCTGGCGATGGGCATGTTCTCTTGCTTTTTTGGCCCGCACTTTGCGAGACAATTCCTCCCAGCTGTCTTGCTCCACGAGGACTCCATGCTCATCTCCTACAGATAGTTTCCTTCTTTCCTGTGACTGTTTCATTGTGACGTACTCGGCACGTGGCTGGCTGGAAGATCGTACTACGGGGTCTGATTTCGGGGTTTCGGGTTGGGTAGTTTTCATTGGACTCGAGTACGCTAGTATTGGACTCGAGTGTCGTATGTGCGTGAAGTTTGGAGAAGGGCGTGAAAATATAACGTCATCAGTTGCACCTCCACCTATTACAGGCGAAGTGGGTGCCTGGGTATTGTTGAAGGCCTGTGTAAGGGAAATGTGCTGTGCAACCCCTTCGCCTCCATGGCTCAGCGCTGGAAAGAATAAGTTTGCAGAAGTGCCGGTGCCAGGCGTCGTGTTGGTCCGTAATGCTGAACTAGGCATTGGACCTGAGCTGCCCCTCGTTCTGCCTGCCAATGCGGGTGTCTGGAATTTGAGCGGACTTGTGGGTGCGAGGCTGTTATGCGCAAAGTCACCCAGTTCGTCGGCGTCGAGCACGGTAGGGCTTGTAGGCGTAGGGATGCGCTGGTCCTGGCTCGATGCAACAACATCCATTTCGTCTGTAGGTGAATCATCACCATCGTCGTCACCATGCTCAATAAACAGCGATTTGGGAATATCTTTGGCGTCGGTCGTCGAATAGATTCCGCTCGTCCATGTCTTGAGCATCTGGCTGTCTGGCTGCGTATCCCCCGGCGCATCCGTCATATTGAAGCTGAACATCTTTGGTATCGCCACCTGTTCCTTTGGGTTGCCTGTGATCGTGGGTGCGCTGTAATGTTTGGGCAGAACGGGCTTCGCATGGTTCGTATGGACGGCGCGTCGTTGGAAAACACCGCGATCGAAGAAGGGTGCGGCGCTGTGGCTGTGACCGTGGCTATCCGGTGGCTGGCTCTCGGTCGAGGTGGTGAAGAAGAATGGCCTGTCGCTGCAGGCCCGCTGCCGGAGGGCCTGGGAGAGCTGAGATGGATCCTGAAAGTGGCGTCAGTTCAGCGACGTGAATGATCGGCGACCGGGGTTAGGTGTCGCGCTATTCATCACTCAATGCATGTGCAAGACGGGAGCTCACATCATACAAGTCCTCACCGAGCACCGTGGAGGCCTGTGATTCCTCCATTGCGACAACGCATCTCAAACCGCGGCTTCAAACGACTATGGTGTTGGCTTTCGCCTTTCCCGCTCGGATCCAACCGACACGGTTACGCGCCAATTGGATGATGCACACCCGACACGTAATCACGTGCCGTGGGGCTAGCGAGGAGTACAATAGGCTTGCTCCATGCCGCAATGCTTAAGTACTAGATTCTAACTGAATCGAGTCCCTCAATTAACGAAGAAACATGGGAACCAAAACAAAAATGCTCTTCATACTTGCTCGCATGTGGCTGCACATACAATGTTCGATTCAAAATATACATAATACATGTTGGCTTCCTCACTGTCGCCCTGGATGTGCCCCACTCCTGTTCCCATTGTTGCTTGATGTCTCCAGAGTCCGACCGCCTTTCGTATTCCAACCATCGCCACTTCCTAACCAACCTTTCTTTTCAAGACCAATCTTGGTCTAAATCAGTCACTGCTCGTTTATGCCAGGAAAGCGTAGTAAAGGGTCGAGACGGCTGTCAATCCAACAACACCCCAGCCAGTACGGATAACCTGCTGGTTCTTGAAGCCAACACCCATATCCCAAGCCAAATGCCTGACACCATTGAGGCAGTGGAAGAAGAAGGGGAGTGCGAAGAAAGTCTTAACACCAGCCTTGACCACGGCGGGCCAAGCAGCAACGGCCGCGACCATTGACTGCGTTTCGAGGTGCCATCCAGTGTAGGGCGCAATAAGGTATGCGATTCCGAAGAGGTAAAGAGAGCCAGACAGGGTGAGACCAGTGATACGATTGAGCCCTGAGGCAATCCAGGTGATTTGGGGCCTGTAGATGGCAAGGTGGGGTGAGACTGGACGGTTGACGCGCTGCTTGGCGAGGATCTCGGCAGCTTGAGACTGGGAAGCATGTTCGGTCGCTGCAAGTCTACATTCTTTTGTTACTATGGCTCTTGGTGTGGACGGGCAGCTGAGAAGAGCTTCGTCGTGGTGCTCTTGTGGGTGCTATGACATACCTCCGCTGAACCATGCGTCCTGCAGGCTGCACCCTCAGGCCTGGCGCAGCTGCGCGTCGCAGGCCGAGCTGGAAAATGCGCTGAGAAGCCATGGTGGTGTGTCCCGATAGCAATTGACTGTAGGTCGAGAGGTAGTTGAGGGGTGGATGATGTCGTCGTCAATACACGTGCTACCCTTCGCCAGCCCAAATCTTCCCGATTCCCGAGGTCCCCCGTCTGGCCAATCAGCTGGTCGGCATTACGCTGCTTAGTCACTCGCTTCGCTGACACCCGATATTTTCTCGCGTGCGCCCGCCATGCTCTTCCTCTTCTCCAACGAACCTCGATATCGCCGGCAATGAGCGCTTGACGTGCTGAACTGCAGGAGTGACGGCCTACTTTGTCTGCTGGCGTTATGTCAGTGGATGGGGCTTTTGGAGGGATCGGAGAGGGATTGCCTGTATTAATCGCTTGTGTCGACGAAAGCTGTGTCTGCACGAGTTTCATATCAAGGCTACATACATGTGTCATGTATTGGTGATGTTGCCATCTACTTGGATGGCGTCTGTATCGCTGGCTGTGAAGCAACGTGATGCGATGAGTAGTGCTGGCATTTTCTGCGCTGAATGTCAGAACGCGCCTACGTCGGTGTGGCAGTCTACTACCTATGATAATTCCAGGGAATATGTTCATCTGAAATGGGCCTTGGTATCGCAGCCGAGATATTACAATTGCGATCCTGAATAACAGGGACTCATGATGTGCACTGGACCTGAGTGAGGCAAAGACCTTGCCCTCATTGCTGTGAAAATTTCTTCTCGTTACCTTGATTCAATCGAACCTCATCTTCCGTGACAATTACACCTTCGCTGCGACCCTGGCGATATCAAATACCTGTTCTGGCTTCTCTCCATATGGCGCCTTTTAGAGAAATTGTCAGCACCGACGCCGGGTTTTCAGCTGGCTCATACGTTTACAAGATCATCTCCACATCGCCACGACAAGACCCTCTTACCTACTCTCTTACAGACCAACTAGCCTTGATATCATCAGACAACTCTCTCCGCTTTCTAACAGCAGATCTACAACCTGATGGTCACGTCGCCAAGGCCCACGACAACATCACGTGCCTAGAACGAGCAAATGATGCGCCCAGCAACGTAGTCGCGACTGCAGGAAGAGATGGATTGGTCAAATTCTGGGATAAGCGAAGCAAGCAAAGAGTTCTGCAAATCGAAAGCCGTTAGTTTTATATACTCCAGGTTTATGGGCCAGCAGCTGACGAGCGGTGCAGCACACAAACTCATTTCAGCACTGGTATGCGATGCTCAGAAGAACTTTGTCGCAGCCGGTGTTGAGAACCCAGAAGACGGACCCAACAGCTCCCCAGTCTACATCTGGTATTTTCCCATGATGTCTTCGATTCATCAGCCCTCAGGTCATACTAAGTTATTCCCAGGGACCAGCGCAATATCTCAGCACCCTTACACTCCTACATAGATTCACACACAGACACTGTGACAAACCTCTCCTTGCACCCTTCCCTCCCAAATCTGCTTCTCTCATCCAGCACAGATGGACTCGTCAACGTCTTCGACAGCACCCAGGTAGATGAAGACGACGCCTTGTACCAAGTTATCAACCACGGCTCTGCCATTGCCCATGCAGGCTTCCTGTATCCCGGCACAGACATTTACACCATTGGCACGGACGAGACGGTAAGTTTCTACGCGTTACAGAGCCAAAAAGAGGACGAAGAGGAGCCAGCGCCCAAAGTGTGTGGTGACGTGAGAGAAGAGCTGGGCTGCGAGTATGTGATTGATTTGTGCTGGGTTGGCCCGCAGCCATGCGTAGCAGCCGGGAGACACAGGTACGTTGTTTTGACAAAAAAGGTTTGCAGTCACAACTTCAAGAGCTAAGTATCACACAGCGAGAAACAAGCCACTCTCACACCAATCACCAAAGGCACAAACGGCCCCTTGGATTACGCCTTCGATCTTGCAAATGCTACTTCGCTTGCAGGCGCTCATGGGGAAGAAATCGTTCGCGACCTCTTCACTGATGTACACGTAAGTGCCGCACCGCCTCTTTCCTTGCTTCAACTTCATATAATGTCCCTAACCCCGAACTCCCAGACACACACTACATACACCTGTGGCGAAGACGGCCAGATTCGCGCATGGAAGATTTCAGACAGCGCAGACATGCACGAAGGTGATGGCGCGGCATCGGTGAAAAAGAAGCGTAAGGAGAAGAAAGACAAGGACAAGGCTAGGTTTAAGCCGTATTAGATAGACTTGTATTTCACTCTCATGTTATACGTAAAGGTAGCAATCATGTCCTAGCCCAAGGTGTGATCAAGACCTATGCACAAACGATAAAGGTCCTGCAGATTGGGAATCAAACCAGCTGTTCGGCGCCAGTACATTATCGCACTTCAATTTAGCAACGCAAGGCCACAATCAATCACGACATGCTCAATTTGAAGACCAAGTAATCATTGTGGCTTTGTTTGTATCACCTTCCCAAGCACAAGGGAAAAAAAATCCACCCTGCCCTCCCTGCGCCAGATGAACAAACTCCTACCCTCCTTAACCCCCCCCAAAACTACCCCACAACCACACTTCCCCTCATAACACAATCCGGATCCTTCAGACACGTATATCTCGCATAATCATGCATTTATACTTACTTGAATACTATCTTCGTTCGCAAAACGTACTTGGTCCTAACAGCATCTAGAAAAGTAAAAGAAAAGAAACTTACACAAGCCGCAAACGCCACAACAGCGACAACAATACCTTGACGGAACCCCGCATTTCAGAAGGTTCTGTTCTTTTGCATCTCAGGCCGTTGTCATACTTTACTTGTACATGTGGGAAAAAAAAGAAGAAGAGAAATGTACACATTCCACTAGATTCAAAGGGTAAAAAATGAGGAAAAAGAAATTCGTAGTTTGAAAGTCCATTAAAATTATATTTTGCATTTAACTTAACTCATTTCCATACCATCTACCATTTCCATGCCTCATCCCTGTCCTCGCTTCTTAAGATACCTTGACCTCCCCACCTAAATCGCCCTCATAACCTCTCAAAAAATCGCCTCATCTCCGAACCGCTTGGCATACATACCCAGCGCCTTGATGGGGAAGATGAATTTGTAGTTGGGGTAAGAAATCATACTGTTGTCCACATTAGCTCTTGTTCAAACCAACACGTTCGAAAGAAGGAAAAAGGAGTTAGCGGGGGACAGAAACTCACCAAGACTTATTAAACACCCCCTCAATCGCTTCCTGCAACCACTCTCCATTCTCCTGCTGCCTCTGCATAATCAGCTCGACCGCCTTGCGCAGGGGCTCCTTGTCAGGAAACCCAGCCTCAATCATGCCGATAACGACCCACGCAGTCTGCACAACCTGGCTCTGAGGATGCTGACACCAAACACCATCTTCACAGCTCTTGTACGTCTCGCCCCACCCGCCATCAGCCATTTGCTTGTCGAGGAAGAACTGGCAGGCGCGACGTACACGCTCGGAATTATCGTATTGCTCGCCGGAGCACTTGAGAGATTCAAGCGCGAACATGCCGGCGTAGGTGAAGCAGATGCCCCAGCTGCCATACCAGGAGCCGTCCGGCCGCTGGGCGTCGCGGATGTAGGCTACGGCGCGGTCGCGGAAGGCGGAGATTTCGGCAGAGCGGTAGTCTGGGTAGTGCTGCTGGAACATGTGCAGGGCGGTTACGACGGCCGTGGTGCATTCGGGGTAGTCGTACTCGATCATGATGCGGCCAAAGACTTCGGCGGCGTTGAGGTGCTCGAGGAGGATACTGCCGCGAGTGGGTTCGTACGATGCGCAGCCACCAGAGGCGTTTTGCATGGTGAGGAGGACGTCGATGGCGTCTTTCATGCGGCGCTCGTTGATAAGTTGGGGAAATTGGTTGTCCTTTTGCAGAATCAAGACACTCTTGAGTCCTTCTGAAGTGCAGTCGCTGACGGTGTATCCTTGTTTGCGTGTACTGAAGCCCCACGCACCTTTACGCTGTTGGCGGTAACATGCGTGCTGATCTCTGGTTTCTTCAAGAATTTGCTGGTCTTCCAGGAACTCGAGCGATTTCCTTAGCATAGGTTCCCACTTCTTTTCCTTGGACCAGCCACACGATTCGACAGCCTGGATCAGAAACGATGTATCCCATGATTGAACGCCATTGGTGCCATTCATAAGCATACCTTCATCCTTGACCCACATGAACTCTGGGAGTGTCTTGAGATGCTCACGGACGGCGTGAGAATCAGGACCGTCTCTGATGTACGCACACAATGTGTTCATGGGACCATTGACCGGACCCAAGTTTGAATAGTCGGTATTCTCATCTTCGGCTTCGATGAGCCAGAGTACATGCTCCTCTGCACGCTTCGCTAATCGCTCAGTGCGAAGGAAGGGCCACCATATGACAACTACGAACCAGAACAACACCTTGAGGAAAGCAGATTTAGGATGATAGTTATCTGTGGGCGAAATCGTGTTCCGGTGTGCCCCAAAGTTGATGGTGTCGAATGGCCGCATGAGTAGCTCCGCCCTTAATTGGCGGGTGAGATCATTTAGCGGATATGACCACTTCTTTGCGTAGACATACGACATGGGCAGGAAGACCTGGCGCATGTGAATCCACCACCTCCAGGGCGCAAGAGGCACCCAGTCTGGGAGCAACCACAGCTCGGGCGGACATGGGTTGACAATGTCCCAAGACGTCACGCCTAAGACGCTCAGCCAGAACTTGGCCCAGTGTGGCGCGTTGAGCGCGCCACCCAGCTTCCACAGCGTCTCTCGTGCTTTGCGCATCCTCGGGTCTTCGGCATCCACGCCTAGTAGACGGAGCACGGTGTAGTTCATAGACGTTCCAAACACGGTGCTCTCGCCTTCAATATGTAGTCCCCACCCGCCATCTTCTGGATGTGCTCGCGCAAAGAGGTAGTTTATGATCTCGATTGCGTGGGAGGCTGGAACCGGTGTCTCGGTGACATACCAGACGATGACGAGGCCGGGGAGCAGGAACATTGGGCCACCGTATTCGCAGGCCCAGTTGCCTGGCGGGAGTTGGAGTTGGGAGAAGAAGGAGAGGCCATTATCCGCAGCTTCGAGGGGTGTCCTTGCAGGCTTGAGTTTTGGTTGTTCCTACGCCAGTCAGTTGGGATGTTGAAACTCTAGTGCAGCTATACTGGGGTGGCTGAAGGAAGGGGATTAAACATACAGTGTCGAGGCCTAGGAAGTACTTGTCAGCCGTGCTCTGCGGCCAGGCTTTCATCTCCTCGTCAGTCTGCAGATAATGCCATGTCTGACATCCACGGTCGTCTTTCAGTCTCCATCTTGTGTAGTCAGTCTTTTCATGGCCATCTTTGTTTTTGGTCACTCCGACTGCATCGTTCAAGATTCTCTGGGGCGCGCGACGCTTCGCAGTGCCATTGGCATGTACCATGGTGTATCCTGTTCCGGGAAGCTTATTTGGGGAGCTGGAGAATTATTTCCTCCACACGCAAGGATGTGATTGCGGACGTGGTGAATGTCTGTTGCGGTGAGTTACCATGTTCGTACATCTTGGCAGGGACACGCGCCGCGAAAGGCGACGGTACTATTCGTCCGCCCGCGAATAACAGCATATTGAAAGCCAAGCAATGCGTTCAGTTTGTCCTCACACCTCCAAAGATGCGCCATGATCTCTCTTGTATATTACCAAACCTTGCCTTTTAATCAACATCGAAAGATCTCTTTACAAACTTTGCCTGGCTCAACCCTGCCCTGGACCCTGATCCCCAGCGCCACCCCCCACCCACGGCCGGCTCCCGCCAACCCAGACAATCTTGATTCAAAACTAATTAATCGCAACCATGGCCAAACCATTCTACCCGACGTCTGTCAGCTTCTTCGTATCAAACAAGCCACGGTTTCACACGCTTCATTTCCACTCGCCACCTTTACTTGCACATGGTCGGCTGCGGGCAGACGTCTTGGCAGGTACGCGCGCGATGATCGACTCGGCTCGGGCGAGCTCTAATTGTTGCCACCGCCCCTATATCCATGCGCCGCAAAGTCGCCGGATGATTTCATTAATAGCATTGCACGGCAAGAGTCCACTTCCACTTCCGTGCACGAGCGGGTGCACCGCCGAGGGGATGACGTTAATATGGAAACAAATGACGAAGACAGGTGGGGACAGATCGTATTCCGAGCATGCAAACGAGGCGATGAGCAGCCAATAGGATAATGGTATAGTGTTTATGCTTATGTTGTGTGTGTATGTATGTATGCGTGTAATCAATCAGTCGTTGCCAACGGAGCAGATGCGGCCATGGCGGTTGTTGTGTGGTGTGGTATATACAGAGATGTAGTAGTGGTGGTGGTGATGAGCGAGCGAGCGAACCACCAGGGTGTGCCATATGCGCTGAGTCTCAGCCAAACAGATAAAGGAAAAAAGTCACTACTGTGACGATACGAAACCCCATCTTGTAGCTGCGTATCCAAAGCAGAAAGAGCCAAAACTCCCAATCCCTCAAACCTGCTTTTGCAGATGCTCAAACAAACAGAAATACAGAAGTAACGGCTAAAGAAAACAAATACTTGACAACGCTGTTGTCCTGGACGAAAGAATAGGAGAAAAAAAACTGCCGACAATGGTTCGCATTTGGTGGGATGACCGGCTCTCCTCTAGTATGGTGTACTCATGCGTGAAGCTCAGTATCAGTAGTAAAATCGTTGTTTCGGGTATCGCAGAAATAATAAACAGCCTCTTGTCCTCGTTCGCTAGTCACTGAGGTCTGGGTTCGCAACGAAGAGTCGTGGACCCATGGTCATAGTCCGCTCATCCACACTACCTCGCCTGACCAGATCATCTTTGCTGACCTTCTTGTCTGTAACAACAGGGGCCCTCAAGTGTCCTGGCGCAGGCATCTGACCAACTTCGCCAAAATTGCGCTCTCCGCTGCTCCCACTGCCGGTACTCGCGTTTGTTTTTGTGTAGTGGAAGTAGCTAGTGTCGCTGGGCGCGTGGGCGTCATATTCGGCAGGCGAAGGAGTAGGCTCTTCTTTGAGGTCGGCAAGCTCGCCATCAGGAGATGAATTCTGTGGCGGTGTACTGTTGGAGGATATGCGACCGGCTGGGTTGGCGTAAGATATACGGCGACCTGAACCTAGGGAGCTGCGGCCGGAGCCAGTGCGGTGGTGATACTGCCCATTTTTCATTGAGCCTGTATCCTCGTCGTCACCCTCGTCTACTTCTGAAGCGCTCAATCGCATTGGTACCCCGGATCCTGCATAGGTGACTGGGGCGTACAATGATGCTTTTGGCAAGCCGTGATGACGGCCAATCTTGGACCGGACCCCACCGGTCATGCCTGAGCCTCCCGTAGAAGTGCGCGGTGGAGCGTGGTGCGGTCCGCCTGCAACCTCCATGTTTGCTCGCATCTTGGCCTGACGCTGCTGGGCGAGCATACGCGGGTCTTCGTATTGGGCGCGATCACACCATACAGTGGCTTTTTGCTTGCGCATCATGGCAACATATGAAGTGGGTGAATTGCCTCCCGAACGCGTTGACGAAGAGCGACGAAGAGCGCCGCTGTTGGAGCGGTTGGGGGTGCCGTTGGTAGAGCTAGTGGATGAGGTGGGAGTGCGGCGGAGGCTGCTTTGGTACTGGGTTGGGTATTGCGAATTCATGTTTGCGGTAGTGGGTGAGGGGGTTGGAAATACGCCAGAACTTGTTGTTCGTGTCCGTGAATGACCAAGTTGATTGTCGTTGTAGGCCTGGGATATGGGTCGCACTGCTACGGCTGGGTTGGTTACGGGTTTGCGGCGCAGAGGGACGGCCCCGTAGGCGGAGGGTTGTGGGGGTTGCGCCATGACGGCCTGCATCTTGGGTTTAGGTACTACTGTTTGCTCGCTTGCCGACGCGCGTGCGTTGAAACACGAATCAGCGCCCTGACGTCAGGAGTGACTGCGCCCACGGGAAAGCAAAGAAAAAACACAAAGGCCAATATGGTTTTGGTAGCGTCCAAGCGCACGACGGCGAAGAGGAGCCGGCGTTTATTTTGTAGCTGGCGATGGCGATATGGCGGATGTGGTGGCTTGGCGCCCCGCTTGCAGCAGCGTGGGATGCAGCCTTGCAGTTGCACGGGAACTGGCTTCCCAGTGCTTCCGGGCGACGGACGATCTGAGGAGATTTGAGGAGATTTGAGGCGGGGGCAATGGGAAAGCAGGAATCAGTGATGCTGATGGGATACGGCCGTCAGACGGAGCAGCGGCGACAACCACGACCAGGAAGGGGAAGACGGCGTTGCTTGACAGCGGGGAAATTGATCGAATCACCCCGCGGCGGAATTGAAACGAGTGAGGCTGAGGGGTGCAGCGATATGGACAAGGCCCAGTCGAGGCAGTGGCGGGCGGCAATTGAGGCCCTTAATACCAGGACTCGTGGTGGCGCGAGGGAGCTAGAAATGGTTACTAGAGTACCAAAGCACGACAGGAAGAAGGAAGCAAAAGTCAGGCCAACACGGGCCGGGCGGGTGTTTGAGGCCCAGAAGGGCGGCGGGCTGATGCTTGCAAGCAGAGCGAGCGAGGGTAGTGCGTGCAAGCAGCGGGTGCGAAGGTGGCATCGTGCAAGATAGAATGGCGCCAAAAGCTGACTTACAGATGCAGTCTGTTCCTCTCGTAGTTAGTCGGATCCAACGTCACGGCGGCGAGGCAACGGGCTGGTGGCTAGGCGGCCCAAAGCGGCGTCGACAGAGGGCAGCGTGGGAGGCGACAGCGACAGCGACGGCGACGGCGACGGCGGCAGAGGACAAGCAGGGTGTAGCAGTGAGACGGACGTGGGTCACGGGGCGACGGTGACGGTGAAGGTGAATGGCGAATAGCGAGGTCAAGGACGAGCAGCAGTAGCAGCAGCAGTAGCAGTAGCAGAGGAGGGAGGGGAATAGGCGGGCATGCAGGACGACGGGTGCATCTACTACTAGTACTCAGTAGTCGTACCAGAAACAGCGACAACAGCACAGGCACAGTGCAGGCAGAGAGGCAAAGAAAGGCATGGGCAGCCGCCGCGTCTCGTACTATATCTTGGTCGTGGGTACGCTCCGTCCTTGCCGTTGGCGGCGACGGCGCTAGAAAGGCGAGGGCGAGCTGCGAGGGCGTGGGCGTGAGCCGGCGGGTGGGAACCACTTCTCTCCTGCTCCTGCTCCTGCTCCACCCACTCGACCGTCAATGACGAAAGGCCTTGCTGCCATGCTACGCCATCCTCACACCCCCTAGCCCATAGTCGCCCTGCTAACGCCTGCTAACGCCTGAAAACCGGAATCACACTCGCCTTGACGGCTGTCGCTGAGGTAGTGTAGCAGCATACCACACACACACTCACACATGGCCATGCTGCATGTTGTAATTACACGCCATACTATACCACCATGCCATTCACTCCTAGCCCAGGCATCCACACTGCAGAGCGGGGCCCTGTCCGGCGGCGGCATACACCTACTGCCTTGGGCCCTGTATGCCGAACATCCTGGACCCGGCCGCTGCTCTGCTCTGCTCTGCCTGCTGCATACTTCCTCATCGCTACACCTTGTACCCTTTTCACTTGCCGCGTCGAATCATCGGCAAACGTGGCTCGAGCATTGCTGCTGCATGATCGTCTCCGCTGCATCCACCTTGTTTAAACGTCGCGTCGCATACGAGCTCCCAGAGCTGCACCACTGTACCTCTGACCCGACCTGACCTGACCAGACCAGAGGCCGTCTTCCTAGTATTACCACCTACTCTATGTACATAGTACGTAGATAGCTACATAAAGTACACAGTGTCTCATGCTTAGCAGCTGCCGGTCTGGCCGACACGAGGTTACGTCGAGGTCATGACCTCAGCCAACGTCAAATGCCTCATAGCACCAGCACCGGCTCAGTCTTCAACATCGCTAACATCACCCCGGCACCCTCCTGCCGGGATACTACCAAGGCCCGCTTCAAAACAGAGCGTTTCAGCTGCAGGTGCTTGTCTTGCCCTCGACAAGACGTGCGCATGAGCAGCCTGCCGCAACACTGCCCAGCATTACACTCGCCTACACGACTACACGACTACACCTACCTGGTCGCTAACCAACATGTGTTTACCCTCAAGGTGGGGTTTGCATGCACGCCGATGCACCACCAGCCGTTCCCCGCTCTACATCACTAGAGCTATTCCGTATCCTTAGATCATGATCTCTCCTGCCCAGAAAAACATCCCAGTTCAGAAAATTGTTGAGGCTCTTCGTCCCCATCATTGTCGGTCATTCCTGACCCGCACCTCCATCACTCGCACGATAGAAAAAAAAATGGCGCCAGCCGGCGCGGAACCATCTAGCAACACCCCACACCCCTCTCCTGACCATTATCGATAAATTGGATGTGTTTCTGCTTGCCTATCGATAATTAGTTCTGTGGAGATGCCGGTAATTGCCACATGTATTTCTGGAAATTTGAAGGAAATTGCTGCCAATGGCGCGAGCACGCTGGTAATTTGCTGCTGTGGCGTCCGTAATCGCCTACTTACAGCCATATCCTGGATCACCATCATTCTCGCCAGCAGCCGCCGCGTAAAACAAAAGGACCCTGAAAAGCTGAACGCTGAGGATTCTGTAGATCATCGCTTACCCTCGACGTCCGAGTGCTCGTAACCCCGCGTTGGATGCGTTGCAGTCTTGAACCAGAAAATCCATGAATGTGTCAGCACATGCTAACATTGCCGTCTTTTTAGCGGCTATGAAAACAAAAGCCCCCCTCCCATGCTATCGCCGACTCGGGTGAACATGCGCTGCACTCTTACCAAAAGGCCAATCGCCTGTCTCTAGCGATACGCCATGATTCGTGCTCTCACACCCCCACCACGAAAAACCACTCTGATACCACCACGGCCACCGCCTGTAGCGCCCAAGCCCTCGGGTTATCAAGGTGCCACAACGTCCGCAGATCTCTTAGCTAAATGCTAGATCGCACACCACCTTTTTTTTCTTTCACAAGAGAGAAAAAAGGCCACTAGTAGTGGAGGCCTGTCGTGCGAGCTACAGTAGTGCGTCGCTTGCACTCACGGGCGGTGTGAGAGGCACTGCCGCCTTGCGGCGTGGATAACGCCGTGCTAACGAGAATTGCACCTGCATCGTGCTACGACGACTGGACGTCCTATCTCCAAGACTGCCATCGTTATCGTGAGATGCCGCTTTGGGAAATAAGCATGCATCCGGTCTGTCAGATGATCCGGCCCCCAGCCCGCTAGCATCCGGAGCTTGCTCCATGTCGGTGGTGAAAGCTGTTGTTGTGATTATGAATTGATTGTGATGGACATTGTTTTGTTGCACAAAAACACCCTTGGAGATATGGTACTGTGGCGCGTCAGCATCAGCCGGCAGAGCAATGGCTCGTGTGTGCCCAGCTTGGTGCTTGGTCCTCTGTCTAGTGATTAGCGAGCACGGCAATGGAACGACTGTGCACGTGGAGTCTTGGGTGCGGGTATGTAAAGATCAATTCTCTGGGGCCGACAAAAGGCACGGATCTTTTCGAAACCACTTCATTCACGGCTTTTTATTTTCGCAGCCATTGTCAACCTAATAGACGTATGGAATTAGCTCATGTGGCGTCTTCCGCGTATACGCTTCCTACTGCGCACCGTACCGCTTCTCGCAATACTCGCTCAAAACGGGAATAGCCCGCTTGCTGAAATCCCAGGCCCAAAAGGCTGCGACCAAGACACCCATCCCGTATCCTCCTCCAGCCATTGCATATCCGGCTCTCCACATCGTGTATCCTCAGTAGTTGATGTACCGCGCCAAACTCCACAGGCTCCCCGTACACATCTTACCCTTGTTGTTTGGATCGGCTTTAAATTGTTCGCGCTGAATCCCCGCAACAAGCTCCGTCAAGATGCCAACTACGTAAATCGTGCTCCCAATAAGCAGTGCCGGCTGTGGAAAGCCCGCTTCGGTCGAGGCCGACGAAATAGAAGTGACAGAGGAATATGTGCTCAGACTATTCGAAACCGCATTGATCATCGCTATCGCAACCGCCGCACCTACTGTCATCGGGTCCCTAGATAGTGTTGTGACCCAGATGTTTTGCTTGACCACCGAGCCAACTGACATGGCGAGCAAGACCAGCCGGTAGAGCGACAGGCCTAGGCCATCGATCAGTCCTATGCCCGTGTGTGCAGGCAGCCCGCTCGGTAGTGTTCGTAGTCCCACACGATGTAAAATGGTTGTGCCGAAACCATACGCTAAGATCGAATACTGGAGAACAGATTCGAGGCTGCGAAGCACGAAGAAAGTAAGCCTTCCGGCGGGTGAAGACCTGTGGTCGCCGCGCGGAACAAGATATTTTTCTTGGACGCCTCCGACCGAGGGTCTCCAATGTTGTCTCGTTGGCTAGGTATTGTGCAATTCAACCCTGTACACTCTGTTAGTATATGTGCTGCCGCCACCATTCCTATAGAGTAGAGATTATATACCTCCAATCTACGATTGTTGTGTCTTTCAATTTCCAGTTGCGAGCAATGAACTTTATCCCGGTTCTACGCGTTCCAACCCTAGTACATATGTCTCTTCTTTCGCTCAATTGGAGAGAGCGAGCTCCATCAGTTTATAATACGTTTGGTTGTTCGGAGGTCCGAATCCAATTTATCGGCTTTCGGTAGACCAAAAGACCCGGATAGAAAACTGTCCCTCTCACCAAGACAGCGCAATATCGACGAGATGCAAATACATGCCAGCACTATAGAGTTATACGGTTTGTTTATAAAAGCGTATTAGTCCATACGTAAACCTCTAGCACTCTAACACACGAAATCTACTTTTTTTTCTTACACGCGGTGGTGGAGGCTGCTTTGATGCCAGTGTTTTAATACACGAAGAGAATTATAGTAACGATCCATGGTGGAAGGCAGGCATCATCTCCACTTTTGCGTATCTATTCCCTGCGAGCCCATACATACGTTCGCTGTTAAGTCGTGTTATGTGTTAGGTGACAGCATACGATAGAGACATGATAACATCTCTTATCACCAGATCCGGAAAATCTTGTCACGACTGAGCAATCGGAGTTAGGGTTGCCTGCCTACTTTGGCGTGCTGTTGGTATCTACGTACCTACACGCACTACGGCAGATCCCGTGATACCCCGCATTAGCGCGATTTCCTGCATCCACCCAGCGCGTGCCCGTCTCCTCTTCCGTCTCATCCCATCTTATTGAAACCTGCTTGTCAATATATCTATTTACCTTGATTTTCACCTTTTTTGACCCCAGTGGTTTTGTCACGTTGTTGTTGCTCAGTGTATGCGTCCACGTTTAGGTCAAGGGTCATTCTGGCACGGTTGGTGTTGCCCCTGGTGATACTTGCCTGACTATGATGAGGGTACTGATGAGAGTAAACGCTGAACGGCCATGACCCTTTTTGGGTTCAGTGTCTAGATCTTGAAAGATAAGGTGGATCGAGATAGTCTTAGTGCAGCACCCACGGCATTTCGGCTCGGCGTTTCTTCACGCAGTCACATACGCGCACTTGACATCAGGCCGGACATCGACAGTCAAATCCATCTAAGGACTGCAAAATCTAAATCTAAGATCTAGTATCAGCAGTCAGCAGAATCCTCCATTAGAACCGACTATGAGTCTCACATTCAATGCTATCTGTAGCCTATTGCAAGACATTGAGAATATTTCCACAAATGGACCGCAACCGCCTTCAAAGCAAAAACAAGAGGTCATCCAGCACGTTGTTTTGGACTGGTTCCAAAATCAAAGAATTGCCCTCGACGATCCAGATACAGATGGCGGGGCTGTGCTCTCCATCTTACTTCCGCACCGAAGGAAAGACCGCGTGTACGGTTTGCAAGCGCCCTTGCTCGCGAAGAAACTCTCACGCCTACTCACCTTTAGTCATGGGCAACGCACACTATTTGAAAGCTGGAAGACGGGCACCCATGGCGACCTAGGTGCATACATCGAACGCACCATGAAGCCTTGGGATGGTACCTTCTCCAGCAAACCAGACATCACAATTAAAAGAGTTAACTGCCTGTTGGTACAATTGGCAGCCAGTTGTAGATTCTCGGATGAGAAAACCAGAAGAAATCGTGATCCAGGGTTTGACATCGACAATGAACTCAAAAATATCATCACAAGGCTTGAGTCTTGGGAAGCAAAATGGCTAGTCCGCCTTCTACTTCGAGACTACTGCATTATTGAACTGGACGAAAGAGTTGTAACGCGGCACTATCACTTTCTGTTACCAGAGCTGTTGGCGTTTCAGAACGACTACGAAGCAGCCTTTGATGTACTCAAAGGTGAACTTAGTTGTTATCCGGCGGTGCCTGAGTCGTGGGAAGAGGAACCCATGCGCGTTGAGGCAGCGAAAAGACTAAAAGCTAGGGTCGGCGTCAAGATTGGGCGACCGACCTTCCTAAAAGCATGGTCGTTCGGCAACTGTTTTAAGCTTGTTGGCGATGGCGCTTGGGCTGCCGAAGTCAAATACGACGGCGAATACTGTGAGATCCACGTCGATTTGGAAAATGAAAATAGCAACCTACGAATCTTCTCCAAGAATGGCAAAGATGCAACCGCAGATCGTACTGCTCTACACGGCACAATCCGCAACGCTCTTCGTATAGGCCAGCCAGACTCCTTGTTTAAAAAGAACTGTATCGTTACGGGCGAAATGGTGGTATACAGCGACAAGGAGAAGAAGATACTGCCATTCTCGAAGATTCGCAAGTATGTCACACGCTCAGGATCCTTCAGAGTCACGCTCAACAGCTCTGCGGTTCATCAACAGGAGCATCTCATGATTGTCTTCTTTGATGTTTTGACTGTAGATGACGAGCCCGTTTTGCGTCACTGCCTCGAGGACCGCCGCAAAATTCTTCACAAACTTATCCATGTCATGCCAGGTCGGTCCAAGCTCTCACAGTGGACCTTGTTGGATTTTAAGACAGGGAGTGGTATAACAGACCTTAAACAGACATTCGCCCGCACCCTAGCCGATCGCCAAGAAGGATTGGTACTGAAACCGTTGCAAGCGCCCTATCTGCCCTTGCTATCTGAGCAAGGTCAGCGTCAAACAGGTTTCTTCATCAAGGTAAAGAAGGATTACTTAGGCGATATGGGCGGTGAGCGAGACTTGGGCGATTTCGCTGTGATTGGAGCCAGTTTTGACGCGCAGGCTGCAACGAAGACGAATCTAAAGCCTCTACACTGGACACACTTTTACCTAGGATGCTGCGTCAACAGGGATGCGGCCCTACTGACAGGGGCCAAGGCAAGGTTCACTGTCGTCGCTACTTTGAGCGTTGAAAAGTGTATTCCAAGGTTTGACGCAAAGTACCTGAATATCCAGGGCTATATCCGTCAGACCACTTTGCATGAGAGTGGCGCCACCTCTGAATTCGACATAATAAATTTCAGGGACCACTACTACAGCCGGCGTATGACTGTTGCCTTCAGGAACCCCTTGATCGTTGAGATTCTTGGGGGAGGGTTCGACAAGTCGCCTCATACGTCATTTGAGATGCTACGTCATCCGCGGGTTCAGAAGATTCACCATGATAGGACGTGGGAGGGTGCGGTCACTATGCAAGACTTGGAGCGCATGGCTCAGGAGAAATTTTCAGTGCCCGATGCGGACAAGCTTGATGGGCATGCGAGAGATGTCGCATTGTTGGTTGAGAAGTATGCCAGGGTGAGAAATGGGCCTCAGGAGACTGTTGTTACGGGGTATACGACGCAGAAGATGATACAACGGATGAGTCCTTGTCCTTTGCGAGAGACGCCGCAGAGTTCGCCCACAGAGGCCGAGTCCCCTGTGACGTCTGGTGGTTCTCAGATCCAGCAGATACAATCTGACACTGACACAGACACAGAGATTGATACAGACCGGTCAACTTCTGATGGTTCTGCTGACAAAAGCGTTCAGGCTAAGGGCCTACGCGCTTCCCGCGAATTAAGGTCATGCAAAAGTACTTTTGAGCAGGTGACTGCCTTGGTCCCGGACCCACAGAGTCTGACAGCACAAGAGGCTGCTAGCTCGACTGTGAATGATTCCAGCCTGCTGTCTGGTGTGGTGACGGGCAAAAGACGGAGTCTCTTTGAACCCATTAGTCCGCCGAACATTAAACGGAGAAGGAGTCGTTGCCCACTACAGGTCACGGATGGAAATTGGCAGGGGAGCCGCTTAGATTTGCACTTGGACACGAGTAGGAAAAGCGGTTGTATATCCGGGGAAGAAGGGAGAGAAGAAGAGAATACGTTGCCTAAAGTAGAAAAATAGATTGATAGATCGTATCGTGCTATTACTACCACTTACCTTGTTAGAAAAACGTGAACGACATGACAACAAGACCAAACTCTCCATAAAAAGAACCTGAGATGGATTTAGCATCGTAATCTTTACACCAGGCATCTTGCATTCCCCCAACATCCATCCTCACACTTTCCCCACATCACTTCGTAACTCGCTCGATCAAGGATAGCTACGCATCGCTCTACATTCTCTATTTGCAACATATAAATTTCTAAATACACTGTACTATATCTCCCCCTTCCTTTAACTAAAACCGCTATAGTAAACTAGTAGAGCACATACGAACCCACTCCTCGCCATATTCGAAATTACTATCGATCCCTGCCCTCTATCTTATGAGAAAAGAAACCACAGCTGTCCTGAGCTCAACTCTCTCCCCTTAACCTGGGCACGCGAGACACGGAAATAGTCGTGGCGTTTAGATTTCTTTTAAACTTGTGTTATATGGTAAGCTAGATGTGAGACTTAGATGAAGCGCCTCGCTGGAGTATGGGGGGGAAAGCTTCTGCATGCATTAATACGAGAGGATACCGTAGGATATAGTTGTTGTTGTTGTTGTCTTTTTTTCGCTTTGAGTGAAAGAGTGGAAGGGGAGAGGTTTGGCTGAGGGGACAGGTGTTGGTAAGCTGGGCGTTATCGAATGGCTTTTGTAGCACATAGCACGGTCGATTGAAAGTTTTGTTGTTGGAGATGTGGATGTGGTGTTGAGTGTGGTTCATTCTGGTACGTCCGGATCACCGTGTTTTTTTGTCTGGCAGTCCGGAGCTGTGTAGTTGGCTAGGCCTGAGGTTACGATGGGGAAGCGTGTTTTTTTGCAGCTAGTTCTGTGGGTTACGCCAAGGGATATTTGTGGTAGTGTTGATTGGGATATGGGCAGAAAATGTGCAAGGTTAGGGAAATGGAAGGGGAATGTGGATGGCTTGGGATTAGAAAGGGAGTGGAATGAAGTAGGAAGTTGGGAAAGGGAGTTGGGGGATAGGAGTTTTTTTTAGCGGGTTTGATGAATTCTTAGAGATGGTTTGTTTTCTCTTGAATGAAGTGGCTGTGGGAAAGCGGGTTGTTGGAGGTTGCGCCTTGTATAAGGCCGGGAGGTGATGGGGTAGTCTGACGCTAGTCCTGATGTTGATATGGTGTGGTGATGCATACTTATCGAGTGTTGTTCCCTGCTCCCCACTTAGAACATTGACAATCAATATACTAAAGGGAGCACGTTGAAAGGGATGGGACTAGTTGAGCACTGGTCATTCATAGCCCTAATGCAATAGAGGAGCATTGGAGAACCCCAAATGGCTGTGGTTTTAGCACCGGTAGATATCATCGCCATCCGCTATTCGGTGAGCATTACCCCGCGTGGAGCAGAAGCCCCGCGGGACTCCACTCGCTGTTGGAAAAACATTACTCAAGCAACTGACTATTTTAGAAGCTATAGTAGTCTACGATCAAAAAACCCTTGGATCCGACTGCTCTTCTTTACATTTGCCAAGTTCATTGAGCGGTCCCAAGACACCATGGCCCCCAATACGCATATTCCACACCTCCAGCAATATGGAAATACCAAACAGCTCGTCGTCAATGGCAAGCCATATCTTATGTTGGGAGGTGAGCTCCAGAATTCGTCGTTGTCGTCGGCAGAGTTCATGAGCGAGGTGTGGCCCAAGATGGTTGCGACAAATGTGAATACGCTTCTTGGGTCTGTCAGTTGGGAAATGATTGAGCCTGAAGAAGGAAAGTTTGATTTTGAAGAGTTGGATAAAGTTATTCTGGGTGCTCGTGAGCATGGCTTGCACTTGATTTTGCTATGGTTTGGATCGTTCAAGAATGGTGAGTTGGGTGCTTCGCTACTTGCTTACTCTGAGAAAAAGGAGTTGACTTAGGACGCTTTTAGGAAGATCTACTTATGCACCAGCCTGGGTCAAGGCAAATCCGGAGCGGTTCCCACGCGCAGAGCTGCGGAAAGCTGGGGGTGTGATGGAGGTTGCGGATGTGCTGTCGCTGTTTTACGAAGAGAGCGTTGAAGCGGATGCAAAGGCGTTTCGAAAGCTGCTTGCGCATATCAAACAATTTGACGAGAAACACAGTACGGTGTTGATGGTTCAAGTCGAAAACGAAGTTGGCTTGCTGTTCGACAGTCGAGACGGGAGCGCAAAAGCTAGCAGCGTTTTCGCAGAGCCTGTACCTGAAGATCTCCTCAAATTCCTGGCAGAAGAGTATGAAAACCTGCATGCTGATCTCAAGGTTAACCTCAAGACGTTCGTTGCGCAGTCGAAGCCGCAGTCTGGGAGCTGGGAAGAGGTCTTTGGCAAGAGCAACAGGACAGACGAGCTTTTCATGGCATACCACTATGCACATTATGTGGATCGAGTAGCAGCAGCAGGCAAAGCGGAGTATCCAATTCCGCTTTACACCAACGTATGGCAAAATTATGCAGGCGAGGATGCCGACAACGAAACTCCTACAGTTGTAGGTGGAGGCGGCCAGCCAGGTGACTATCCTTCTGGAGGCGGGACTACCAACGTCCTCGACATCTGGCTTCGCTTCGCACCTAATCTCGAGTTCATCGCGCCAGACATTTATCTCAACGAATACACAACTCTGTGTGGCAAGTATCGACATGGCAGAAATGTGCTCTTTATCCCAGAACAGCGAAGAGACGAGTATGGTGTCAGACGCATCTGGATAGCTTACGGGACATTTGAAGCTCTTCTAGCGAGTCCATTCGGCATCGATACATTAGAGCCCGAGAGCAATCCCTTTACAAAACACTATGGATTGTTAGCACAGGTTTCTCAGCTCGTGCTCGATGCGCAAAGAAACCCTAGCTCGTCGGTAGGCTTTTGTTTCGACAAAATGCCTGGCGACAAGGATCTGTCAAAACCCATTCGACAGCGCTTCGGCGATTGGGATATAACCATTGAGCGTGCTTTCGTGTTTGGGAAACCCGACACGGGCAGTGGCATGGTGATCCATCGTGGTGGCGCGCGCTTCCTTCTCATCGGATGGGGCTTCCAGGTTACGGGTCAGTCGACCAAATCTGGGACCAGGTTTAATGGCATCTTGAAGAATGAGGAGAAGGTCGTGGAAGATGTGGTGACGGGGAAACTGCGGACGCTGAGGACGTTGGGAGGTGATGAGACGAGGAGTGGAGCTAGTGCGGTGATGCCGAATGAAGATCCTGATTATGGGGGATTTCCCATTGCGATCACTATTCCAGCGCGGACGGGCATTGCGGAGGTGGAGTTTTATTCGTTTTAGAAGTTCCGGCCTGGAGCTCTGGATGGAGAGATGGGTGGGTGGGTGTTGTGCAGCACACGTGACTATTGCAAGTATTTTCTCCTCAACCAGAGGAAAACCAAAAAATCGTATATATTGTCCATGTCTTGATTCGAAATGTGTAAATGTACCGAGATGTTCAACAACGATGGTAGACTCAAGAGGGACTAGCGCCAAATGGACCCTGGCTCTCTCGTAAGGCTGAGCGCCGACGTCCGCGCGAGAGGTCGGATACGTGTTAGGACCACTGGGTAAACGTTGCATGTCCACATAACCGTCTTCAACAGGCCTGTCTCTTCCCCCTCAGAAGAGTTCGCTTATATCTCCACACAAGCGTCCTTGAGCCTCGCGCTCACTTACACATACAGCATGCACTCGACGCTGGTGCGGCTGCAGAATGTCTTTGGCTTCTTTACTACGGTGGCTTTCACAGTCGCGACCGTGATTGCGCTTAGTAGTCTGATTACACCACAAAACCCCACCGCCAGCATATCGCTACGAAATGTGCAAGTAGTCAAAGGCAGGCCGCATTATTACTCGCCAAAGAGGGAGGAGTATGCGCACATCAAGTTCGACCTGGATGCCGGTACGTTTATGCATGCGCTATGGGACAGGTGGATTGCAAGAAGAGTCGCTCACACATATATCGCAGATCTCACCAGCCTCTTCAACTGGAACACCAAGCAACTCTTCGTCTACCTCAAAGCCGTCTACCCCTCCTCCCGCGCTGGAGAGCCCCCCTCGGAAGCCATCATCTGGGACGCCATCATCGCATCCACTTCTGCACCTTGGCACCAGAACCACTACGTACACCCCGACCCCAAGTCGAAGCTCCCCAAGCAATCAGCCAAGAAACGCGCGGCTGCTAAAGAAAAGACACCATCACCATTCCCCATTGGCGAGCTCCACCTCCAGAACCAGAAGCCCAAGTACCAGATCACAGACATTACCGGCAAGCTAGGCAATAGGACAGATGTAGTGTTGGAACTAGGCTGGAATGTGCAGCCCTGGGTTGGCGCGCCAACATGGACGAATTGGAACACAATTGGCGTTTGGAAGGGCCTCGAGGGAGGCAGAAGTAAGGCGTTTGCGTTTCCCGAGGTGGGTGCCAAGGCAGCGAAGCCCAAGGATCTGGAGACAGAGAAGGGTGCGGAGGGCTATAGGCTGGAGGTTGGTGGAGAGGCGCCGCTCAGGAAGGCTGTTTCATAGAAAGGGGTTGTTAGGCGATATGAAGATGGGTTCGATCGAAACTAGAAAGCATTGAGCGATGATTATGTGTGCCTGGAAGGAGTTTAGGGTATGCATGTCCCTCTTAAATATTTGTGAGAAAAAAAACTCTTCTACATAACCAAAACTCTGTACAAGATCACATTTCAATGCTGTCTGATTGTTTTTGTGTTCTTTGGCATGCGGTTTATAAAAGAGCCGATTTTCTCTCCTTGGAACAAGACAGTTGCATGATAACGTGACATATGCCAAGACTAGGCTATTTGACCCCCGCAAGACACTCGATACGCCAAATAGATACAAACACTTCAAGTCAATCATAAGATTAAGTAGAGATCTAGTAGAGCTGTATAGACTAAAGACAGAGGTGGAGATATATTTCTTTTATGTACAGTATTGTATGAATACTAAAGCAAAAACATCCTGTATTCCAATTGAGATTTCATCTAGTCTGGAATCCACAGTACATAGGACAACTATGGCTCATTCATTGAGTTGACTTCCCGGATCAAGAAACCCTCGAGCTTGTTTTCGGTCCTCGCCATGTAATCGTCTATTATACAACGGTAGTCGTTTTGCCCACCTCCCCACGTAGACTTTCTGGCCTTCAGAGCAGCTTCTTCGGGTGATTCAGGCGCGACCGTTGACTTTCCCTCGTTTGTGAAGTACGAAGGCGTGCAAATGGTCATAGCCGAATACCATGCTGCCCTTTTTGCAACCTCAGAAGTCCATCTTTCTTCCCCATCTGCTGACGGTTCGATGACGAGCTTTTCGGCATCAGAAGACTTTCGCGACGCTTCGGCGACAATGTAGGCTGCCAAACGAGCGATGGTATCATACGTGGATGTCGTGTTGTACGAACTGCCCATGCCAGAGCCAAGATTGCCAAACAAATTGGGAAAGTCTTGCACAGTAATCCCAAACAAAGTGCCAAAGTTAGGGGAACGCCACTTGTCATTGATAGACTGGCCGCCTCGCCCCAGAACAGGAGCGTCGTGGCGATCACTTGGTGTACGCTCGAAACCAAACACAAATCCTGTGCCTAGTACAAGTACGTCGACATTAATTTCCTGCCCACCAACCACGATACCACGCTCTGTAAAAGCCTCGATTCCTTTAGCGTCTGTGTCTAGTAGGGTGACGTTACTGCGGTTGAAAGACTGAAGATATCCATCGTTGAAAGTGGGTCTCTTGCACCACCCAGGATACCAGGGCTTCAGTTTCTCGGCTACTTTATCGTCTTCGACAACCTTGTCAACACGACTGCGAAGGTCTTCTGCAATAGGGCGATCAATCGCAAGCAGTTTTTCAATGTGTTCCTTTACTGTGTCAGGTTGGACAGACCAGCCATTTCCTCCTATCAGGCCGGCGCGCGCTGGGTTGTGGCTCCAGCCATCGTCAACAAGATCGACGGGGTCCGGGTTGCCAGACCAATGGCTGTTAAGGTTTGCGCATCTCCGAGTTTGCCAGCCGGGTCCATCTGCTACTTTGGCCCATTCTTCAGTGGTTGTGATTTTTTGCCGACGTTCACCACAGTACGAGGGTGTTCGTTGGATGACGTAAAGATGCTTCGCCCATTTCGCTAACTCAGGTATAGCCTGGACTGACGTTGCTCCTGTGCCGATGATAGCGACAGTCCTGTCTTGGAGCTTGGTCATATCAGGTTTCTCTTGACTGCCGCCAGTGATTGAATAATCCCATCGAGAGGTGTGAAATACCTGACGGTGTTTATGGAACTCTTCAAAACCTGGTACGTTGGGCATCTTTGGGACAGAAAGTGTACCTCCTGCCATGAAGAGAAACTGAGCTCTCACAGTGAGTTTGGTAGGTGGACGGACATGGCCCAATGACTGAGTCAAGTCGACAACCCAGTCGCCCTTTGCATCATCCCAAACTTGACGGTCAACTTTGGTGCAGAACATGGACTGAAATCCATAATGACTCGCAATCAGTTCAGCATTTTTCCGTATCTCAGCACCGTACGAGTACTTGTGCTGGGGTATGTAGCCTGTCTCCTCCAACAACGGCAGGTAACAATACCCTTCAACATCGCACATGAGTCCAGGGTAGCGATTCCAGTACCATGTGCCCCCATAGCCGCCAGAAACATCAACGAGGACGATGTCTTTATGGCTGAAGCCGGCTTCAATCAAGCGGGCGGCAAAGAGGATACCATTATGGCCTGCGCCAGTAACCAAGAATTTGATTTTATCGCCATCCCGCAGTGGAGGATCTGTCTTAGCCAAAGTCTCATAATCTACCCATGGATCTTTGGCAAGGTTTTTTAAGTTGGAGGAGGAATCAAAGTCGACGTATTGGGCAGTCCCCTCAGGGCGGATGCGCTTCTGCCGTTCCTGGGCGTATATCTCCTCGATGCTAGCGGTCATTGTGTTGCGTTGAATCAAAGAATGAATAGTAACTTTGTAGCGGTAAAGTAGTTGAAAGAACTGCGATGATATCTCTTTAGGTTTTGACGGAAGACCTATCACTCTTATACTTGAGCCTTTGCTGAATCTCCCCAGGGTGGCGAGTATTTAGGGGCATAACCAAATATTGTGGGTATGTTCAAAGACCACATCCTGGTTCGCAGGGGTGATAAATTATAGTGAAGCAAAGCACTGGCATAGTTTCGCAGGGCGTTTAGACCTTTGAGAACAGTATTACTCTCATAACTCTTCTATGGGCGGGGAGTTTTTGTGGGTATAGCCAAGTACTGCATGCAAGTTCGCCGGTTTCAGATATTACGGTGGAGCATTTTCGTGATTCCATATAGCGCCTGCACTTGTGAGAATAGTGCCACTTTTGTATATAATTGCGAGAAACAGAGACCACACTTACGCCCTAGAATAGATAAAGCTTTACGCGAAGTGAAATCCAACGTAGCTGATTTGTTCAATTACTTTTTTTTATCTGTTAAAGCCTCTCTAGCGAGAGTAAGACAGGAGGCAAGATAGTTAGGTTCGGCCCATGTGGTAGTGCTGAACTGGGTTTGGGGTCTTGATAATATCCTATGAGCTCTCTCAGGCAATTGGACCGGGCACATACCCCTGGTATATCTACTGAATCGGCAGCTGTAACCGGTGCTTTAGTCAAATGCTGAACCAGACTTTTCTATTTAAAATTAAGTGGGATTGGTCCTTGTACATAACTAAAAGCATACAAGCAGGCTAGGGAACAGAATGGAGTGCAGAACGTGTTGGGGGTTGATTGGTTGATGTGAACGAAAAGGAGCTATCATTGGTGAGTAGTTCGAACAGAACTTCCGGTAAGTCAATGAGCCGGAACCGACAGATGTCGGATATGAAGTTCCCGGCATAACAGTCAGAGATGTACTCAAGCTCTGTGCTACTTACTGGCAGCCGAACATTCCAACTAGCCTAACCACTATCAAGGCCGAAAACCGCCATCTCAACAAACACAAGCACAGCATCCATAACATTTACGGCAGTAGGAATGTTCCGAGTAACCGCAGTGGAGAGAGCAGTAGTGATAGTAGCCGGAATCCGGGGATAGCCTATCCCGAGCATATGACTCTTGGTCAACTGGTGAACTTGGTGATAAAATCGCCGAGCACCAATAGCATGAAGTGAAGTCGGAAAAAAAGTCGCCAAGTACCAATGGTATGAAGTAAAGTCGGAAATAAAATCGCCGACTACCGACGGTATAATGCCTTGATTAAAGACTTTATTCCTAACTACTGTAACACTACTAGTAGTATTTTACTTCATATGTGTTACAAGTAACAGGAAGGATTCTCTCCTTGATAAATGACGAGATGGCTGAAGGCCTAGGGACGTCCACGTCAGAAGGTAGTGATCATCGCGGGGCTCGAGGTCACGTGATGTACCATCCCGCCAAGGCTGGCCATCCGGGATGGCAGCGCATGATGGGATGGCAAGACTGGAAGCAATGAGGATATAAGGATGGATGGATTTCATTATTTACTCTCGTTGTGGTCAACTCAAATTGTACTTTCTTACTAGTTACTTAAACTTCACAAGATTGATACTTGTTAGTCTATTGAATAGATTAGAGTTTGTCGAACCTTTTGTTATCATTTCTACAAGCACGCCACTCCACTGCATCGCCAGACAACCCTTACGGAACACTAGGATAAAGCTCACCGGCCTTAGTGTGGGACCTGGCAAGAGACGTATAGATCCAAACCCCGTGTAACACCTACTTGTTCTACTGGTTATTTGTCGCGATATATGCTATTCAGCTCAAGATACTGCCATGCAGTATACTGTACCTTTTTGGTCACTTGACGACTTAGGCGGAGCTGAGCTGAGTATCGTCACATTAACTAAAAGGGAGTGTGAAGTAGTACTAGTTGGAATTCGGAGATAATCTATATCGACCGTTAGTATAACTAGGTACGGGGGATGTTCTATGCAGGTTGGCGCGGCGGAGAGGGTGTTACTGATACTATCTAGTCGGAACCCGGAGAGAGCTTGTCCCGGGACATTAGTATATTATTATTAAGGTACATCCGGAAGTGCGTCATGAAGTACGTGTGAGGTGTTTCGCGGATAGGCACAAAATATATCGATTGAAGTGAATTGAGACGAATCCTTAGGGAGTGACCATAGTTTCGGACGAGACTATATACTCTATGCACGTGACTGGGACTGCCCTGGCCCGAGGGTTACCCGAGGGTTATCCTCCAGTTCAGAGTATCGTGACGGTACGTAACGAGCCGACCTGCGCTACTACATACAGTTAAGCTCGACCCGTGTCAACTCTATGACTGCTGCTCTCCTAACACATCAGCTTCTGATGCTACAGAGAAAGCGTATTATTCACTACGTTATCCCTTGTTCTGTTAAGGCTATACCCTAAATTACTTAAAACTAGAATATCGTACTAGTCTACAAGTATGAATATCCTAGCGTAGAGTTAAAGTAGAGATACGCTTATATCCCCTAACAGACAGTCATTATACTTACAGCTATAGAAGAAGTTAACCATCTTCTACAGTTCTATATAGTGCACATGACTCATGTAAATAGTACCCTTATATTCTTCCTAGAGCCGTCTTAGTAGTAGATAAAATTCTTTGCGATAGCGCTAATTTACCTTAAATCCTCCTATACATACTTTATAGAATACCTTGGATTTGTAAGAGGCTACGCTCATATATGTGGCTTGGCTAGGCCAAGCAAATCGAGTATATCTACGCAACTACCTTGAAGTCTTGTTACTGCCTTTTTGGCAAAATGGTCGACGTAAGTAATTGTACGTTAGGCTCAAAGAGCCCGCCCATTACAAGATTAAGCACAAATAATGATGCAGTAGGACGTAAAAGCTTTCGACATCGTGACTAAGCACAAGGTCAGCAAATTCGCCACAATTTCGAAACCTATATGTTATTAGTACTATGCGAAATAAGAAATCTTATTTCCTACGCAGAGATGGCTGAGTGGAGTTGATGAGTAGCAGTACAGGTGTACGTCGCCATGCGATTCGCTTGACCTATTGATTCTCAGCTGGATGTTCTAAACTCTAAGCTGATGACAGAGATGATGGAATTAGGTTACTATCAAGTGGTTATGTATACAGATACCCCGCATTTTCCTCCACAGGCGTGATAGTACATCCGCCGTCACCAGCACGACCCAAGTAAATAGAGCGCCCTAGAGATTTGAAGCCATTTTTGCATATCGGTGTTGAAGTGGGCCAGATTCTCATGGTTCTGCGTAGTGGGGTGATTTATCCACAGGAAAGGAACTAGACTTGCAGATCTGTATCACATTAGCATGAGTAATCATCTTGTTCATGATGCTTAAACGTTCAGTTAACACATGGCTTTCGAAAGTGTGGTACACTTTAGTCATAATCCCAATCTTTATTAATGGTTTAATACTAATATGGCAAGCTCACAGATTTGCTTTTTAAAAAAAAGTAATAGCATGATAGTGGGCTTCATTAGCCTTTTCTGTTATCATCTGCATATATGAAGCAGATCCATTTACCATATAGCCCTTTTGATAGATAATAACTGTCTACACTGCGAATCTTCTAGGAGCTACAGTTTTTAGTTTTATCCCTATCACGATAGTGAGAATGGCACAACGTTCTATAGAGATTATTCTTCAATATAGTTTTTCCAACCACCAACTGCTCGACGAGGCATTACTCGCTGCAGGGGCACCAGCTTCAAGCAAAGACATAGAAGGTGAAGTTCATGGCAACAAGCGCCTTGCTCTCTTGGGAGATTCCGTCCTGAAAGAGGTTATTCTAGAGCCGTGGTACAGCTCTGAGAAAAGTACCGGTTGGTATACGCGCTTGTGAAGAGCTTTTAAAAGATTAACCTTTGTAGAGGAGGGCAATAACAGAGTAAGAGATCTATGTCGAAACACAAAATTGAGCCAAGTAGCTCAGGAGAGCGGCATATCCAGTCATATTACTCTAAACCCATGCCAACAAGGTCGGGTATCACAAGAGACTGCTGCTTCAACAGTTGAAGCGCTAGTGGGAGCGGTTTATCTAGATTCTGGAAAGGACATATCAAAGGTCAAGGATGTTCTTGAGACAATTGGGTTTTTCGAAGCAGAATAAGAACAGGTAGAAAATCTTGTAATTACTATCTAGAACTCTAAAAAAGCAAGTGGTGCACTATCTCACTACCGATTAGCAAACGCCTATGCGCAATGTGTTCATTCGGCAAATAACTCTCCCTGCTAAGAACGAGATGGCGGAAGTTACATATATTAATATATTGTTGAATCAGTCTGTTATTACACAAATATGCAAGGTGCCAGATATTATTCGTTTGAGACCGTTCAAAATCTTGGAGAAAGCAGGGCTGGTAAACTACAAACTGCGACTACAACCACACATGAGAATTCGCCTCCTCTTCCATAGAAAATTTCTTGAACCAGCACTACTAACCGCTTAGCTAGTAGAATACATAGTGCTGGAAGACGACAAATATAATGGAGAGGGAAGGAAAGACCTTGGGAAATTTGGAAGTTAGTGGAAATAATTAGTCAAGTGGCAGGGATGGCTGAAGAGCCACAACACTTGGCATTCAGATAGAATTTTGACGAACTGCAAGTCGCCAGTACTTGAGTACTAATAAGAAATATCCAAGTAGGACAGGAGTGGGCTCTTGAGGGAAAGGAAATAATCAGAGACAGGAGCGAAAGAATTAGCCTGCAACTAGCCCAGATCAGCCGATGGTCCGGATAGCGTTGTTTCGATAGCACGAAGGTCAGTACCAGGGGTTGAACTGCCTTCGACCTGCTCTTCGCATGATCTTGAAGATCCGAAAACATAGGATGTCACAGCCTATGTAAGACTGCAGAAGCAATAAATTAGCTAAGCCGAAGTAACAAGCCATTGTAACAGCAACAAGGATGCACTACCTCAACGGGAAAAAGAAATAGCTATATACCACAGATAAATGAAGATGGTAGATAGCAGTCATAATATAGAACATTTTTTTACCGCACCTACGCGTGCAATACAAGATCTCGGTAAGCATACGAGTGCTCGCGATCCTGAAGCTCCAGAAGCTCCACCTTACTTTGAGTAAGGTGCAACTTCAGCCGAGCAATTTGTAACTCTAATTCGTGATACTCACGCTGAAATTTCTCCCAATCTTGCTCAGAAGTATGCAGATTACAATCAGCCGCTACGAAAATACAGCTAGCACAACGAAGTTCATGTTGTTGGCAATACTTACGGCGATATTAACTATGAAAGAGTTCATTGGCGGACCCGGTGATATATACCCATATGTAAGGCGTATTTGTAGATCATTGGATGGCTGTCCAGAACCTGTAGGATTGGTTAGCAAGATTGTCGAGCATGGCATCCCATAGTCTGGACTAGGTCAGGTTTCAGTCAAGGTAGCGGCCGCTGGTGTCAACCCTAAAGACCGGTAAGAATTGGAACAATTCGAGTTTTACACAAGAGCTTAGGGATAACTAATAGTGGTGGTTACAGGAAGATGTTCGACCTGTGGGGAATGTCAATGAATTCAGGCGATGACATTGCGGGCATCGTGCATGCTGTAGGGCCAGATGTGGTAGATTTCCGACCGGGAGACCGTGTCGCTGGCTTCTACAAACCATGTACCCCAAATGGAAGTTTCGCAGAATATGCGATGATTGAGACCAATACTGCGTGGGTTCTTGGGCTCCAAACAACCTTTGAGGATAAGCTGGAAGCTCCCAATCTCTTGGACTCCCCTTGGCTGCTATAAGCGAGAGTTCTGATCTTTTTTAGTTGGGATATCGCGGAGGCTAATCATGAGCTATAATAGAAGCAGCAACAGTCCCTCTCAATGCCTGCACCGCTGCAACTGGTCTCTATCTGGAATTTAGACTGCCTGCGCCCTGGCTGCCAGCCAAAGAATTCACACCTTTGATCATTTGGGGAGCCACATCCACCGTGGGGTTCTAATCCGTCCAGCTTGCCGTTAAGAGCAATATCCATCGTATCATTTGGATTGCTGGGAGCCCGAAACAATACCTGGAAGACTTCATCGACCGTAGCCAAGGGGACACAATTCTTGATTACCGCGACTCCGAGGATGACATTAAAGAAGGTGTTCAGAATGCCGCAGGCGGACGTACGATCCTGCATGCGATCGAAAAAGTATCAAGCGAAAGAAGCGCGCACATCATGGCCGAGACTATGGGCACTGGCGGCCATATTGCTCTTGTGCTTTTTGAGAAAGAATACACTGACATTCCAAGTCATGTCAAACACAACAAGCATAAAGCATCAGTCATGCATGAAGGAGAGAAGGATTTTGGTCTAGTGATCTCGAGATTTGTAGGGAGAGATTTACAGGAAGGCTGGTTCAAGCCGCAGAGGCATGAGGTGGTGCCAGGCGGACTCAACGGCGTCATCACAGCGTTTGAGCGATTGAAGTCAGGCGAAGCCCATGCCATGAAGTACGTTATAAAGCCCTGGAGGTTGAAAGATAGCTTTCCCCTCTCTCAAGGTTCAACCCCTACTATAATCATACTATGCCACCAAACTATACCCTATACAAACATACATATAGAAACAAGATTTATATTACAGGCAGATTTTGTAACAAATAAATCAAATTTTGAGGTTCCAATGGATTTAATTGGTGCAGTTTCCAAAACGTCGGTGTAAATTGTTTAACTAACTAGTAAACTTAAAAACATAAGTAATTCAAAAACGGTTTAGTTATAGGTAAAGTGAGAAATTAATTAATTAGAGATAAAGAGTGCATCTATTACTGATAGAAAGACTCTCTGTCCTTCACTGGCCTCTATAAATTCCATAAGATACATAGAATTGATCGTTATGGTTGCCTCTATCCTTTCCTGTCTAGTAACAGCTTCGTAGCGTGCGCAACGGAGGGGAGCAATGGTTTTTATCTGTGTGCATATACTAGCATTTTGCAAGAAGGGATCTACTGTACATTCACATCTATAGATTCGCAGAGCAGAACACATTACTGGGCTACTTATGGAAGTATTTTGCTGTTGGCCTGCTATACTGGGAGAAGAGGTTAACTCGGCTCAAGGTCGGACCTCCGATCTCGCCGCAACCCGCCACTTCTTTGGATTTCAAAGCGCTCCACCATCGTCAAGCACTTTACACAATGCGCCTTATACCCTGCTACGACAACGGCCTTCTTATTTTCCAGTCGCAAACGTCTCCTGGTTGATACTTTACTTTGCGACATTTAAAAGACCATACAACACACCCGTCTCGTCCTGAATTGGCTGCGATGCCCCTCGATAACATCCGCAACATCCTCCTCGTGCTCTCCGGCAAGGGCGGGGTAGGCAAGTCGAGCATCACCACACAACTCGCGCTCACGCTATCGCTACAAGGCCACTCGGTTGGTGTCTTGGATATCGATCTTACGGGCCCAAGCATACCGCGCTTCTTTGGCATTGAAGATTTAAAAGTAAGGCAGGCGCCAGGCGGTTGGATACCAGTCGATGTCCATGAAGCGCAGACGTTGCCGGGGAAGAAAATAAAGGATGACGAAGGAGAGCATGCACAAGACCAAAAAGTTGGACCGTTATCATGCATGTCGCTTGGCTTCATTCTGGCTTCCCGCTCTGACGCCGTCATCTGGCGCGGTCCCAAGAAGACAGCCATGGTCCGCCAGTTTCTCACCGATGTCCTTTGGCCACCGCTCGACTACCTTCTTATCGACACGCCGCCTGGTACCTCTGACGAGCACATTTCCCTGCTCGAAACTCTTCTCAAGAACACGACTCCTTCACCCTCACTCAACACGAACCTACCTTTTCTTGCTGGCGCGGTAGTAGTAACAACACCGCAAGCCATCAGCATCAGTGACGTAAAGAAGGAGCTCAATTTCTGTAAAAAGACGGGCATACGCGTTCTTGGTGTGGTGGAAAACATGGCCGGCTTCGTGTGTCCCAATTGCTCGGAATGCACAAATGTGTTCAGTAAAGGAGGCGGACAGGTCATGGCAAGTGACTTTCAGGTTCCCTTTTTGGGCAGCGTGCCGATAGACCCGGCATTTGTGGAGTTGATTGAGAGCGGTACCAGGCCTGTGTATCCGCAGGGGACGGTTATGCAGGGCAAGGATGTGAGTACGGAGGATGTTGCCAAGGCGAGAAACAGTGAGGGGAGTTTGGTGGACAAGTATCGGGATTGCTCGCTTTATCCGCTTTTCGATGGCTTCGTGACGAGGTTGAAGGCAGATGTAGCAGGGATAGAGTGAAGGCGGAAAGGAATGAAATGATGCGCTCTTCACCACCCATCTATTTCTTTGATGCTTTTACAGCATTGCACATTGGGCCCCTGTATTGCGTGCTAAAATATTCGCTGCCTAAATCGCAGACCTTTCTCTCTAATCGATTAGCGGAAACTTACCGCCCTTTGCAGTGCCTTCACTCCAGCGCTTGAATTTCCCAAAACAAGCTTACCGTTCCTGCTCATCCATGTGCTCTAGTAAGACAACAGCACCCACGATCGCATACCGCCCGAGGTAGAAACCCGCCCGTGTGTCAGCAGACATGCTGTGAGGTGAGAGCAGGCTTGGCTCCAACCTAGGTGAAGGGTGACTAAAAACTGCTATTGACCAGGTTTTTGTCAAGCACCTATATAAAGCTCCTACGCAGTTTCTTTCTCACTTCCTTCTGGTTCCTCGATTGCTCAGTTTTCTACTTCTGCTATCAATCAACCCGAACAATCCTTCTGATCGTATCGATTGAGCAACAACGAACTATCACGCTGACAGCGTGATTCGACTCGAGTATATGCCACATCGTTAATTAGAAAATTTCCCATACTGACTTTGATAGCGCCGGGAACCCTAAACATGCAGTCTACTAGTGAAACTAGATCTCACGAGCTTGGAGAAGCTGGTGAGACTGCGAGATCTGGGGAATCAAGCAGTTTCTTCTTCGACGGGGAGATGCAAGATTCGGGAGCTGAACCAAAAAGTGCTGCAGCCTGGGGTCAAGAGCGCAGAGAAATGGACCTGGGTGAACAGCAGCAACTTGATGGGCTCTGGAATGGCAGTGAACATGATGCTACAAACCCATTGGGCAGTGCTGCTATGAAACTGGAGCCTAGGCACTGGACAAACGATCTCGAGGGCATGGATGTGGATGATGGAGGGATTCATTCATCGGCTCTTCCGCATGTGAGTGAGTCTAAGAAAGAGCCGCTTCAGGGTCCTACAGAGAAGATGCAACTTGGATTCGAAGGACGTGAACGCGTCAAGTATCCTGGTTTCGTCGAAGGCCAGCATGAACAGGGTCATCCGTCTTCGACTCCCACCAAAGCAGCAAACTCTCAGCGTCAAGAAGGGATTGCCAATCCAGGCTTCAAGGACCAGACAACAACATATATGGGCGGGCCGCAGGGTTACCAAACCCTCGACTTTACCAACCCTACTCCACTCCACCATTCAACTCCAAAAAACCCCATGTCGTTTTCGCCCTTCAATACTTATGCTCCATACAATCCAAGCGTCCAAAAATTCCCGCAACAGCAGCTTTTTACCCGACTCAACCAACCTTCTTTCAACCCTAGCTTTGCTCGCCAGCAGCAGCTCCAAGTACAAATCGACAACAAGAAACGCCAGATCGAGAACGTAAAAAGAATATACGAGCGGAATCCACGCCAAGCTCAACAAGCAAACAATGACTTCGGCTTCTCTCAGAACCAGGCAAACGTTCCAGCTTCAATTCTAAAGGGTCCATTGAGCTACCAACGAGCTCCTCAAAGCGCGTATCAAACTCTACCGTTTGGAAACAGTAGCACAAAGTACCCTTCCCACAGCCAGTCTGAGTTTCCATACGACCAAATGGCATCAATGCAGCCTCCTGCCTTGTACTCTGTACAGGGCCATGATGCACTCAATCAGACGAGCAAGCCAAACCAGCAGTCACCAAGTGCGTACACTACATCAGAAGCACCCGAGGAAGAAACCAAAGAAGAAACCTCATCCGACGACGACGAACCCCTCAAAACCCGCCTAGCACGCCACCCATCTAAGGCCCCATCCCCCCATCCCCCCAACACCTCCCCCATAAACTGGAAACTCCCAGACTACGACATCCAATTCTCCCCCTCACCTCCTCCCGCATCCTCCTCCTCCTCCAAACTCAAAGCCACCAAAGACTCCTCCTCCCTCCCTGTGGCAAAAATCTCCCTTCCAGGTCTAATCCGCGAGCCCCTGGTCCTCTCCCCAGACCACACCGCCCAAGAACTACACCTCCTCACGCACATCTTCCTACCAGCGCAGCAAGCATTGGCAACACCAGACCCCGAACCCGCACTTGCAGTGCTGAATTTCCACAGCATCGCGATGATGGTTGTTGAGGCATACGTGCAGTTTGAGATAGGGGATGAGATGGGGCGGTCTGGTCCAGCTTACCTTCCTCCCCACGATTCTGCTTCCGACGAAGGCGAGCGTGGTAAGGAAAAGGGCAAAGCAAAGAGGAAAGAAGAAAAAGACTACGTCCGCATCCGCTGCGCCCGCAACGCAAACGTCGACGACATCTTCTTCGCCGTCATCGACCGGTGGCGCGCCGGGCTGGAGAGTAACAAGCAGTCTTTCAAGTTGATTCGGGGGATCCAAGAGTTTGTGGATGTGGCGTTGGATGTTATTTTTTGGATCAAGGAGAATGGATTGCTGGTTGAGGAGGAAGGGCGGACCGGGGAGGGCGAGGAGGGTGCCAAGGGCAAGGGAGGTGCCAAGGCAGGCGCAAAGGGAAAGGCAGAGGAGGAGTGTGTAAAGAAAGAAGAGGGTATCTCGATGCTGACGGCTAGGAAGAAGACGGTGCCCAAGGCCAAGGTTGCGAAGCCGAAGAAGAAGGAGGCGCCGGTGAAGAAGAGGAGGGTTCCGGTTACGCCTGGTGTTACGGTTGTGAGAAAGAAGTGATTTTGAGGGGAGAGAAAGGTGGGGGATTGAAGGTGGAGGATTGGTTGGTCTTTTTTTTGGCGAGTTTTATTTCATGATTTACGGGAATATTGGTCAACGGGGATGCAGGACATGATTTACAAACAGGGCAGTGGAATACTTTATTCACAGAGCCATATTCCAACGACACGATCCATGTAACTTGAAAAAAAAAACAAGTTTATTGCTGACATTTACTATTCTGGCGTCTATGATGCTAACGTTATATCGCCACCAAGACCATGCAAAATCCCCACATGCCTCGGAGTTTCTTTTCTCCCATTGCTTCATGCAACGTCACACTTTACCCCCTGCTGTGGTAATTATCCACAGGCGCAACTTCCTTGACGCTCTCCCAAATCTCATCAATCCCCTTGACCGCCTCACTGCTCAGCTTTCCCTTCTTGAGCCACTGGGCCGTCTGCTCCACCTGCGGCAGCTTGCTAGCTCCAAAGACGACAGCGTCGTCATCGCTCTGCAGCGCGCTGTGAAACGCAACCCATCGGTATGCAAGCTCGGCTTTGGAGACGCCTTCCTTTTCGGCGAGATCGTTCCATTTGGATAGCGCATTGCGTATAGGTTCCTTGTTGTAGAGCGTGCTGTAGAGGCCGCCTAGGGTCTCCTTGTTGAAGCGGCCTGCGCCGACGTCGAGGTCTGCGGGTGTCTTGGTTAAGAAACCGCCGGCGAGAGGCGAGTAGGCATAAAAGTGGATGCCCAGCTTGCGTAGCAGGGGGAAGAGCTGCGTCTCGAGGTGGCGTGCGACGGGGTTGTAGTTTCCTTGGTAGACAGATGGCAGAGGGTATCCCTTTGCCTTTGCAATGTCGTAGACTTGCTGTACCTGCTCGGCGGAAAAGTTGCTCAGACCAAAGCGGCGAAAGATGCCTTTTTTATAGACTTCGTTAATTCCCTCGAGGGTTTCCTCGAAGGGAATCGATGGGTCTGGGGCGTGGATGTAGAGGATGTCGAATTGCTCAATGTTCACGGTGTCCAGCGAGTCTTGGGCGTCCTTGATGACATTTTCCTTTGTGGCGGTGCCGGGAGCGAAGCCGCCAGGCAGCTTGGTATCGATGGTGAATTGCTTGCGCTTCTCGAGCTTGCCAATGGCATCCTGAGATCCGGGGTATATGCGTGCTGTGTCAATGTTCTTGATGCCGTTCTTGATTAGGATGTCAATGACCTCAGCGCGCACTTCTTGGGTTTTGAAGTATCCTTGGTCTGAGAGGGGAAATCCTCCGAAAATCGTCTTGACCATTATGGTAGCGTTTGAGGATGTGTTTGCTGAGATGTTGGTGGCGTTGCGGTGAGGGGAAGTGGTGAGGGGAAGTGGTGAGGTGCGAGCTGGACGGTGACAACACCTTCCCCACTCATATATGTGTATACGTGGTAATACGTGCTAGGCAGTAGCGTACCCACTGCTTCGTGTGCATTTCTAATATAGCATGTCCGGTCGGACTAAAGTCCTGTCTGAAGTAGTGTGAATGATGTCATGATGCCATTTCCTGCCCCTCCTCGGTGATTGCTAGGGCCTAATTTCACAAACACAATCGCTCTGACAAATTGCATGCTGCATACAAAACATCGGGGCTAGCGGATCGTAATACATTCCTTGCAATCAGCTAGGATTGACGACATGGTTGTGTACCGGGAAGCATCTTCCTTGCTAAACCTATTACAGCTGACTAAATGTACCCCTCTCGGCCGACTCACCCAATTGCTTCGAGCAAGTTTCTACTTCAGTCTGCTGGGCTACTTCGATGACAAATGAATGCTTCCCTCTCACAATGCATGCGTACAACCACGTATCCAATTTCTTCTAACATGTCTAAAAAAACATCATGATGGCCCTGGCTCCATCTCTGTCCACCCACCATCTGCCCTCCAAACCCCAGCCTTTGTATAATCACCTCGTTGGCCACCGCTCAAGTATGCAAAGCGAAAGTACTCATTTACACCTTCCATGTGCCGAGTCCAGGTCCAACTGTCCTCCATCCTGTCTGTAAACTCGTGGTATCTTTCCACGTCATTGACTAAGACGCTCATGCCTTCATAGGGCGTGGGGAATGGATACTGCCAGTCAAAAGTTATGTTGGGCTTGATGTGAGCTACATTCACATTGTTATGAATGACTGGGGCTGTAATAATAGGGAGAGGGGTACCGCTGGGCGCGTCACCACGAAGAGCGCTAGGTGTTTCCAAGATGCTAGCAAAGCCCCAGCGCGCAACGCCATTGATGAACAGACCAATAAGGATACCTTGATAGAGAAGGGAGGGCCGGGTTTGCATAGATGTGCCTGCAACAAGAAGAAGGCCAAGGATGTAATGATGAATCCTGACGTTCATCTTGGGTATCGCGACAAGTGTAAGTATGCCTGCGACTAAGATGCCGTAAATGGCAAGGTAGCGAGGAAGACGACCCTCAACCCTGAAAGCCCAGGCTTGGCCAAGAGCAATCAAGAATAGGGCCAGAACAATGATGATAAGGGCGGGGATGGCGCCGGGCTGGTTCTGGATATCGTGCGGAGTGAGGCGCTCAATAGGAATCTTGTCAAAGGTGTAATTGTTCAGAGCGCCTATCCAGCACCCTCCCAGCCAGAGAATCGTCTTCTCTATGTGCGCGTCCAGGCCCTCAAGCTGGCGACGTACGGCGAATTGGTAGACGGCATACATACAAAAGCATGCCGGGAGCAGGCGCGCGAGCATTATACTGACAATAGCATAGTAGTCTGTCAGATTCGGTGGGTCCGAAGCAAGCGCAACGTGGACGAAGACGCCTAGGAATATTGAAGTGAAGAATACAGGTGGTGATGTGGTAAAGAGGGACAAGAGAATAGTGAATGTCAAGGAAACGCCGAGCAGGGGCCATCGCAAGTCGCGGCACTTTGTCGCAGTTCCGGAGAGGAAGGAAAAGGAGCGTGGAAAGTAGGAATCGAAACCAGTGCTCTTGATGTGCTTGCGGTCAACGCTGGGATAGTCAGTTTTTTCGCCAATCTGAGCAACCACACCGCATCCACCTGAAGCGTCGTTGATGAATCCAGCATGGATGGCAGCAGCGCAAATGAAAGAGTCGGCACGGTAATAAGTGTTTTCGAGCGTTTCCTCGTCGTCTGTAGGCCCGCCTACGACGAGTGGACGATAGTTGACCAACTGGTCTCCAACAGCATGGGGATAGATCAACTGCACGCGCTTGCAATTTGCGGGGCAACGAAAAGGCATGGTGCTGTTCTCAAAGGGCCGGCACAGATCGCCATTGAGGCCGCAGCCATTGCCGTCGCTCCAAAAGCGATCTGTGCACCGCACGCGCACTGGGCTGCCGTAGCCTGGTATGTCTGCTGCAAAGGCACTACGATGCAGAACGAGGCCAAAAGTCAGGATCCAGCAAAAATAGAAGAAGACGAGCAGGGCAATCTTCTGTTTCCTCTTTGGGAAATAGTTGTTCAAGAGGCGAATGGGCGCAGCTTGGACATGTGGAAAGAATGGGCGGATCTTCCAGGGTCGCGGCGGCTGTGGGCCCTTGACCCAAACGACAGTACTGTGCCATATGCGTTGCAGTTGTGGAGGTAAGTATTTGCTCATGTAAGACTGTTGCAGTGGGCTGTAGTACTCCTGAGCAGAGGCCTCGGACGCCGCAATAAGCTCGGCCGACTCGTTGGAATGGAGACTGGCGTTTCCATCATCGCGATAAATGGGCGGAGGGGCGCCTTCATCGTCATAGACGCCCTGATGGGAGTCCATGTCTTGGAGCGACGCCAACTCGTGGCGAGATGTGGGCGAGGACGACAGTTTGAAGGCTGAGGGCGTGGCGATGCGCCGAGGCTTGTGGGACGGTTATCGATAGCGATGGGTGGGGATGTGGATGCGAGATGGGCGCGTTGCAGTTGGGATGGAACAGCTGTTGTACAGCGCAGAGGGAAAGAAAGAAATGAGGCTAGGGCCAAGAAACCGACTTTGTATAATATAATCAGTCATCAGCCAGGGCGGATGACGGCCGGACCGGGCAAAGAAGAGAGTTTGGGATCGGGAGCCGTGGGAGTCGCCGGGACCTGCATGACGACGAGGCCGAGCCTGTGGGGTTCCCACGCCGCCGGCTTCGTGCGCTAATCCGCTGCACCAGCACGTGGCCGGCCCAGCCATGGTGGACTGCATACTTACAGCTGTACAGACCTATATACATGCGCTTGCCTACGTGTAGCAGACGTGGACAAGACCAACTGAAACACACACAGGACCAAACAACGCTGGCCTGGGTGGGGACTATGGTCGGCTCAACGTCAAGGCGCCCGCACGCAGCCCGTTGGGGTTTAGCTGCGACACGCATACATGCTGAGGTCACTACCGACATTTCTAATCACCACTCCCTTATCCTCCAGTCCTCGGCCCTCCAACGCGTCTCTCCCTCTCTCATCCTTATTGCCTCCTCCTTTTGGTAGATCATTACAAAGCCCGCCTGGCTGCGCTGCTTTTTACCATGGCGCCATACACTTCCGACCCAAGCTCTTTTCCAGACCCAGTCAGTCTCGCCCACTTGCTATCACGCAGCACAAAGGCCCGTGAGGCCTCGACCGTCAAGCAATTCTACAAATACTTTCAGATCCCGGGCATCGCTCAATTAGCTGGAGGTAGATACTAACCTATGCTACAACCATCATCACAATTGCTCACAACTGCTAGGCCTGCCCGATGATCACTACTTCCCATTTGACACACTCGAGGCCAAGGTCGCCCGCCCTGACCGATGGCAGCCTACCCCAAATAAACCCCTCGACCCCCCGCCTGAGGACCCTCCGTCCTCGCAGCAAAATAGATTCTGGGCCTTTTCGCGCAAAAAGTCCAAGCAGCTACCTGCCTCGCGTCTGGTTGTACCAAAAGACTCCAACATGCAGGATCCTCTGCGCATGATCGACCTCAAGTCGGCACTGCAGTACGGCCAGGCCCAGGGATATCCCCCCCTGTACTATTTCATTCGTCAGTTCACTCGCGAAAACCTGCACCCCTTTGTTCCATACAAGGATGGTCCCGAGATCCTCTTGACCTGTGGTTCTACCGATGGCTTCTCAAAGACATTGACTGCCCTCAGCAATGAGTGGTCAGCAGAGCATGACCCCGTCGAAGAGCGACCAGGTCTGCTGTGCGAAACATACTGCTACATGAACGCTATCCAGACCGCCAAGCCACGGGGCTTCAACATTGCACCTGTTGCCATTGACAGCGAGGGAATGATGGTGTCCGGCCCAGGCGGTCTACAAGACGTCCTGGAAAACTGGGACTTCACAAAGGGTCGTCGGCCGCACATCATGTACACTGTCACCATTGGCCAGAACCCCACATCTGGCACCCTCTCAGTCCAGCGACGCATCGAAATCTACGCCCTATGCGTAAAGTACGACATCGTCATCGTTGAAGACGACCCATATTGGTACCTGCAGTATCCCTCTTCACTGCCCAACGGAACCACCCCCGTCGAGCCCCAAAAGTCGTCAGGTTTTGAGTTTTTGGATAGTCTAATCCCCTCATATCTCAGCATCGACTACCAGGGCCGCGTGGTGCGCCTCGACACCTTTTCCAAGACTGTCGCTCCAGGGTGTCGTCTTGGTTGGATCACTGCACAGCCCGCCCTTATCGAGCGTCTCGTGCGTATCACCGAGACCTCAACCCAGCAACCGTCTGGTTTCGTGCAATCCATGGTTGCAGAATTACTCATGGGCCCACAATCTTCCAGAGACCCTGGAAAGGGAGGCGCAGCAGACGGAAGTGGCTGGAAAGTCGAAGGCTGGGTGCGCTGGCTCGAGGGTCTGCGAGGCAACTACGAGCGACGTATGCAGAAAATGTGTGACGCGCTCGATTCTGGCAAAGAGCTCGTCAAGGCCGGACGCCGCAAGAGTCTTGCTGATGTCACCGACCAAGAGGACGATTGGACTGTTGTAGAGAAGAAGCCCTTGTACACATTTGTCCGCCCACTAGGCGGCATGTTCGTATGGGTCCGCTTCGACTTTTCGTCGCACCCTCTCGCCAGAGAAGTCCCGCGTTCCCGCCTCTCCAGGGCTCTCTGGGTATTCTGGACAACCAAGCCCTACCTCTGTCTTGTGGCTCCTGGCAGCATGTTTGCTGCAAATGAGCAGATTCGCCAAAAGGATAGCTTTAACTGCTTCAGGCTGTGCTTTGCTGCCTGTCCTGCCGAAGACGTAGAGAACATCAGCACAAGATTTGTCGATGGCGCACAAGACTTTTGGAGAATCAAGACCAAGGCTAAGATTGACAAGCTACTTGAAGACGAGGAGGCGGCGATGGCGGGAGGAGACAATGTCGCCGGCATGTCCGTCTTGACCGGCTTGTGCTGATTTTTCTTTTTTCTTTTTTCTTTTTCTCATATTGAACAAACACTGGTGGGTATTTAGGATATATCATATACACGGCGTTTTTGTTTTTTATTTACTTTCTGATGATATAACGAAATATAACAGAATCTTGATCTAGTCCACCCGCTTTCCGCCCCCCCCCCCTAGCCCGTGAACTCTCTACATCAAAACCCTCGCAAAACCCTCGCCCACACCCCGTCCAACCAACCACTCCTCCAACCCCCCCATATCCCCCCTCATCCCCCTCTCCCCCCTCCTCTCCCCCACCGCATCCGTAATCTCCTCCATCCCCTCAAACACCCTCCCTTCCACACCAACCTCCCTCCACCGCTCACTGACCTTCTTCTGATACGCCGGAATATCCCCCCAAGACTCCGTCTTGATAAACCGCATGTAAGCATCTATGTTAGAAGACGTGCCTTCGACGCAGAGTAAACCCGGTTTGCCCGCGAACAGGAAGCCCGTCAGGGAGTAGCGCGGGGCGTGAGTAGTGAGGTCGAGGCGCTTTGAGCGCGTGCTTATTGAGGGGAAGAGGAACCAGGCGCGTACCAACGGTTCGGATGATAGTGGGGAGTGTGAAGGGAGGGAAGGGAGTGGGGAAGAGAGGTGCGCCAGGGCTTTTTCGAGGATGAAATCTAGAGTGTCGAGGAGGTCGTCTGGGTTTGGGAGGCATGATGTGAGGGATTGGGTTTCGGCTTTGTTCAGCCAGGTTGGTTGTTGGACTCGCACTTTAACTGCTGGGGGGTCCGTCGGGGTGGTGGCGCCTTGGTGGGAAAATGGGATGGTGAGGTGTAAGCGGAGGGTTTGCCGACTCGCTGGTGGAGTTGTTTCCGGGGGAGAAATGGAGAGGTCGAGAGTAGCTGAGATACTTGGGTTGGACGTCATGGCTTCTTGGCTTTTTTCTGCATCGCCATTGCGTAGGATGGAGAGGGTGGACTGTGCGGCGTCAGAGAGGGTGAGGTCGTCTGGGTACATGGCGAGGAGGAGGTCGATTTGGCCGATTTGCAGCTCCAGCAGGTCTGGGGGGAGGAGGTGCCAGGGCGAGTCCATTGTCGTTATCTTTCTTAGTAGTTCAGATTTGCAGGTGTAGTTTCAAGGTAAATGGTAGTACTATGTGACTAAATTATATCTAGTTGGTAAGAGTCTAGAGGTATTCACAACTGACTAATGAGCGAAGTCGGCGCTACACACACACACTGGAGCCACTAAGTTTTTCGGCCACTAGCCCACAAGCGTGCATCTCCGCATTGGAAAATGCTCGATGCTATTTACATCTACGTTTCCGTACAATTCGTTCTAGAATCACTATTATATTTTTTATTCGGCTATGTACAACGGTTTGATTGCTCTTACAGCTTGCTGCTCTCTGGAGCTGGCGCTGCCTATATTTTCAAGTCAGCTTCTTTCTGCACATTTCTGTTCAACTTGGACAAGGGCAAGCAACGTACCTCCCACATATCAATCAGCACAGTATTTGGCTTTCCCACCCGCAGTACAGCAATGGCAGCGACATCGTTCAACCATGCAACTGTGTTGTTTCTGCTCGTCTCGAACTTGCCAATCAACATGTTGGGTGTACTGTCATTGTTGTCTTTTGGCGGCAGACCCTCGGTCTGAATGTAAATGATCTCACCGGCATCTGTCTGGAGCACATAACGCGTATCAGGCCGTGTCTTGCCTCCGTTGTCCATCAAAAGCCAGTCGGCGCCGATATTCAGGATTTTGCCTGCATGTAGAATTAGAACTGTAGCATCTTATGACGTCATTCATTCTCGCAAAAAGGGGGAGCATCCAAAAGCCAAGCCATTTAGATAGCCCCCTATTCCTCTCACCGACTTTCGCAATGAAGACGGCATCTTGAACAACTAACCAGATAGTCTTGGTCCCTTGAAGGTGCCTCCGATGATGGGAATAATGGAGCGCATTTGTCCATAGGGAATGCCCGGAACGTTGATTGGATCTGCCAGCAAAGCCTCCATTCGGTAGAGCAGAGTCAACTGCGGCGGTACAGCTTCGTCTTGTGCCATGGCGAACTGTGCAAGCGTGGCGATGGCAGTAGTAAGCGGGTATAGAAAACGCATGATGAATGAGCAGCGTTTCTGAAATATGTACGTAGATTATGAGATTACTAGATTACTAGCAGAAGTGTGGGTGAAATAGAGACAAGTCATGAGCATGATGCTAACGTTTTATACATCCACAATGTACCATGGTTCCTGGTGCCGTAATCAAGATCCGAGGATACTGCCTATAGGGTTAGTGTCTTCAAACCCCGCAACCGGCAGGCAATTTACCCCGGTTTTGATAACTCCAGCTTCCCCGGCAGATGAGAATATACGCGCTCTAGTCGCGCTAAGTACATTCAACTAGGTTATCCCGTCGGTCCTACTTGGCGCTAGCAACCGTTGCATGGCGGTGAGCATGGGGCTAAACGTTAATCACATTTCTGGGGATCTGGAATTGACAATTGAATGATATGTAGATACACTTGTAGAGTGCCAACGACGTGTATGCGTAGAGCGTCATCAGGTACCTCTCAACCTTACACGTTCTCTCCAAACGCCCATATCAACCACATCAGTAGACATAGCCGTTTGCCATCACCAATCTACCATGCTGGCTCCAGACTTCAAAAGAAGACGCATCTCCCTTACCTACTGAGCGAAATACCCAAGAGACACATACTACACACATGTGGACTATCCCAAATAACCCACACCAGTTAGCCCATGATGCCCCAAAACCTCCCCCCAAAAGCCTTCCAAACCCTCAAGAAACTAACCCTCCACGGCGACGCCGGCGCCCACAACCAAGGCATCTACCTAATGAAGCACCTCCCCAGCGCCAAAATCTACATTGAAAAGCGCCTCCTCCCCTCCCGCGCCACCAAACGCGAAATCCGCGCCATGCGCCTCTGCAACCCGCACCCACACCTCATCTCCATCTTCACCTTCACCCAATCTAGCACCACCTCTATAATCTCAATCTACATGCAACACTGCGAGCTTGGCAGCCTGGACACCCTGATCCTGCGCTTCAACGCGCACAACACCCGCTTGCACGACGAAGGCTTCGTCTTCCGCGTCTTCTGGCACCTAGCCCTCGCACTATGTTATTTAAATACTGGCGCCGATTACACCTCTACGCGGCATCGCGCCATTCAAGGTAAACCCGCGGTGAAGAAGCAAGGCTGGGATTCCCTGCTACATGGCGACATCAAGCCCGGTAACGTATTCCTTACGCAAGATAGAGCGTGTAAAGGTGCGGATGCGCATACGCTTTATCCGTGCATTGTGCTTGGGGACTTTGGCTGCATGGTCACGAGGTCGGATCGGTATTCACGGCATGCGGGATTGCTGGGGCGGGGGGATCTGCGGTTCGAAGCGCCGGAGTGCAAGGGTAATGTGTATAGCGATGTCTTCAGTGTGGGACTCGTGTTGCACTGCCTTGCGCGTATGGCGCAGATTCCAGATGAGATTCTACTGCCAGATAGGCCACTGGGCAGACAGTATACGGGGTGTAAGTATCTGGCGCAGATGGTGCGGGATTGTCTTGCGCGGACGCCCGAAGAGAGGCCTTCGCCGCTGGAGCTGCCCAAGTTGGTGTTTGAGGGTTATCGTGTGTGGAGGCAGGCGAGGGGTTGCGATGGTGTTGCTCTGCCTAAATGGGCTTTTGGCTAAATACCCTGTTTAGCAAATATATATGTAGGATTCATTAATCTATATATGAAAGTGAATCGGTTATGTATTGAGCTTTCGTTGCATATACCCTTTCTTTGTTCAACGAGAGAAGAAACATGAGACCGGGAAGTTCCGAGCTGCCAAATCTCGAAGCTCGATACGCGTATCTTAGATCACGTCCGCTAATCTGAGTAACCCACAGCGATCGATAAGATTGCGCAGATGCTCGTAAGCGGCAGGTACTCGCGGAGTAACAGTAGGTTGCTTGGTGCTAGTGAAATGGGCCGGGTCGGGCCGAATGAAGAGTTGCTACACTGAGTTTGTATGCCGTAAGTTTGCTCGCGTAGTACAGACGGGAGAGGAGACGGGAAGTGAGCAAAGTGCGAAGCAGCATAGGCACTTCCACAGATATGGAAGAGTAGACTTAATCGAAGAGTGTCGTGAAAAGCCATCACGACAGCCAGCATTGGGAAGGAATATCACAAATGCTACTCGTACACATATGAATCCTGACTATGGTTTACATTTAATCCATCTTACACGTCTAACAGAATTCCTGAATACTCAACAGGTCGATTGCTTCAAAAATAGTACAAAACACAAAACAATAAACACAGTGGATAGGTCATCGAAAACACCATGCATCTCGACAAGCCTATCTTTCCTCAAATCCCTTCCAAAGCGCCATGCCAAAACCAGAAATACAAACACACGATATCTCTCCAACCCGTCCAATAATGACAATGAGACGCCCACGCTAAAAAACAAACATCCCCATCACGATTTGATCAAAAAAACCTTGATCAAAAAGAAACCAATCCTCCAACTCCTATACACCTGTATCTCTCCTTCTAAGTCTCCTACAAGTATGCCATCCAGAGCGGATCGCACTGGCTCAACTTGGCCGGATGTACCGCTACAGCAACGAGATCGACAACAGTTTGGTTTGCCGGCAGATTAGCTCCAGTAGGCAGACTACCGATAGCACTGGCCCTCTTGACTACTAAATCGCTGTTGTTCTGGACGCTCTCCCTGAGAACTTCTGGTGTCAATTGGCTAGCCTTGTGTTGGCTGGTGAACCAGTGGTTCATTTCATCGCGCATGAAGATACTGAGCTGCATTTCCAGCTCGCCCTCGGGTTCGATCAAGCATCGAGCCACAGTCATGACGCTGGGAGCAAAGATGCCTTCGAGATTGAGCGGACCCATGATTGTTTGCAAGTTGGGCGTCAGACGGAAAGGTACAGGCTCCGAGTTGTGTAGAATGGGCTTGCCGACAGCCATGCTTGGAATCAATTCAGAACCCCAAATGCGGCCGCTGGCACGTGACACGCTGATCTTCTGTGGGAAGCGCGTGTTCATGTGCATAACGTACGTCATAAAGGTGAGAGCGGCGAGCTGGTAGCTGAATGTGCGACGGAACAGCCAGAAGTCGTCAAAGGTGGGGAACGTGGCGCGGAAGTAGTCCTGGATGACTGTTGGAGGCACATATTTCTCTTGAACGGCAGCGAAGGTTTCGAGGCGGATACTGTTAGCATGGTCCAGATTTTTCTGTTCGGGTTGTATTAGTTTCTGTATGCCAACCAGGGTGTTACATCCAACACTTACAGGCTGAAGAGCTCTCAGTTTCTCGATGCTAAAGAGTATGGGCTCGTCCTTATTGATGCCATTCTTACGGCAGTAATCCTCGTAGATACCCTGCATGTTGATGTACGACGCATCATCCTGCACCATGCGCACACTGGGTGTGATTGGAATCATAAGCGGAAGGTGGAACTGCAAATTCCTCCTGCGGCTCTCCTTACGCTTCGCCAAGATACCGTTGAAGATACGGAACAGTTGGACGATGCGCTCTTCACGCCTTGAGCTCCTAGCAGCAGGGAATTGGATAGCAAAAGGATGAATGCTTCCATCGTGGCCACGAATCCTGAGACGGCGATGACAGATGCCAATACCGCGCACCAGTTCCACGTCGGGAAGGAAGCGTTCGATGCGCACGAAGTCAGAGTTCTTATCTCGGTGCTGGAGATACTGTCCTGGTACCTCGACATCGTCAAACTTGAGGAAACGGTACTCGCTGAGTTGGTGTGTATATTGCTCGAGCGGCACCGTAAGCTTCCTTCGGTCGAGCCTCTCTTCAAAGCGATTCCGCCAGGTACGCAACTTCTGGATGTATTCGTACATTGTCGGCTTGTTCGTGACAAAGTCTTTCTCGAAAGCCTTGCGAATGTGCGGTGGCAGAACAGACTCAGCGAAGCGCGTGATGTTAGCCTCAGTCGATGCTGGTAGTTTGATCTCGCGTGCGTAGAGATTTGGCTGGCGGCCCACATAAGACAGCCCGTCGTTTAGCAGAGCTACGATGAGTCGGTAAGCATCTTCGTCGGGAGGGCACTTGAAGTTCTTCTGGATCTGGTCGAGCATCGTCTCCATGGATAGCGCGAGTAGAGGAAAAGCTGTCTTAAGGATAGCACTGATCTCTTCGACATGGTCCCATGGCTTCTTTGGTGCTGGAGGAGCATCGGCAGGGGCGGGTGCATTGCCGGCCTTCGGACTGCCTTGCGCCGCACCTTCTGTCTTGACTGTACCGTTGGCCGTTCCATTGGCTGCAGGCTTGGTATCGGTGCCTGCGGTCGCTGCCTGGTTACCGGATTCGGGCGAAGCCTGTTTCGTTGCTGGTGAAGCTTGTGCTTGTTGCTGCTTCGCCTTCGCCGCCTTTTCCTTTGCTTCCTTCTGCTCATGTGTCTTCTTAAGTACAGCCATGTCTTCTCGTGTCGTGCGGAGATGGCAGTACAGCGCCTGTGGATACGTCTTTGCCAGTTTCCCAAGAATAGATCTCGCAATAGGAGCTTCCTGTCGCGAGAGACTGTTCAGCAACTGCGGAATGTAAGTAATCCAGTACCACGCTGGCGTATCGCCCTTGAACTCTTCGAACTTCTCGGCCAATTTGCGCTCTGGGTTGTCCAAGCTGAGCAACCACAGAACACGTCCAAGCAGTTTCCTGGACTTAGCGTTCTTGAATTGGCTGGCAGCTTCCAAGTAGCAGCTGAGCGCTGCCTCTGCCCTCTCCAGGTTCTGTGGCTCCTCCTTGAACAGCATATCGTTGTAGCGTCCCCACTCGGCCCATGCCTTTGGTAACTTAATGTCAAAGTACAATGCAGTGCCAAAAGCTTCACCCGCTTCGTTCTTCTGGCCCAATTTAGCCAGGAACATACCCTTGAGGGTGTAGAATTCTGCCTTCTGATTCGGACCAAAGTAGTTCAGATTGGTGTTATTAATCACATCCAAGCCACTATTGAGATCGGCCTTGATCTGGTAGTGACACTTTGCCTGTTCACGTAACTTCAGGAAGGCCTCTTGAATCTCAATGTTAGGGAGTGTGTAGATCCGTCCAAGCTGGTTGATGCACACTTCGGGCAAGTTGTGTTTGCGCGCCACATGTGCAAAGCGATTAATAATCCATGCAGTCTCGTGGTAGCCTCGGTATGCGAAAGAGTTGCCACTGGCGTTGTTCTGGTTTGGAGGCAGCAGGTTCAGGTAGACACCATTAATGAGCTGGAAAATGTGTTGGCGCCAAGTGACGAGATCCTGCCATGCGTTGATATCGTCCCAGAAGTTTGGCAGGCGATCGCGCCAGGTGCTGAGGAGCAACTTGAGCTCCTGCGATTTGACATCCAGGTTTACTTGAGTAGTCTGAGCAAGACTCTGGCAAATGACACTTGCATCATGCAACTCAACAAGTTGCTGGAAGTGCTGCAAGAGCGGGATGTGTGCCTGGGTGATGCGTCGTGGGAGCTGGTGCCATTTCCTAATGGAAAGCTGGATTGACTCATCACAAAGTCGGTGGAACTCTGGCTGCGACTCTTGCTTGTTGTGGAGCTTGAGCAATGACATGAAGGTCTGGAAGAAGACTCTTCGCGGCGTTGGTGCATCGCTAACAGCTTTGATGGTCGCATCGAGCTGTTCGCGGGTTTCGGCATTCTGCCAGGCATCAAAGACACGCCAGGTTGACTCCAGGTAGAGATCGTTGAAGTTCTCATGCTTGGCAAAGTCACTCAGAATCTCCCACTGTTGCAACTTCTGTGCGCAAATAACCCAGTGATCTTCCCAAAGCATATACTCGCCAGTACTGAAGGGAAGAACAGATGTGCGGGCTTTGATTTGTGCAGCCTCGTACATTTGCTGGGCCTTGTCCCAGATGCCACACTGCTCGTACGATAAAGCAGCGTTGCTTTCAATGAATTGGCAACGCCGACGCCATGTCCCATAGAATAGGTCGTCTTCTTGTAAGCCGCTGTAAATCTCCAACAAAGCATCCAGGTTGCTCTCACGCAGTTTTTCGACGTCAACAACAGGAGAAATGGCAGATTCTTCCATGTACACTGCGGCAGTGTACCAGGCGTTGTATGTCTGGGCCAAATACTTCATGATATGAGGCGGGAACTTAACCCGTGGTCGGGAATGCACGATAGCATCGAGCATGGTTGCAACACAATTGGGTCGTTTATCGAGTTGGCGGGAGTGGTAGTCTTTCGTGAGCAAAGCTGCCATGCCTTTTTCAAGGTCGCTTTGGTCGTCTTTTGTAAGTGCAGTCCAGGCTAGTGGGAAGAAAGCCACCCAAATGTCGTGTGCCAGGTTACTGTCAGTGTGCTGCAAATGTCCGAGCGGTTCGAGGATGTCCTTGACCTTGACATCAGCAAGCTGGTTGCAGAAGCGGCGATGGCTAATGACAAGGTTCTCCAGCTCATCATCGACCATGACATCTCCAATCCTGGAGTCTCGAGCATAAGTTCCGAACAGCGTGCTAGGTTGCATGAGGCGGAAATCTTCTGAATGAAGTTGTGCTGGAGTGTTCATCTCGACTGAGCCAAACATCAAATGAATGACCTGACTCAGCCAATAGCTATCAGAAAGGGTGTCCCAGTTTTGAGAAGCCAGGACGTAGCTGAGGCGACTGGCAGCAGTACGGCTCAAGCTTTTGTCGAAGATGGCCATGTATCTGTTACGCATCTCGACGTCTTGTGCACGGGTGCCGATCAAGAAGGCGTGCTCCATGCGTACAGTCAGCTCGCTCCTCGTAATCTTGGGATCCTCATAGATGCGAATGACGAGGTCCAAGAAGCGAGTCAACAGCGAGGTGTCAGCCCGATGTTCGAACAGCAGCATTTTGCTGAGTACTGCGGTCTTCTCCTTAAGAGTTGGCACAGGCTCAGTGGAGCGGAAGATCCATTCTTCGACAAGATCCAGTACCTTCATACAGACCGAGTTGGTTTGCGATCGCTCGACCAGTGATGCAAGGACACTAAGATATGGCCTTCGGTTCTCACCGAGTTCGTTCATCCGGGCAGCCAAGATGTCGACAGTCTTGAGTACCAGGTCTGTTTGAATCTCAATCTCGCGAGGATCCGTGGGAGGATTGGCTCCTTCAGGGCGCATAGCAGGTGGCACAGGTTGTCCGGGAACTCCGCTGTTTCCAGCGAGATGATCCTTAGCCATCTTGCCTTGGAATGCCTTCATGACTTGTGGGATATGTTGATCAATCTCCTCGGGTCGCTTCTGGCACAAGGTCCAGAGGATGTTGATTGCGCTGACATAAGAGCCATTGGAGAGTGTCTCAGTAGCGATGGTACCGAGGAAGTTGACGAACTCGGTAGAAGGCGACTCTTCAATGTTTCCTTCGTCGTCAGTAACGGGTTCAGGCATCACCTCTAGAATGCGCTTGAGGATAGGCTTCAGTTTCATAGCGCCATCCTCAGATTCGTCCGTTGCGTGAAGGCTGGCTTGGACATCGGGGTTCTCAGATCGAATGGGCTTGTCGAGGATCTTCTGGAACTGTGGGATGCGCTGCAAGACCCAGTCATCAGGCTTAACGTTGACAATGACCTTCACAATCTGGAGCGTGTTGATCATACGAGTATGGAAAACCTCAGCCTTGTCTTCCTGCTTCATCTCAGTGAGAAGAATCTCCTCGATTTTCTTGGTAAGCATAAGATCGAGATCCAGATCGTTCCATAGTCGTGGTGAAAGCAAGTCATGCAGAAGCTGCACAGCCTTTCTGCAGATCTCAGTAGGCTGCGCAGTGTTGGGAGTGGCGGCAGTGGCATCCTTGGGTTTCGGCGAAGCAACGGGGAAGCGCTCTGGCAGGTACGCAATGAACTGGATAAGATACTTGATCAACATCATCCGGATTGGAGCACCTGCAACAAAGCCCTTCGGCGCGGAACTTGGAACCACGGCCGATCCATCAGCACGCCTTTTAAGAGCCTGCGGTGACTCGGACTGTCGATCCGATGAGCCGCCACTCTCACTTGCTGTACGTTCCTCCCAAGTCCTGATCAGGCGGATCAAATTCAATGCAAGCTTCTTTGCATCAGTCGAGGGATTCGGAGGTTGCGCAATTTTGGATAGTGCTGTGATGATGATGGGCGACAGATGCTCTCTTCCTTCGTAAAAGAGATCTGGGTGTCGGACCAAGAAATTGAAGATGCTCATCAACTGCTGTAGATTAGAACTCTCTTCTGAGAGGATCTTGCGAGGGAATTGAATCCAGCGAGGCATCTTGGAGTCTGACCCAGGCAATACCGGCATCCGCTTCTTCAAGACAGGAGCCATGAGTTCAAGCGCTTGCATCACAAGTGAACGACCTTCGTTCTGATGTGCCTTAAGCAGGGCTTGATAGACTTGCACAGCAATCTTAACAGGTGTGTCGAAAGCGGCGATGAAAAAGGCGATGAGCACGTAGGCAGCGTACTTGTTGATGATGTCTTCAAGCTTGATGTAGTTCCAAGCGAACTTGATGACATCCTTGCGGGCTTCTTGGATCATGCCAGGGTAGTGTTTCAGGAGCAGGGTGGTAAGTTGGAGAAGCTCCATACGTGAATGATCTACACCAAGCTGCGCAGTGTCTTCTGAAAGCTCGAGTGTGGATTGTGGCTTCCAAAGCCGGCTATGGATGGTTTCGGTCATGGTCTTGTCCATGAACTTGGTACCCTTGGCTTTCTGGTCAAACAAGGCTTCCCAGTTGCGCTTTACGTCCATAGCAAAGATGGGGTTGACAATGTGCCGGAAGATGAAAGTCTTCGTTTTTTGTGACGAGTTGCGTGACGTGTACAGGTCAATGCACTTGTTCACGATCGTCTTCCAGTAATCCACAGAGTCGCTGGAAATGATTTGCTCGTAGATAAAGTCAAACAAGCGTGGAGAAGCCTTGAACTCCTCGGATGTGACAGCGTCAACAAGTTCAAAGAAGAAATCCAGACTGCTCGGCTCATGCTTGAGGTACGTGGTAAAGATGATCATGATCTGGTCGCCAGCCTGTTCAGTTGCCAAGCGCAGCTCCGCGTCGAGGGTGTTTGCCCTAAGCTTCTTTTCCAACGATCGAGCCGCTTCAAAAAGTCCTTTGCGTAGCTCTGCGTCCGAGACAAGCCACTTGCTAGTCTCTTCGCGTTGACACAAAGCATAGGCAATGTGAATACCATTGAGCTGAGCTTGGCATTTCTCCTTATCAGTACCCTCTGGGTTGATGGCACTCAAGAAACCTGGAACGTCTTCTGTGACCTGCTTGCGAAGGGCCTCGCTCGCCGGATTTTGAAGCAACTGGGCAAAGAAGCGCCCTTGGGTGTGATCCTTCAGATTGGGGGCAAAATGGTCCCAGGCTTCCTTCGGGTACATGCACAGGTACTTGATCAAGGGTTCTCTGAATGGACTGTAATGCGTTCTCCTGAGCGCACTCTCCAACTCGATGACCTTTTCGATGATCTGCTTTAAGAACGTAGCAGCCGCCGGTGGCAACAGATGGAAGATGTTGAAGATGCCAGTCACAATCTTCATCTTGGAATTCTGCTCAATCATGGTGAATGAGATCTTCTGGAGACTGTTTTGATCGGCGATACTCTTGAGATGGTCAAGAAGACGTGTTCCAATCTCTACCTTAAAGTAGTTTGTGAGCAGCTTCAGCAAACGGGCAAGACCATCAAGATTTTCGACAGAAAGCTTTCGTGGGTCCTGAAGATTAACCAAAATGGGTCGAAGTCCGCTTTGAAGCACATCTTTGGGTAGCTTGTTAGTCGCCGAGATGACACCCGAAAGTCCAATGTTGGCTGCCTCGATGACCTCAGGGGATTTTGAATAGAGACACTTGAAGAAGACAGCGATAATGCGGAGGAATGTCTGATTTGGTGGGGTAGTGCTGAACTCGGGAAAACTCTGCGCAGTGGAGAGAAGTCGAATACAGGCTACCCGCAGATTGACAATGTGGTCGGCGTTCCTTTGCTCAAAGGGTTTGCTCGCAAGGTGTTCGTCTTCGGCGTCTGCCAGTGCGAGAGACTCCATAAGCAACCTTGTCAATTGCTCATTGAACTCGAGAATGTTGTTCTTAAGCTTCAGACAGAATGTAATGGCGTCGATGTAGGCAATCTGAATGCTGAAGGGCAACGCTCGGAGTGGCTTTGTCCAAATGGGCAGAATGAGCCTATCTTTGACGGGTGTGATGAGGTCGCTCACGCTCAGTTCAGTGACATCGGAGAGCACTTGGAAAGCCTTCTGTGTTGCGTCACGCACGTTTTTGTTCATGTGCGACAGATCACCCACGAGCTGTTGACAAAGCCTCAGCGTAATGTTGTTGCCCTTATCAAAGTCTTCTTTCTTGATCTTCTTGTGGCATCGCCGGATGAGATCTTGGATAAGACCTTCTGCTTGAATGCGCGTTTTCGAGTCCAGATCGATAGGCATATCCTTCATGACAAAGTTCAAAGCGCGGACAAGCTCGAAATGGCGAGGTACCAACCAAGTCTGAGGAAGCCCTAGTTGCTTGATCATGATCTCAATACCACGAGTTCCGCCAGACTTCATGAACCAGTCATCCGCATGGCAGTTGTGGCAGAAGGTGCTGGAAAGCTCAGTGAAGAAGACAAACTTGTCGAGAGAGCCGTCGTTTCCAAAGATGGCTTTTGTAGCATCGCGCATGGTTATGATGACTTGTTCCGCAGCGTCGCGCACAGCAGCATGTTCTGAAGCTAGGGATTCGCCAATAGCTTCCGAAATAACGTCGGTTTCGATCACAACGGGTCCCTCGCCCGAATGGACATCAAACGGCTTCGTCTTGTGTTTGAGCGTTGCGAACTGGGTTCCGAGTTCCAGGAGCGTGAAATGCTTCGCCAAGTTATTTACCAGAGCCTCAGCGTCAGACTTCAACTCAGGTATAGACACAGCGAAGATACAAGCCTTTAGTAACTTCTTCAAAGTCTCCTGCTCCACGCTCTTCTTGGTGATTGACTTCTCACGCTCCGATGCAGTGAGAATGTCGTAACCGGCATCGAACTTCTTAGCACACAAGTCGTTGGCTTGCAGGCGGACCAACTGTGCAAAGTCCTCAGGCAAGCTATCGAAGCCGACCAGCAGCTTTGTGTGGGCTGTGATGAGGCGGAGGGCCTGCTGCTTGTGGAATGTATCAGACTTCTTGGCCGCGGGTGTCTTGGGGACCTCGTAGAGCTTTGCGATTGCAGTGTCAATTCCGATTGCCGCAGGAAACGCTCGGTCTTTAGTTGATCCAATGAGGCGTATGTCGATAGAGGATTGGTCGTCCGAGTACGGCTTGAAGTTGAGTTCTGGTGGACCTGTAATGAATTTGCGGTTGCGGCCGCCGAGTTTACCAAGGATGCGCATTGTCGTATGGGCATGGAAGTGGCTATATGGATTCGGCTTGAGATGCTCCCATAGAGCAGCCATCAATTCATCAATCACTGGCGCCATGATAGGATCCAGGTAGTCCGCGGTGAGGTTGTCTACACAAAGCTCCAGAGTACGAAGCCCTTGACCGACAAGATCAGATCCAGCTCGCAGAGCAACGACCAGCGGTCTCATCAGGTAGCTAAGATGTGGTAGAAGGTTACTCAACCTCGCAGGTACGGTAAGAGAAAGCTCAACGAACAAGTCCCTTTCTGCAGGCTTGCGCGCCGTCAATAAAAGGTTGTTGAGAACATCCAGCAACATCTCTAGAAGGGGAAGAATCTCCTTGTATAGATGCTCGAACCTACCACCGCCAATGCTCCTAAAGAGCGACCTGAGCAGCAGGAAATAGTTCATGGGCTCCTCGGCAGTCGTTGATAGCTGAATGGACTTTGTGATGATCTTGCTGACGTGCGGCAAGAGGACTTGCTCGTTTTGAGCGGAAAAGAGTGTGACTGCCATAAAGGACAACTTGAAGAGGCGGAGCATAATTGATGACTTCTTGACATCTGCAGTACCAACCTCTTCAATCCGATCCATGAGGAACTGTAGCAACATGCCCGAAAAACTGGGGGATGTGGCCTCGGAAGCAAGAAGAAATTGTGGAACGTGGAGCAATGCCGGGTGATCGAACATCATATCGTACAAATGGGGTATCTCGGATGAAAACACTTCATGGAATGTGGCTGGGTCAATGTGGTGGAAAACTGTCGCAAACGTCTCCAGTAGATCCTTCTCTTCTTTGCCGCTCGACATCATATGCTGGTTGCCCATGAAGTCTCCTGGTGACATTCCTTGAGTCTCAGGCACCTTGTCAGTGCCATAATAGCGGAATACCTTGGCACCTTCACGGAAAAGCTTGATGAGAACCTCGACCTCTTCGGCGTTGTAGCCAAAAGACACTTCATGCCAATTGGCTGACGCATTCGCTGGGTCAATCTCTTCTTTGATCTTGGCCGGATTGCACGCTCGCAGCTGGTAGAAGAGATTTTTGAGCCCGTGCAATAGGTTCTTGAACAAAAACTTGTTGTCAGCAATCGGGTCAGAACTCCGGTCTCGGGGATTCGATGTCTTGATGGGCGTCGCGTTGAAGATATCAATCTCATCCCAGTCTGGGGGACTGTCCTGAACGGCCATGTGGTTTTCGTCAGTCGCATCAATTGATGGTTGGCTGTACTGTGCCGAGAGTTTGACAGCGTTGTGGTACTGGCGGTTCATAGCGGCAAATTTGTCCCCAATGGCATTGAGAATCATGATCAAGAAGTATCGAGCATCTTCCTTGGGCTCCAACTTTGCAATGCACTCTGCCATGTTCAGAAGCAGTTTCGCACTCATAGTCTGAAAACTGGTCCCCGGAAAGCTGTCATGCAGGTTTTTTGTGTACACCTCGACTGTCCGACGAATCTGTTCCTTGGAAAGCGAATCTCGCAAATGGTGAATGAGATCTGCAAGCATACTATATGCAAGCGGGCGCATGGTTTCGTACACAGTAAGTCCGTCTCCGATCAAAGTCCTTTCATCCAGTAGCTCATCAATCTTTTTCAGGAAGATTTTGCGGAAGTTGAAGTTAATAATATGCCGTATAGCTACCAGTAGCTCCTTCCGCGCACCTGACTTTTCTCGTGGGCAGTCCTTGAGCAGGCGCACAACGATATCCGGTAATGTTGGTAAGAAGTCATTCAGCTGATTTGCGTAGACTCTGAGGAGATAGGCCAGGAAGCTCATGGTCTTAACTTGAGCTGTGATGAAATCGCCAAAAGCGGCTCGATTCCGAATCTCCTTGCTGACGCCAGTAAAAATCTTGCCCTGGGCCTTGGCCTCCTCATGCGCCTTCTCTTGCGGCTTCGCCTGGAGCAAAAGCACATTTTTGATGAGCGGAACGAAGAGCTTTACATTCTTATTCACACAGTTCCGGTAGGCCTGGAATAATGATACCACAATGATTGGGCACTCTGCAAGAACCTTGAACGACTGCATTCCCTTGAGCAGCATGCGGGTCTGCTGGTGTTCCGAGCCAAGATCGCCCGCGGAGCTGGAACTTAGCGTAGTTGCTGGTGAATTGGGACGAGGAGATTGCGAAAACTGGTGATTGTTCGGGGTCGAGGGGACGCCTGACGAGGTAGACGCAGGCGCACTGCTATCGAATGTGTCGTGCACAGCTTGCTCCATTGTCTCAAACATTTCTTGGATCAGGTCGAGGAAAGGCTGAACGCGGTCCGCGAGGGCTTTGGTTTGGTGGCGCTGGAAATCCATAATGGTCTTCATGCACAAAACCGCATTGTCTTCATTTTCCAACTTGACCAGACTCATAAGCTTATCCACAATCTTGGCGGCATGCGGTTCGATCGCCTCGGTGGGGTTCATGGGCAGGCGGTGCAGGATTTCGAGGATGCAGTTTCGTATCCGCTGTTTCTGAGTCAGAAGGCTGTCCTATTGCTGCGGGCTTTGCGCTCACCTGTTCGGGCGATGTGGATATGAATACTGGATTGCCATCAAGTATCTTGAGAAATACGGGAACTAGGTGGTTCAGGAATGCGCTGTACTGCGGTCCTTGGCAGTAGCTCTCGATGTTGTCCCGGATTTCAATGGCCTGGGTGCCCTTTGCTCTCAGATCTGTGCCACAGTCAGCCTCTATTCAAGTTTCCTAATATGCGCGACCGCGTGCGATCATGGCTGTCGGGTCTAAAATGTCTCGTTACCAGAGTTAGGGTCGTCTAGTTTGGAGGCCATAGCCTCAAAGTTGTGAGACGCCATGACGAGAGTGTTTGCAGCCCACAGTTGCTGCTCCCCTTGTTTGGAGGCCTCTCAGGTTGCGCCGTACGGTGTCGTGTTTACTGTGTGGGTTGCGCGGCCGGTGTGGCAGAAGGCAGGCGCATTTGCTCTGGTGACGGCGCAGTCGTGTGCAGGAACAGCGGCAGGTGGCTGCAATGGGGAATATTAGAATGTGAAAAAGAAGGGATGGGCTAGATGGCCCGGTTGGTCATTAAAATCGTTATGAGAAAACGAGGACTGGTGGTGGGGTGGGAAGGCGCGTCCAGCAGGTGCTGGTTGAGGTCGCGTCTTGAGCTCTGCAGTGCACTCAACTGACGACCGGTCGCAGAGGTGGGAATGCCCTGGACTCTGAACCGGCAAGTTCCGTAGCTGCCTATCGCTGATTGGGCTGATTTGCCCCTGCGTCTGTGCGAGTTGGGTCTAGCGTCATCGGCGTTTACAAATCCCCGGTCTGTGGCATTGAGCCTATAGTGGCCACCGGCAAGTGTGTTGATGACTGCAATCCTGACCAGAGATATTTGCATGTTCCAACTAGGGCATATGACAGTCGTACTACCACACATGCATCCCAAAATATCAAGATGTCGAATATAAACTAAAGTCATTTGAACTTGCAAAACTCTTTCCATCTACCTGCTGCATCTAAATATCTGCACTCTGCACCACCACAACCCGCCTTGGCATACGTTGACCACCATTCATGCTGCAATACATCACACAGTTGTACAGGCCACGTTCGCTTCCGGTCTTCTGTCTAGTAAAGGAAATTGAAATATGGCATTTACATTGGGCGCTCCGAAGTATTCGATGTCAAGAAGGAGATAATCGGATAGCGAGCATACCAGCCTGCAATCTACTTCTCCTCAGGGTAGAGGGTCTCCTTGAGGGGAATACCAAGCTCCTCGCGTATCGGCTCAAGCTCCTGAAGGTACTCGGCGTATTGGCCCTTGTTCTCCACCTTGAATTTGATACCTGTGACGTATGTTAGTAATCAAAGCTCCATAGCTGGTCACGCCCCAAAGTCGCATCATCTTGTGACATGTTCCACGCCCCGCCGCTACGTAAAACGTCCAGATACACATGCGCGGGGTATAATAAGAAACGTACCCTCGAAAACTCGGACAGCCGAGGGGAAGTCATTGACACGCCTGGCAGCGCGGAGAGCAGCAGTGATGACTGCGGGGGAAGGGACGAGATCGTAGGCGAAGCAGTTGTTCAGGTTTCGCTGCAACGTGTTAGCGCATAGCTCTCGTTCACAGCAGTCCACCAGCTGGCTCAATGCAGCTCGGGTGATACCGGTGCGGGCCGTATGCTGGGGCACAACAAACATACCTGAAGCTCAAAAACATCATTGACCTTCTCAAACTCCTTCTCATACCTGCAATGAAGACACAAAAGTCAGCGCTGCAGCTCTAGATGCGATCAATCGAACCCAATGGCTGTCCGTTGTCCGTGGTCCCACTATTTCTCCCCAGTCGTCCGAGCCCCTCCATGGATTCCTCGTACCTGGCGGTAAACTCCTCGAATGTCTCCTCGGCGTGCGCATCGCTCTTTCGGATAGCCGACTGCGAGAAGGTGCGCTGAGCGTTCAATGCAACGGTAGGTGCTCGGTAGGCCGGGACTGCCACCCGGCTGACCTTTGACGCGGCGCGCATGAAGAGCATGGTGCGGTTCAATTATCTGGCGGCTAGCTTTTCGAGGTGATGAGGGAGGCTACTGGACGGTTGAGCCGGCGTTGCGTGGGCGAGGGGTGATGTCGGTGGTGGTGCGATTTCGCGTGAGGTTATGAAAACGAAAGCTCAGACGATCCGAGTTGCACCCAAGCCAAGCATGGAAAAGTGGGTCACTCTTACTACTATAACTACCCAAGGCTGAAAGCATAGTTCCTACACCCCGCATATATTTACTGTGTACCAAGGACCCTTGTTTCATTGATCTAGACCAATACCAAGCGGTTGTTAGTGTTACTGTGGTCCATTGAACTTGAGTGGGCTGTTTCCAATTTACGTGTTCCCAACATGTGTGGGGCTTTGTTGCAACCAGCTCATCAATGAAAGAGTCATTCTCAAGTCAAAGTCGCAGTAGTTCAACATCAGTGAATAACAAAACGCATTTCATGCTTCACCGATATATATGGGTATTATCATACATCACCTATACCCTATAGTATCCTCCAAAAGGCGCGGCCCCCTCGGACGTCGCTCGAACAGACATGATAGGGCTATCATTGTCGTCTTCACCATTTGAGCTCGCATACATGTCCTCGTCCAGCTCATCATCTTGTATCGCATCTTCTTTATCTTCGTAATCGCCATCATCACCCTCGCCACCTTGGTCAGCACCTTCGTCGTCTGCGTCGAGGTCTGCATCCAAGACAGTGTGAGCCATGACGGGATCTTCTGTCATGTCTTCCGGAACATCAACGTCATCCAAATTTTCCGCATCATTCACTTCTCTTTCTTGTTCGTTTTCTGCCTCCATCTTCTCAAAAGTGTAGCGCGGGTTTCTTGCAGCCCAACGGACGTTGTGCATAACCTGATGCTCTCTCCTCTTCTCCTGGTGTATCTGGCGGTCATCGATCTCTGCTTTATATTGAGCTGCCATTTCCTTGTCATCCCATAGTTCCGGCCAGTTTACAATACGCTGGTATATCGTGTCATCTGGTTTTTCACCACCAATGATTGTGTTCATCTTATCTTTTAATATTACTGTTGCTTTAGCCCATGTCCCCACATGATACCATCCTTGGAAGGTCGGCGCACACGTCGTCCTGATATCCTTTGTAGAAAGAATTTTCGAAATCAGAGGGTCGGTGATATCGCAGAATTGGAACAGGTTTCCGGTTTGTGAGACATGAACACCGTCAAAGGTATGCTCAGACTCCAGCTCTTCCGGAGACATCTTGGCTAGCTTCATGACGTGCTGGTCGAAAACTGCGCGGTGTTTTGATATACCTGATTTGAGGTACGAGAGAAAAGATACCGTTTGGTATTTGCGGTATTCAGGATCCTTACGAGGGTCAACCCCCCAACGCACAAGTGCTTCTCGCCAGGGTCCACTTTCGAAGAAATACCCACAGTATATAGCTGCTTGTCGGAGCTTGGTTCGCTTGCTCCACCCGAGCCTGTTGTACAGGAGTTGGCGAGTGACAATGGGCCTTCCGAGGAGTAGGGATCTGATGTTGGCAATCAGCGACTGCATATAAGGCGTGAGATCCCTCTCTGCGGGTAGGTTGGGTCCCGGTCCAGTTGGCACATGCTCGTCGGTGGGTTTGACAATGGTGTATGCGTTGTAAGACAGACTTCTCTGCACATTGACAACACCTTGGTCAGTGTATTTGACGTTGGAGTTTTGCTGGAAACTAGCCAGCAGTTAGTAAAGGTTGGGTCCGCAGAACTGCTACCATACCGATAATTAAAAGCGATTGGCATCTGCAGAAACTCTGCAGATGGACCGACAGTTTTGGTAAAATCTGCACCGGCTGCTGTGTTGATATTGTAGTTCTTTACTTTGTCATCTGGAAAACAAAATGTCAGCGATGTCCCGGGACTACTTGGGCTAATCATACATCGTCTGGAAAGAATGTGATCACGCAAGCCGACCATTGTGTCGCTGTGAGAAGCGGCATACTGCAAGTCAGGCATGTCTAAGTAGTCAGCCCCAGATATCAGACGTGGTCAGGGAGTTGGCACTTACTCCTGAACCGGTGAGTCTCGTCAACCACGCCAACAAGAGCAACCTTGTATGTAGATGCATTGTCTTGGATGCTTCGGTAGATTGTTGGCGCATCGACATATGTCTGATTGCTGTCACGAGCTATGTCGTCTTCAGCGAGAAAGGGACCCGCAGTGCCGCGCTTTCGTTTGCGACCTGTTCGCTTGGGGACTGTGACTTTTAGGAGTAGGTTGTTGGTGCGCACTGGGGTGGATAACAAACGCTTAGCGAAGGGGTCGTCGGGACGAAGAGAGACAGAGATAAGCTTCTTGAGTTCATCGTCGCCCTCAGCATTAACGGTCGTTTCCAGTTTCGATCGCAGGCCCTTGGGTCACGTGTTAGCATGCGGGTGTGGTATGGAGTTGTACAAAGACTTTTGCTGACCTTGCTCAGCTTGACAGGCCCTCCCAACGAGGCAATGCCCTTGTCCACGTTCTTGATGATGGCTGGATGCTCGACAACCGAGATGGCGCGCGATGGAATAGGAAGCCACGATGCATGCTGGCTTTCACCGTTTGCAGTGGACGTGGGTTGTTCGTCGCTCATGGCGCACTGCAACGGATTTTTGTTTGTTCACAGGGCACAAAGCATACACACAGTCTCTCGTGTGGTTGTGTTTGCAGAGTCTGTCCGAGCACGGCAGAAGTACTATCAAATAGGGCGCGCACACACACAGACCCTGAGCACGCGAGGTCCCGTTCGCAGCGTCCCTCTAAGTACTATATATGGTGCCGGGGATCTGGCTATGGCTCGCTGTGGGTGCGGGTGATCAGGTGACGTGCAGCCATGCAACGCCGCCAAAGCCTATTTGTCGTCTATGTGTGTTATCACCCTCTCTCCCTTGCTCGCGTCTCTCAAAGCGCCCGTCGCCGCATGGCCGTGTGTATGTACATATGCTATCGGGTGTATGATGTCGTGACGGCCGCGGCGGGGCTCTCGAGATCCCAAACGCACGGCCTCGCTACGGGACGGCTAGCGCGAATCACTCGACGCCGTCTGTCTGGCAGCAGCCCTGAGTTGTCAGTTGACGACCTGCTCAATCTCTCATCTCCAGCTCTTCAGTTACACGCCTCGCTCTCTCTGCCGGTTCGCCTCTACGTCACCACGCCGTTGTTGGGGCTCCCCTCAGCTGCCTTCTGTTCCCTCCCCCCTCTCGCGAGCTCTGCCCTCCACCGACTCCCCGTGCTGCATCCTAAGACGGCTACACTAGCCTCCATCCACCATCTCACGCGTCCCCTCGTCCTCCATGTCGACCTGACTTGCACGCCTGCCCAGTCGTCATTTCCCCTGCCTGCGCTCCTCTTCCGGCACCCCATTGGCGCTCTTGGATTGCGACCCCCCTCGATACACGCCCAGAGGCCCGCCTCAATTTCGGACCCCGTCTCCGCAGACACCTCCGCAGCGCTTGACCTGGCCTTGAGCGCTCCTGCACAATCATGAAGGGTTTCCGGCAAAGGGTCGTAAGTCTCCGTTTCCTCCTTGAATTCTTGCGCTGTGGCCACCGCCCACCGCCCTGCCCCTCTCTATGCGCGGAGGCTAACATGTCTAGTCTGAACAGCTTTCTCGAAGCAAGGATGGAAAGTCGTCCAAGAAAAAGGACTCAAACTCGGGCACTGCTTCGCCGTCGCTCGGTGCCTCGAATTCTCCCTCGGGCTCCGCCCAGGCCACTCCTTCCTCATCACAGACGCAGCTCACCGACGCGCGAAGCAAGAGCCAGCCTGCTACTGATGGCGCCGCAGCCCACCTCGGGTCGCTACAACAGAACCAGCAGCCTTCGTCGGGCTCCCTAGCAGGTGGGCCGCAGTCATTTGCTGGACAGGGCCTGATGGGTCCTGGCAATGCTGGCAATGCTGGTGCTGCAGGTCCAGGCACGCCTTCTAGGCTTGGGCAGCCCCTGGCGCCGAGCGTCGTCATCAGCCCGAGCGCTCCTGTAAGTACTCTTGCTCACCATACTTATGTAGAAGGCCTGCGTAGACTAAATACTGTTGCAGCACGTTCCCCCTCCTGGCGCTGCCGAGACCATGCCTGGCGACCTTGCGCCTCCAAAGGCTGGCCAGAAGTCGGGCATATTCGACCGTCTTCAAGCGACCCCCAAGGACAATATCGAAGGTATAAGGACTCCAAAGAGGCAGCATTCGTCGCGCTTTGACATTTCCGATCAGCGTCAGCGTGAACTGGAGAAGCTACCCGGATTCCACGAGGTGCCTCCAAACAAGCGGGAGGAATTGTTCATGCAGAAGATCGACCAATGCAATATCATCTTCGATTTCAACGACGCCAGCGGCGATATGAAGTCCAAGGAGATTAAGCGCCTGGCCCTGCACGAGTTGCTCGACTACGTTGCCAACAATCGCCAGGTGATTACAGAGAAGATGTATCCTCGCGTTGTGGAAATGTTTGCCAAGAATTTGTTCCGACCCATTCCACCTCCCATGAACCCCCAGGGCGAGGCTTTTGACCCCGAAGAAGACGAGCCTGTGTTGGAGGTTGCATGGCCACACATTCAAGTCGTCTACGAATTCTTCCTGCGCTTCATTGAGAGCCAGGACTTCAACACAAACATTGCCAAAGCATACATAGACCACAGTTTTGTGCTCAACGTATGTACTTGATTTTTTACAATGACCAGTCCTGCAGCTAATCTTCCCAGCTACTTGAGCTTTTCGATTCCGAGGACCCTAGAGAACGCGACTTTTTGAAAACCACACTTCATCGCATATACGGCAAATTCTTAAACCTCCGCTCCTACATTCGTCGGTCCATCAACAATGTCTTCTTCCAATTCATCTACGAGACCGAACGATTTAACGGAATTGCCGAGCTCCTCGAAATCCTCGGCTCCATCATTAACGGTTTTGCTCTGCCCTTGAAGGAAGAGCACAAGCTTTTCCTGACAAGGGTGCTCATTCCGCTGCACAAGGTAAAGAGTCTGAGCATGTATCATCCACAGCTGGCGTACTGCATTGTCCAGTTCCTCGAGAAGGATGCAGCTTTGACAGAAGAGGTAAGGTTAGATGTTCAGTCCAGCAAGCTAGGCTAACATGTGCAGGTTGTTTTGGGTCTTCTCCGATATTGGCCCAAAGTGAACAGCACCAAGGAGGTCATGTTCCTGAATGAAGTTGAAGACATTTTTGAGGTCATGGACCCTGCCGAGTTCGCAAAGGTGCAAGAGCCTTTGTTCAACCAATTAGCCAAGTCGGTCGCCAGCCCCCACTTCCAGGTTGCAGAGCGAGCACTCTACTTCTGGAATAACGAATACTTCTGCAATCTTGTCAGCGACAATGTCGAAGTCATTCTGCCAATCATGTTTGCACCATTGTACGAAAACTCAAAGGGCCACTGGAACCGGTATGCTGCAGCACCATGTCGTAAGCAAAGTCTTAGAGGCTAACAATTCTGTGTAGAACAATCCACGGTATGGTATACAATGCTATGAAGCTATTCATGGAAGTCAACCCTCAGCTCTTTGACGACTGCTCGCACGACTATGCTGAATCGCAAAATAATGCGACACAAAGGCAGCAAAGTCGACAAGATCGCTGGGACAGATTGGCCAAGCTCGCAGAATCACGCGCAAATGGCACGGCGGAGAAGTCATCAGGGCGTGTGGACGATTCAGCTCAAGGACGACTGGAAAACCTCCGTCTTCAGGACGACGGGGCGACATCGAGAGACAGGCGGCCGAAAGATTATGAGCGTCAAGGCAGCCAAACCTCGGTACGTTGATTCTTAAGTCCCTAGAACTCGAGATGAGCATTCTGTGTGGCCGAATCGGTGTACTCTTAATTATACTCCTAGACTCCTAGGTCTTTTTTTTACTCTTTCACTCTCTCTGTATTCTTCTTGTCCAGGCATTGGCTTTTGGTTCGAGTGGATCTGACGTGTTTGTGCTTTGTGTCCTTGTAGCGACGGCACCATTCATCATCAGGGGAGCACCATGTATCATCCAGTGCTCGCCGCTCGGCTGGTCGACCTCGTAGCAACAGTCGGCCAAACTCGTCCTCTGGTCACACTGTCTCGTCACGAGGGCCTTCTGGACGAGCGAGAGCAAATTCTGGAAGCAGCATTGCTCGAGTCACGAGCTCTTGAGGCTTGTGGCTTGTGTATGTTGTCTCATTCCATGTAGTTTGTGGTCTATGTGAAGCTCTTTTGAGTATGGTTTGTAGTTCATGTTGGCATTCAGCGGTCGCGTAAGTCCCTGGTTGGCTCCCCCAAAAGAAGGACGGGTTTCTTTCTTCTTCTTACAACGGTGTTTTGGATCTATTTTTGTGGAGGACTTATAGATGTGCGAGTGACGCCTACTAAGGGTTTCACTTTTGCGCACCTATGTATACGCAATATTAAGACTATTCTCGAAAAAAAAAACAATCTGTGGCGAGTAGTGTGAAGGGGTCAAGAATTGAAAACAAGGGGTAGGTTGTGTGCTATGTTGAGAAGCAAAAGAAATAAGGGGTCAGAGGGACGGTCTCGGGATGCTGCTTGTTCGTACAAAGCAATATGGAATCGTGTTTACATGGGTACCTTGACACCGAAGTTCCGGGGCAGTCGAGGTTGACGGACGAGCTACAATTGATAATGAGTGCCAACAACAATAAGGGGGGCGGTGTATCGGCGTTCGGGGCGCCAAGATATCCGGGGCGCTTGTTCCCCTTTGGTGAGTGCCACGTCGAGGACTCTCCACAGCGAGCAAAAGTTTGGCAACGGAACCGAATTGAAAGTTGGGGTGCAATCGCATGCTGAGCACGTGGGGACATGGATAGGACTGGAGACGATTGGATTCGGGTCTGCCTGTGTCTTGAAACATTGATGGACGATACAAGCATGGGCATAGCATGGTACTGCATGCAAGCAGACGTACGCGGGCTGCCATGATGCATCTGCTTGCAAGACTTGGCAGATATCACCAGCAGGCGTGCTAGGGGCTGGCCTCGGTCTGCAGAGCGTCGCAATGCGGACGAGCAGCCGCTCGATAGGCCAGATCTGCGCCAATGGCGGAAGACCCTAGCAGTCATTTCCGACCTCCTTTCCGGCGCTGTAGTAAAGAAAACTGGCGCTGACCCTTCTTCAAAACCCTCATCAACACTTCCTCTTCCTCGCGGTGTGAGATTCGCTTCTTCACATCTTCTTCGTCGTTCCTTTGCGCCTTGCGTGTGCTCGGTCGTGGTTGCCGTCTTTTCTTTCCCTCCACTCATTGTTTGATTCCGCTTTTTGTTCCTCTCAAACCTGATAGGCGCAGCCATTCGAATCAAAACACTTGACATCCTCTCCCGCCAGACTCCGTAATCTTCCACTACTCCCGCGAGTTCGTACACACGCACATACACACACAATGGGAAACCCAGACTGGCTCGAATACGGCGTGCCGACGCTCGACCGTCCTTTTGGCCTGGCCCTATGGCCCATTTTCGAAAAGGTCTTTGAGCCCATTGCGGGCTACAAGCCCCAGGACTTCCGCTTCGAGCAGGGCGTCACACCGCTCTCGACCTTCAAGACTTGTGTTGTCACGCTCCTTGTATACTACATTGTAATTTTTGGCGGCCGGGAGCTTATGCGCAATCGCGAGCCCTTCAAGCTCAGCTTTCTCTTCAAGCTGCACAACTTTTACCTCACCGCCATTAGCGGTACACTGTTGCTTCTTTTCGCCGAGCAAATCATCCCCACGGTTGTCAGGAAGGGTCTTTTCTTTGCCATCTGCGACCACGAGGGCGGCTGGACGGACAAGCTGGTTATCCTCTACTACGTACGTATTCATGACGGGCGCCCACTGTAGACCAGGCTAACAAATGTACAGCTTAACTACCTCACCAAGTTCCTCGAGCTGATTGACACTTGCTTCCTGTTCTTGAAGAAGAAGCCTTTGAGTACGTGCATCCGAATGGCGGTCAAGATGTCGTAAAGCTAACGGATTCCAGCTTTCCTCCACACCTACCACCATGGCGCGACGGCCCTCCTCTGCTACACCCAGCTCATTGGCCACACCCCCGTCTCATGGCCTGTCATCACTCTGAACTTAGCGGTTCACGTTGTCATGTACTGGTACTACTTCCAGAGCGCCCGAGGCATCCGCATCTGGTGGAAGAAGTACATTACCGTTGGCCAAATCACCCAATTCGTCCTTGATCTTGGTAGGTTGCTTCGTGCTTGACGGTGCATTAATAACAGCTGACCCCCGACTCTAGGCTTCATCTACTTTGCGTCGTGGACCTACTTCACCAGCACCTACTGGCCCCACATGCCCAACATGGGCAAGTGCGCTGGCGAGGAGTTTGCCGCCATCTCTGGCATCTGCATTATTACGTCGTACCTGTTCCTCTTCCTGGCATTCTACTTTGCCACATACAAGAAGCCAGTTCCCAAGGGCCGCCGCAGGGCTACCAGCGCTCTCGTGGAAATGAAGGACGAGAAGGTGCCCACTGTTGGCGAGGCTCGCAGGCGTCTTTCGATCACCCGTAGCGCCGCTGCTACTGGATCTTCGCCTAACGGCACCCCCAACGGCCGGGCGACGCGCAGCCGCAAGGCATAAGGGTGACGTTGTGGCTGCGCATGCTATAGAGGCGCAGCTGGGGCACACCATACTTGGCTAGAGGAGCTACCAGTTAGGCTTGGCTCCTATGACTTCGTTCTTGATGCGCCATGGCTATCTCAGGTCGGCAATTTTGATACTTGTTGTAATTGTTATGTGTGGGGTGAGACTGTTTTGGCTTGCCCCGTGTTACGATAAAAGCATGTAAGAGCATGGTTGGTCGGTCGGATTGCATTAGAACAACGATGGTGTTGGGATTGGGCTTTGACATGGGCAGTCCACGCACGCGTTGTACAAGATACTCGAATGACAGATAATGCATAATAATGGTCAAACTTGGTCTTGCCATGGGAGTTGTTGTTGGTGATGTTGTGAATGTTGATATGTGCGTGTATGTATGTGGGGTGTGTGGGGTGTATTAACGTTTGTGTTCACGTGATGGAAATGTAGGTTGCTTTTGGATGTCCGCGGCGGATAAAGGAGTCGGTGTACGCATTGTGTGAGGGCTATATGTGCAGTAGTAGAGTTGAAACCCTAATTGCCCCATTGCTGGTATGGAAATTACTGCTTCTGGGATGTTGCCACTTGCGGCTATCGGAGCTTTACAAACGCAGATGTGGGGAAGCTTGACCAGATTTACACGTGCAAAACCGAGGGGTGAAGCATGGTGCAAGGCGAGGCTGACAAGGGATCCGCCGCCATTACGCCATGTGCCCGGCGGCCAACCTGTATAGTCCCCGGCCTGGCCATGGGGTAGTGCGGCTTGATGCACACTCGGAGGAAAGCAGAGAAGTCGGGGGCCCATCGTGGACTGCACAGGCTACTAGCATACTTAGATGTATACATATACGTGTAAGAAGAACAAGACAGCGCCGCGTAGCCCCTCGTGTCTGGTCTGACGGGACAACGGGCCTTGTCGTCTCGTTTGCGTTGCCAAGCAAGAGTGGGTGGCGTGGACTGTGGGTGGATCGCCGGTGACATGTGATAGGACTGACATGTGAGAATCATGGCTTTTGTGGTGACCCCCAATTTGCTGCCGCCGGGCGCTCTCGTCTGGCTCCCATTGCCATCGCCGTCGTTTGCTCCCCTCGCATCTTGGCCGTACATCCGCTCAACTATGCCGTAGCCCGGCCAATCCATCCTGCCACCCTTCTACTCTGACTGCCATGCTGCCTCTGCCTCGTGCGTGACCAGCCGCCCACTCCCCTGAACGACATCATTGCTGCGTCCCCTCTCATTTTGCGCTCCTGCGCCCCGGCATCCGATTCCGCTCCCGCTGAGCCCCCATTCCCTTTCGAGCCCACTTCTCCGACCCTTTGCTAAGCATTGTCATCGCACGCGGGAACAGGGCAGCGCGACGTAGCGCAACACTCTCCAGTCGAGCACAGCACACTATCGGATCGCATTGCTAAAACACCCTCCCGTCGTGCTTCGCGCACTGAGCGTACGTGGGGTACCGCTAGTCGCCCGCATCACAACCCGCACGCTTCTTTGACCACGTCCTGCCAATTCACAATGGAGCAAGAACGCCCACTACAGCGTGCCCCGCCGCCTGCATACACTCAGCACGAGCCTGAGTCGCTGCATCTGCCCTCGGTACCAACCCATATACCCACTCACAACCATCACCCCGACAATGCAAGACTCCCGGGCATCAAGTCGCTGCATCTGCCCGAGACCAAACCACGTCATACACCACACACCTCCATAGAATACAGTCCGCGCACAAATTTCGAAGCGTCGCATTGGGGCGTCTTGCCTGCCCCAAATGGCACTACGTTCCCGAGTGTGCCAGAGAGCCTGCCGCGCGAAGATGTAGGAAGCCCCATGGACACATCTAGTATACGAGAAACGAGTGTCAGTATGGATGACCCAGATGTACGATTGGCAGCCGAGGCGCTAAGTGGATTGGGCAACCCAGGTATGTGGGGGAGCGGTGCCCTCATGGCAAAGAGTAAGCATATACTAACTACAGGCTATAGACTTTGTCCGTTCTCCCACGGCACGATCCCTCACATTGTCTGCCCGCTCACCCACTGCTGAACCACCGGAGCCACTTCTGTCGCTAATCACCTCGAATCACCCATGGCTGGGAAGTTCCATCAATGGCTCCATATCCGCTTACAATACGACAAAAGGTTACACGCCTCGTCTAGTCCAATATGGTGCCGAACTGCTGGAACGCAATATCGGATCGCCTGTAGTAAATACTGTTTCGTCCGTAGGCAGAAGAACCGGCATGGAAAAGAGCCTGCGCCGTTACCTGGGCGAAGGACATCGCCGGCCTAGTGATCTTGAACAGGGTGACAGCGACAGTTCTAGAAGTAAGAGACAGAGGATTGCGAGTCCCGCCGACGATGCCATGGATGTAGACGATGCACTTGCGGCAGCGTCGCGAACAAGAGGGGGATCTCAATCCTCTTACTCTGAATCGCTTCCAGCCTATGATGACCAGAGATCCCCAAACTACGAAGAGGCGATTGTATCGGGAGATGCGGCTGGGCAAAAAGCACCAGAACAGCGATCCGAGACCCCGCAAGACCGTCGCGTAAACTGGTCTACACAGCTCATCATGACAACCTCTGGCCTTGGTGTTGCTCTGTCTGAGACATCCCTGCGCTCCCTGAAAATCTGTCTAGGTCTTCTCCGCAGCGCAACAACACACATTGACTCTGTCATGCGTGCACTCAAGCTTGTCCTGGAAGAATACGAAGCCGCGCTGCGCAACCAAAGGGAATCTTCGTCCAACATCAACAACAACAACATTGCCCAAGACGAAAAAGCCCAACTGAACGGCAACATGGCGCAAATGGGCCTCGTAGATTCCGACAAGGACGACCAAGTCCGCCGCTTCGCCGATCGCATCAAAGAACTCTCCTCGGACATCTGGCAAACCCTTCAATCAGTCGTGCAATCCGTCTCCCGCTACACCGGCGGTGCCCTCCCGCAAAACGCCCAAACTGTCGTCCGCACTCAGCTCCTCTCCGTGCCCCAGCGCTGGCAACTCGCCAGCCGCAACACCAGCGGCAGCGGCGGCGACGAAGTCCGCGGCGCAAACCGTATGCTGGCGTTTGCAAAGGAGGGGCTTGACATGATGGGCCAGATTACGACGGTCGTGGATGGAACGGTGCAGAGTGCGGAGTGCTGGCTTCAACGTATCGGGCGTAGACCTGCTGCTAGTGGTAGTGAGGAGAGAGGGGGACAGGTGGGGGAGAGCCAGAAGACGCCGCTTGCGCTTGAGGCGGGGTTGAGGAGGGATGAGAAGAGGTAGTTGAATATGCGTTGTTATATACATATGATCGTTGTTGATGTTTTTTTCTTCCACAAGCCGTCCTTGTTCTTCTTGCTCATCTTCTTCTTCGCCTTCGCCTTTTGTGGGTGTGTGTGGGTGTATGTGTGTGCTCTTCTTCTTTTTCTTCTTCTTCTTCTTCTTCTTCTTCTTTTGCTCGTTTTTTTGTTGTTGAAAGTAAGCAAGGAGAAAAGGTGAAAAGGGGGGACGCGAATGCAGTGGAAAGGAAATATGAAGTTCAGGTTGCATGGTCTCAAGATGGCAAGTGAAGGGAGTCTTTTTTTTTTTAGAAGTCTACAAGTGACAACACGAGGGGAGTGGTGGAGATATGAAATACAGAAGTGTGGTTGTTGGATATATCCTGACAGGCAAAAATTTAATTCCGTTATGGATGTTTACGTGTATTCTTTGGGGTCCACGATCGTGATTGTTTTATTGTTTGTGCTTTGTTGTTTGGCACCTTTTTTTGATGTCAAGAGTTTGGGGTTGAGTGAGGGTTGTGGTTGGGCTTGAGAAGGAAGGCAGGATGGAGGGAGGGAAGGTGGAGAAAATTGACTAATGTGAGTAAACACCAACTCATCATAAAAACTATTCTTACTAATCTCATTGAAGTTGTTGTACGGCCTCTACTCTATTCATCTCTTTAATTCCATCTGTTTCTTCTATTGAGTCGCTCACAGTTTAGCCGCAGTGGCTGAGGTCGAAACCGACTAGTAATGCAGCCTTCCTCCATTTCGCTCCATCAACTACAGCCTTGGCTCTGCTGTCATTCAGGTTGCAGCCTTCAAGCTTCTACTCTTTGAATTTTTTACATGACTTGACTAGATGGATTCGCCATCTGTAAAAGATTTGATACAGCTCACTAAACGACCGTACTGAGCTGGTGACCAGCCCAACTCCTATGGCACCACCCCACGCTACCGTGCAACCGCTTGGCTTCACGAGGCTGACACCTAGCACGCAGAGCGATGACGAGTTTTCCTTGAATTACGGTCGCATCAACACGTGTAGTAAAAGTACTGACATTGTTCAGCATCATATTTATTCACGGCTTGCGAGGACATCCTCGACGAACGTGGGAAGAAGTTGCGAGTCCAAGTAGTGTCGACAGCAATGCTACCAAGACGTCAAAGAGTCTCCAGATACGGTCCTTTCTCCAACGAAAATCGGCTAGGTCTCCTGCACCAGAAACATCACAAGCTCAGAGCCCTCCCTCAATCCCTGCTTCGTCATTGCCGGCTACCGTCTTCTGGCCAGAAGAGTATCTTGTACCAGACATTCCTCAGGCCTGCGTGTGGACGTACGGATACAACGCAGACGTTATTGGCGGCCTCTACAAAGCCCCCAACAAGAACAGCATCTCACAGCATGGTAATGATCTATCTAATCAACTGGATCGAGGTATTTCCAATGAGATATGAGCCTGACTGGTCACAAGGTCCCTTTAGAGTTGCATCTGAAAACATTCCAGAAACCAATCATATTCGTAGTGCATAGTCTTGGTGGAATCATTCTTAAAGATGTAAGGAATCTACAGCGTGATAGACTAAATCAATGCCGCTAACTTTGTTGCTGTAGGCCATCCGCCGATCAGAGACCACGCAGGAGCGAACAAAACTCATCGTCTTTCTTGGGACGCCGCACCGGGGCAGCAAATACGCAGGTTGGGGTCAGACTGCTTCGAATATTGCTCGAGTGACGATGCAAGACTCAAACAAGAAAATTCTTGAGACACTGGAAGTGAACAATGAAATTCTAGATAATATCCATGAAACGTTCATGCAGATCGTGTTCAAAGGCAAATTCAAGGTTCATTCCTTCTACGAAGCACGAGGTGTTACAGGCATGCGTGGATTGAAAGGAAAGGTAGGCATGATAAAGAATCTTCTAGGAAAAGCTGACAATTCTAGGTGGTGGATAACTTCTCTTCTAAGCTTGACCTTTCCCGAGAATTTGAGACTGTCGAGAGCATCGATGCGAACCATATGCAAATGGCCCGGTGCACCAGTAGAGATGACCAAGTATACCGCACTATCTCTGGTGTTTTGAAAACATATGTGAAACAACAACTGAAGAACCAACAGACGTCTTTGGCTTCTGGAGGTACTGCTACGGGATTGACAGATGCTGCCTGTACGTAAGACCATAGCCTACAATTCTCCTGTAAGACACAACGCTTATTGGCGGATTCTATTACTAGCAAGCAAAGCTTTGTTCATGGTGCCTTTTTCACAAGATAACTTCTTCATTGGACGGGAAGACGTCATCCACCAGATCAAAGAGCGCAGAAAAGCTGCAACTTCACACACACGCACAGCTCTCGTTGGTCTTGGGGGCGTTGGGTCAGTATCTACACTTATCTTCTTTGTAGAAATTGCATTAAACCGTTTTTAGAAAGTCACAGATCGCGATTGAGTACGCATATCGAGCCCGCAAGGAAACACCCCACATGATGGTCATGTGGATACATGCAAGCAGTCCCGAAAGATTCCAACAAGGATACAAGAAAATTGCCAAAAAGCTTCAGTTGCCTGGATGGGATGATCCCAAGACAGATGTGCTGCAGCTTGTATATGAGTGGTTGTTGGACAGCCAAAATGGGCAATGGCTAATGATATTGGATAACGTTGATGAAACTGACATTTTCTTCAGCAACGATCAGGAAAGTGGTTCGCTTGAAAGCTATCTTCCATAAACGACGCACGGGACAACCCTCATCACGTCGAGAAACAAGATTGCAGCAACCAATCTTGTTGGCGGACACAGTAACATCATTGAGGTAGAACCGATGGGCGAAGGAGACGCGGTGGCGCTGCTTAACACTAGGGTGTCCTCTACGAATTCAGACCCAGCAGACGCCAAAACGCTCGTTCAAGCATTGGAGTGCATTCCGTTAGCCATCACGCACGCCGCGGCGTATATGCAAGCACTAGGAGGAACAGTTACGACAGGAAAATACCTCGATATCTTTCGTGAGAGCGAAACCAATCAGGTGCACTTGCTTAGCAAAGACGAGTTGAAGGACATTCGGCGCGATCCAAGCATACGGCATGCAGTAATAGCGACATGGCAGATCTCGTTTGAACACATTCAAAAGACGAAGCGATCGGCAGCGGACCTACTTGCACTCATGAGCATGTTCCACAAGCAAGGCATCCCAAAAAAGTTAGTGCAAGGTACGACTAGCGAACTGGAATTCAACGATGCTTTGGCGCCACTACTCGGCTTCTCTTTTGTGAAGGTTGAGGTTGGGCAGCAGGCAGTGACGATGCATCGCTTGGTGCAGCTATCAATGAGAAGATGGTTAGAGAAAGATAAGGAGATTGAACATTGGGTTAAAAAGTCGACAGAAGCTATGAGGGAGGTTTTTCCAAGTGGGGAGTACGGGACGTGGGAGGAGTGTCAAGTGCTGCTGCCGCATTTCAAAGAAACTACGAGCCATGCCATAACCGATGAAAACGTGTTAATTATGCGAGCAGAAACTTCATTGGGGGCTGGGAAATACTGTTTCGGAACGGGGGAGTACACGATGGCAGAGGGGCTATACCGGTCGGCATTGGAGATCGTGGAGAGTATATGTGGGCATGAGCACCCCAATACGCTTCGTGGTGTCAATAACCTTGCAGTAACTTTAGAGAAACAGGGAAAGTTTGAAGAGGCTAAAGAAATGCATCGGCAAGTGCTACAAGGGTTTAAAAAGATGTTTGGGCGCGAGCACCCATATACGCTTAAAAATTCGAATAACCTCGCAGTAGTGTTAGAGGAACAGGGAAAGTTGGAAGAGGCGAAAGACATGCAACGGCAAGCGCTGCAAGGACGTGAGAAAATATTTGGACCTAAGCACCCAGAGACGCTTCATAGTATGAGTAGCCTTGCAACAGTGTTATATAGACAGGGAAAGTTAGAAGAGGCGGAAGATATGCAACGAAAAGTGCTGCAGGGACATGAGGAGTTACTTGGGCGCGAGCATCCAAACACACTCGGCAGTCTTTGCAACCTAGCTACGACTTTCTATGAACTGCAACGCTACTCTGATGCGCTTGCGCTGTACCAACAAGCGTACGACGGGTTTTTAAAGGCGCTTGGAGTACACCATCCGCGTACCGTACGCTGTTTGTGTAATCTTGAGCTCGCTCGGAAACGCAAAGACATTTTTCTTAAGTAGTTGTAAATATCTAGTTCAACCCAAACAAGAGCATATCTATTGGCTCTATTTTTGCACCTGTTTCTCGATAAATAGTACTACACCGCAGACCTGAATATAAGAGAAGGAAAAGTCAATCTGGACACATTCCCCTGTTCCCCAAAACCACAATACAAATAAGCCTGTTCAAAAGATTTCTCGCTTGGTGGTATATACAAACTCCTCCCTACACCTTATCTACCCAGACCAACGAGAACCCATGTAGTCCTATTCATATCCTGTATCTACCATTCATACACCCCCAGATACTTCCCACGCTACCTCAAACACATCCAATCTACCCTACCACCGCCCCCTAAAATCCCCACAACAAATCACGCGCCACTACTTCCCCCCCTGTGCCCCCATCGTCCCACCACTCGATTCCATCTGACCCTCTGGTCCAGCACCACTGGAAGACGTCGTTTTAGACGATGAGTACGTAGCTGACGATGTGTCGTAGGGAGTATGCGTGGCATTTTGCGTGCTAGCTTGTGGAGATGCGACACTGCTGGTAGTACTGCTGTTGCTTGTGCTAGTGTTGCTTGTGCTGTTTGGCCGAGAGACTTGAAACGGAGCGAAGCGGATGGGTGGGATGAACATTTTTTTTTTCAATTCCCGTATGTTGTTAACAAAAATGTTTATGAGGGTTATTTCTCTTCCTTGATTGCTTTTTCTTTTCCCCCAAACAAAATAATTATGTAGTAATGATGATGATATAAGCTTGTCAGATATTCATACCGTCTTTTTTTTTCCTTTTTTTTATTTTTGCAATTCATCGAGTATTTAAATAATCCTAATACTATTTTCTACACTTGCTCCATCCTACTTTTATTTTTCGCTTTACTGTGTTGAATGCATGTAAGAAACCCCCATCGCATTCATCGCTCCTTTCACCGCGCCAAAAGAAAAAAAAACCAGAAATAGTAGTTGCTATACTCCGATGTTTCCCCGTATGCGAAGAAAGCGAAGCAACGGAGAACGTCAGAAAGCAAGGCAGAAAAACTCCTACAGCGAGATAGCGTAATAATGGAAAATAGGAAAAACTGTAGCAAATGACCATGATGCTCATGTTTCAGAAGCAACGTTAGCTAGGCGATTGGGGCACACGGTTTATTTTTGGCAAGCAAAAGGTAAAGACGATGCTCATGTTTTTGGTAACGGTGAACCGCATTCAGTGTTAGGCTCGTCTGCCTTGCCGTTCAGCTCGCGGGTTTGCGCTAAGAAGGCTCAGTAGCGTGGGCTGTGTTTCTGTGCGTGTGTGGGTGGGGGTGGGAACAGAGGGCTAGCGCGCAGGCACATGATTTCGCGTCGCGTTGCTCGTACTCGCGGTGAGAGGATTTAGGACTGGGGGGTTATATATGCTGATGTTTTTGTGGCTAACACCGAGTATCAAGGTGAAACATGTCAGTTGTTTTTGTGGCGGTGGCTCGGGATGTGGAGTAAGAGGGGGAATGTGGGGGTTTGGCTGGCAGCTAGGAACCTTTGATGTGTCTGCGCGCGTGCTATTTATGGTAGAAATAAGGTACGAGTATGTACATAAGTATGCACATGTGCGTGCAGATGGGGGCGGACACTTTGTTTCATGACGCGAAGGCCGTGGGCCATGTTTGGAATCCGGGTTTCCAAGATTACGAGATGTGAACTGTGTTTTTAGTGGTTTGTAGGGTTCATATGTCACGTGCTCGGCTTTGATGATGTAACGGACGGAAAGTAGTTAGGACGAGTTTGACGGTGCTTTTTCTTTTTGCAAAAAAAGGAGGTGGGAACTGTTTTTGTCCCCGACGTCTCACCGCTCCAGACTGCCGCCGTTGTGTGAGTGGTGACGCGTTTCTTTTTATACGGTAGTTAGTACGGTAGTGAACAAGGTGGCCGCCTCGGGCGCGGCAAGGGTTGGTGCGCGGGTAGTAAGTGTATAGTTTGGGGCACGGTGATGTGCATACTACATGTAAGGGTTATGGTGCACAGCGACAGGGCACGGAATTGACTTTGTGTCTTTGGCAAACTGCATCTACAACTCTGCTACACATACACAGTAGTTATCGGTGTGATGGTGCAGACCTAATATGTGTACGATACTCTTGGTGCAGATCGTGGGTATGATCTGGTATGATCTGGTATGACTTGGGATGAGTCGAGATGAGCCGGAACGGGTACAAGGATGTGCCGATGGCGCCACCCGGTATTCGTCCGTGGAAGAGGGAAATCGTCCGACACGCGAGCATTGCGAGTCGGCGTGGCGAATTCTATACGGTGGTTGCTATGAATACGGCGGATCCCTCAAACGACGGCACACAAGTGAATCAAAGACGTCAAGGTACTGACTTTCGATCAGAGCACCCAACATGGTAAGACGAAAAGAAGCGACTTTCAACCTGACTCTACATAGTCTTTATCCGCCTTGTTCGCAGCCAAACAAGACTACACCCGCATGACTCAAGCAGGAGCATGTACACACTGAGTACTGACAAACACGCCGTGGAGTGGGCCGAAGGGATCAAGTCTTCAAACGACGCACCGCATCCATCAGCCCTAAAAAGTGGGCATAAGGGATGGCATCGGTCTAGCGCTCCCTCAACACCTATTTTGTCCCTGCATGTACGTTCGATCCATCGCCAAGCGATGCCCTTTCTTTTAGTATGTTCGCTTTTGTTTTTGCCCGGCAAAAGGCGTGGCATGACGTCGATATGAGTAGTGGATTGTAGTCTGCTTAGCTGCATGTTGCCCTGTCTGGCTGTCGTCTAACGAGAGGATAGAGAAGGAATACCACGGCGCTCAATTTGATGATTAGCAAGCAGCAGTAAAAGGCGCCGTTAGAGACGCCGGCGCCACCGCGCAAAACTGTGTGATGGGGCGCCGGGCGGCTCAACATCCCATCCCCACACGCATGGGCGTATAGCATGTTCCATGCACATGTGCAATCTGCTTAGCTGCTTAGCCTTCGACTCTTTGACCTCTGGTAGTTATTGACCGACCCACTTGACCCTTATCTCCGGTCACCGACCCGCGGTCCGGTGACCTTTGCTCATTAGTACTTATTATAATAACTAGTTGTTGTGATCCTTTACCTCGACTTGTTGCTGCCTCTATTTTGCGTGGCACTAATTTCTCTATCTCTTTTTCCCCCCCCACATCCCACCACCCATTTCCCTCGAGACGGCCGCCTTTTTCACGTCTGTAGTTGCGACGACTTCACCCCCCCTGTTCCCTCGTTCACGACGCTTCAATTGACCCCAGGGCGCGCCCTGTTCCGCCCACCATCATGGATAACCCCGGTGCGCGTGCTGCTCACCCACACGAGCATACCGAGGGCTCCACGTTTGAGCCTATCCATGCCAATCATAACGATGATGCAAGCATCAACACTCCGTCAGTCAACGATACCACTGCGCGCAACTCTCCAAAGCCAGACGAAAAGGATAATAGCCATGCCCAATACGGTGTCGATGTTCATCGTGCTGAAGCGGATTTTGCCCAATTGTCCAAAGAGCTCTCGCGCGCCAGCAACATCTCCCGCCGAATGAGTCGAGTCCAGAGCAAGCATAGTCGCAAAGATCAAGTTGCAGATGTCGAGAAGGCTGGCTCGGAATCGTCAGATGAGCCTTTTGATCTCGAGGCAACACTGCGCGGTAATCGTGACGAAGAAGAGAGAGCTGGAATAAAGACTAAGCGCATTGGTGTAATGTGGGATGGTCTCACCGTCAGTGGTATTGGTATGTACAGATCCTATGCATCAAGATTATACATAAGATTCACGCTAACAGCTGCATAGGTGGCGTCAAGAACTATGTCAAGGTACGCAGTCAGCATCAGGCTTGGCTATTAGATTAGATGCGTATGACGACTAACACCCCGCGTAGACATTCCCCGACTCGTTTGTATCATTTTTTAACGTCTTTGAGACTGCTGCCTCCATTCTTGGGCTTGGAAAGAAGGGCAAGGAGTTTGACATCTTGAAGGACTTCAAGGGTGTTGTAAAGCCGGGTGAAATGGTCCTGGTCCTTGGAAAGCCAGGCAGTGGTTGCACTACCTTCCTCAAAGTTATCAGCAACCAACGATATGGATACACAAAGATTGACGGAAACGTTCAGTATGGCCCCTTTGACGCGGACTTTTTCGAAAAGAGGTATCGAGGCGAGGCTGTGTACTGCGAGGAAGACGAGAACCACCACCCCACCCTTACCGTTGGCCAGACTCTCGACTTTGCCCTGGAGACCAAAGTGCCTGGAAAGCGACCCGCGGGCCTTTCACGAAAAGAGTTCAAGGAAAAGGTCATCAACATGATGCTGAAGATGTTCAACATCGAGCACACTCGAAACACCATCGTCGGTAACCCCTTCGTCCGCGGTGTCAGTGGTGGAGAGAGGAAACGAGTTTCCATTGCCGAAACCATGATTACGGGAGCCTCCTTGATGAGCTGGGACAACAGCACAAGAGGACTGGATGCTTCCACTGCCGTTGACTATGCACGCTCCCTGAGGGCCCTGACCAACATCTACCAGACGACGACATTTGTGTCCTTGTATCAAGCCTCGGAAAACATCTACAAGGTCTTTGACAAGGTCCTGGTTATTGATAGCGGACGACAGGCTTACTTTGGACCTGCAAAGGAAGCCCGTGCATACTTTGAAGGCCTGGGATTCCTGGAGAAGCCCCGTCAGACCACCCCCGATTACCTTACCGGTTGTACCGACACATTCGAGCGTGAATTCAAGCCTGGCATGAGCGAGAAAGACGTCCCATCCACCCCTGACGCTCTCGCCGAGGCCTACAAGAAGTCCGAGATCGCAGCCAGACTTGACAACGAGATGACTGCCTACAAAGCTCAGATGGCCGAAGAGAAGCACGTCTACGACGATTTCCAAACCGCCGTCAAGGAAAGTAAGAGGCACGCCCCTCAAAAGTCGGTTTACTCTATTCCCTTCTACCTCCAGGTCTGGGCTCTGGCTCAGCGTCAGTTCCTGCTCAAGTGGCAGGACAAGATGAGCTTGATCGTCTCTTGGATAACATCCGTGGCAATTGCCATTATCATCGGTACTGTCTGGCTGGATCTCCCAAAAACCTCTGCTGGCGCCTTCACACGTGGAGGTGTTCTTTTCATCGCTCTACTCTTCAACGCCTTCCAGGCATTCTCCGAATTAGCATCTACCATGATGGGCCGGCCTATTATCAACAAACATCGCGCCTTTACCTTCCATCGCCCGTCGGCTCTTTGGATAGCTCAAATCGGTGTTGATCTTCTGTTTGCCTCGGCGCAGATTCTCGTCTTCTCCATCATCGTCTATTTCATGACGAACCTGGTGAGAGACGCTGCAGCTTTCTTCATCTTTATTCTTATGATCATCACTGGATATCTAGCCATGACACTGTTTTTCCGAACGGTCGGCTGTCTCTGCCCTGATTTTGATGTCGCCATTCGTCTAGCCGCTACCATCATCACGCTGTTCGTCTTGACATCTGGTTACCTTATTCAATGGGAATCCGAGCAGGTATGGCTTCGCTGGATCTTTTACATCAATGCTCTGGGTCTTGGTTTTTCGGCATTGATGATGAACGAGTTCAAACGATTGGATCTCACTTGTGAGGGAGCTTCGCTTATTCCCTCTGGACCTGGCTACAACGACCTCAACTCCCAAGTCTGCACTCTGGCTGGCAGCAAGGCTGGAAATCCAATTGTTTCCGGTACCGATTATGTCAAGACCTCCTTTTCATGGGATCCATCTGATCTCTGGATGAACTTTGGTATCATGGTTGCGCTCATTGTTGGCTTCCTTCTCGCAAACGCTTTCCTCGGAGAGTTTGTCAAGTGGGGCGCAGGTGGCCGTACAGTGACCTTTTTCGTCAAGGAAGACAATGAGCTCAAGGAGCTCAACGCTCAACTACAAGAGAAGCGTAACAAGCGCAATCGCGGAGAAGCCAACAGTGACGAGGGTTCAGACCTGAAAGTGGCATCCAAGGCAGTCCTCACATGGGAAGACCTTTGCTATGATGTCCCCGTTCCTGGTGGAGAGCTACGTCTGCTGAAGAACATTCACGGATACGTCAAGCCTGGTCAATTGACAGCTCTTATGGGTGCTTCAGGCGCTGGTAAGACGACACTTCTCGATGTGCTTGCCAACCGCAAGAACATTGGCGTCATCACTGGTGACAAGCTTGTTGATGGTAAAACACCTGGTATCGCCTTTCAACGTGGAACTGCCTACGCTGAACAACTCGATGTTCACGAACCCACTACGACCGTACGTGAAGCGCTTCGCTTCTCTGCCGATTTGCGCCAGCCGTTCGATACGCCCCAGGCCGAGAAGTACGCATACGTCGAGGAGGTCATTGCTTTGTTGGAGATGGAAGATATCGCTGATGCCATCATCGGAGAACCTGAGAGTGGTTTGGCAGTTGAACAGCGCAAGCGTGTCACTATTGGTGTTGAGCTTGCCGCCAAGCCCGAGCTACTTCTCTTCTTGGACGAGCCTACCTCTGGTCTCGACTCTCAGAGCGCCTTCAACATTGTCCGTTTCCTCCGTAAACTGGCTGCTGCCGGTCAAGCCATTCTGTGCACTATCCACCAACCGAACTCTGCTCTTTTTGAGAACTTTGACCGCCTACTGCTCCTCCAGCGAGGTGGCACATGCGTCTACTTTGGCGACATTGGCAAGGACGCTCATGTTCTTATTGACTACTTCCGCCGCCATGGTGCCGAATGCCCTCCTGACGCCAACCCAGCAGAATGGATGCTGGACGCTGTAGGCGCTGGTTCTGCTCCCCGTATTGGTGATCGCGACTGGGCGGACGTTTGGACTGACTCTGAAGAGTTCGCCGAGGTCAAGCGACACATTGCCCAGCTCAAAGAGGAACGCATTGCCGCTGTCGGTAACGCTGAGCCAGTTGAACAGAAGGAGTTTGCCACGCCAATGTCGTACCAGATTAAGCAAGTCGTTAGACGCCAGAACATCGCCTTCTGGCGCACTCCCAACTACGGCTTCACCCGCCTGTTCAACCACGTCATCATTGCTCTGCTCACAGGTCTCATGTACCTCAACCTCGACAACTCTCGATCATCTTTGCAATACCGTGTCTTCATCATTTTCCAGGTTACCGTCCTTCCAGCTCTTATTCTTGCTCAGGTCGAGCCAAAGTATGCTATTCAGCGTACCATCTCCTTCCGTGAGCAAATGTCCAAGGCTTACAAAACGTTTCCATTTGCACTCTCCATGGTCGTTGCCGAGATGCCGTACAGTATCCTGTGCGCCGTTGCGTTCTTCCTCCCGCTATACTACATCCCTGGGCTCAACTCGGAATCTTCGCGTGCGGGATATCAGTTCTTTATCGTCCTGATTACAGAAATCTTCTCCGTCACGTTGGGCCAGGCGATCGCTGCCTTGACACCTAGTCCCTTGCTCGCTTCCTACTGCAACCCCTTCATCATTGTGAGTTGGCCCCTGTGTCAATGTTATGAACCACTGACTGACTTCAACTTTAGATCATCTTCGCACTCTTCTGTGGTGTCACGATTCCCAAGCCCTCCATCCCCAAGTTCTGGCGTGTCTGGCTTTACGAGCTCAACCCTTTCACACGCTTGATTGGTGGTATGGTTGTCACGGAACTTCATGGCCAAAGTGTCCAATGTACGTCCGCCGAATACAACCAGTTCAGATCCCCCCAAGGTCAAGACTGCGGGTCATACATGAGCGATTTCTTCTCTAGCGGTGGACCGGGATACATTCGCGACAACCTGACCAATGTGTGCGAGTACTGCGCTTACAAGGTCGGTGATGAATTTTACACTCCTCTTGGATACGATTTCAGCAACCGATGGAGGGACCTTGGTATATTTATCGCCTTCATTGTCAGTAACTTGGCCATTCTCTTCGTTGCGGCCAAGTACCTCAACTTTAACCGACGATAAACGCAATGCGCTCAAGAACATAATGTGTATGGGATTTCACGAGTTTCGGGATACGTCAGTGAACGTGAGAAGTTGGCACAACTTGAATGTGGGGATTCGCCGTGCTAGCATGGTACATCACATGGGTTGCACTCATAGCTACAGTGATGTCGTCTCTGAATCTCGGCACATCATCATTTCTGTTTTTTCTGCATCGGAGGATCATTTAGCTCACAAAAAGCACTGTTATTGCATAGTATAGAGGGTCACATTTGGGACAACATGTCTCCTCATCGGGTGGAGTTTGCTTATTTTTTGCCAGTCAGCGCGATTGTTTGCTGTACTTAGTTCACATATATATATACATATAGTTAATAGTTTTTGAGATATAATTACGTTGTCAATGTTTGACTGTACGTACCTTGAAGGTGTTAAAATTCTCGTTGGCTAATCAGGGCTGGATGGCGTTACTGAACTGTCGAAATTGCTCGTTTGCCTTGAACGTTTGCTTCCACGCACGCTGCTTCCAGAACGAGCGCGACTTTCCAAAACAGTAACATGGCTCCTGGTGTGAACAAAGAACTCGTTTCTTTTATTTCCCTAGCTTCTTTGCGATACTTGTGCACCACTAAACTACTATTATCGACTGTCGTTGTCAAAACGACATAGATCGACACAACGCCTTTGAAAGCATTCTTTCGCTTTGCACCATACATGTTCGCGACATTGCTAGACTTGGAGAGATAATCATGTCACCCATGCCCCCAGATATGCTAGCATATCACATCAACCAAAACATATTACCACGCCCTCCATCCTCTAGAACTCCTCTCCAGCCAGTGCAAATCAACACCTCGCAAACCAAAGAAACCACCACGTACCTAAGTCCAGTCCACCTCCGCACATCACACACCACAGGACGCAATCACTTCCCCATACCCCAAATCCAAGGCGTAGTCCCCGGCTTCCGCCGCGCTCACCACAGCGCTCAGTCCTCACATTCACTCTCCTTCCCTACCCCAACAACCCGCGATATCCTCCAAACGATCAACTCAACCAACTCATTACCCATACCAGAAACAACAACCCAACCCCCAGATCTACCAAAAACCCAATCATCATCCTACCCACGCCCCTCACCCCCAAACTTCCTCCACCCCTTCTCCATTGTCCCGTACACAACTCTCCTTTCCACCACCAATTACATCACAGCCACAGAAAACGCCATGTCAGACTCGCCACACATCTCCCTCGCAACCATACTCCCTCTGGGCCTCAAACTCGTCTTTTTGGGTACCCTCTGTGCCGCGGCGCTAGGTTTCGCGTGGACGGTAATGGTATGCTGTGTGGTTTGTTTTCCGCAGCGTCGCGAAGCGGAGCTGAGCGTTGAAGAAGGAGCGTGGCGTAGCAGCGAAGTACGGCGTAGCAGCAACAATCGAACGCAGCATAGCATCAAGCCTCAACCAGAAAAAGAAGGGATGAGGGACGTAGCAAACAACCCTTTCGCCGACCTTGCAAATACGAATGGAGATAGCGACAGAAGTGGTGCGGTGAGTTCGGGTCTAGACATACCGGCTACACCGCGGTATCGTAGGCAGAATAACGCATCGCTCGTTTCGCCACGAGATCCTTTTTTGGATCCGCCTGTAGAGGAGGAGGAGGGTGGGGTGCGTGTGGAGAGGACGGAGAGGGAGTGGGAGAGGGCGCGGGCGGAGTTTTTCGGAGAGGGGATTGCTGGGGATGAGATAGAGATGAGGGATTTGTCTGGGGTGCAGGTAGAACCGGTGCGAAAGAGGAATAGTGGGCGGAGTAGGATTGCAGCGGTTGTGAAACGAGGGTTTGAGATGCTGGATGAGGGGGTGGGTATGGTGGATGGGGTTGTGGATGATGTGGTTGCTGCAGTGGCGAGGTGGACGGATGATGAGGGATAGTAGGATGAAAGATAGAAGGTGGGAAAGGGAAAATGGCAGACATGACTAGGAGAGCATGGATGACGATGAGGTATTAACCGAATTGTTTATTCCTATACCAAGCTACGTATGTGAGACAATGCTAAAAATGTCACTGCGTCCTGGGAGGAGAAAAATGGTATCATAGAAGGCGTTGCTTGAACGCCAGTTTTACGTCTTCCACACTGAAAAGAAACAAGATACGAAAACGCCAATAATGCTCTCACTATTCAAGACAAAAAGAAAATCAATGTGATTCAAATGTCAAAATCTTTGCTCAGTAGCTCCTGCGCTTCCAGGTCCATTTTCTTGCTAATGAGACGCCCAGCTACCAGATCGCCGACTTTGTCTACCAGTTTTTCTCGCACATCTTCGAAATTGGGTGCTGTGTATGTTCCTTCTCTCTTTGCCTTCTCGGCTCGTTCTCTGACGGCCTTTGGAACGAGAGCCGGGAAGGAACCGATGAGTACTTCGAGCAGTATCTCCGCGTCATGGCGCGTAACCTCATCGGCCAACTTCTTGGCAAGGAAATCCTCACTATACATTTTTATATTGGGTAGTATCAATCCTCGCAGCGCATCAGAAGGACCAAGGACAAGAAGCAGAGCTTGCAAGGCGCCAAAATGCGCGCCCACTGTTTTATCAGGGTCCATGAATTGCTTTAGACACGTGCGGGCGATTCGGGACTTCAGTCCCTGGTTTGATGACGAGTACTTTCTGCAAATATTCCGGAGAAGGTGTGCTGCAAGTGTTCGCAGGTAAAAGGCGTCCGAAGCAGCGCGGCTATAGTCGGGTACCGCCCCGCCCAGAGTCTCTGAAGAGGCATTAGAGGGCGCAGGTTGATTTGCTGGTCCTAGCTTTCCGCCAATGCAGCAAGTCAGGATAGGTGGGACCATGTAGGCAATGTATGGGTCGAGATAGATGGCCTGGTTGTTTAACAAGGCCTCAGAAGCGCGCATCATTTGGCTGAGTATGAACAAGTTCTTCATATTGTGTGTAACCTTTTCGGCTATGAAGCTCAAAAGATATGTTGTCAGCTGATGGATACCGGGCTCTGTCGAAATTGCGGCCAGGGCTGCATTCTGCCACTCAATGTTTGTCTCATCGACAAGAGCGCCCGACAGCTTGTTGAACAGCTCTTGGGATTCCTTGGATAGCACATGCTTGACAAGGGGCTTGACGTTGACGTTGTCGAGCCCGTTTGCAGCAGCTAGATGTGGGTTTGCGTTGGGGCCCTTGGGTAACAAGTCGCCAGTGTTGGTATTCGGGTTCTGGGGTATAGAGGGCTGGACTCCCTCCACGGCGAGCCAATGGGCTGGGCAGAGTTAGAAAATGGGGGGCAGGGCAAGTGACGGGGCATGTAGCTTACCTGTGAAGGTGATTTCTCGTGGCACCTTGGGCAGGGGAGCGTTGATGAGCTTTTCGAAATCGACCTCCTCATCTTCAACATAGTACAAGGGCTGGCCAGGCCCCAGTGAAGCCTCGCCGAAGCGCAGCGGCCGGGTAGATTCGTAGCCGTAGAGAGGCTCCACATTGAGCACCTTGAGGGCATTGGATATGTCCTGCGTGCTTAGTGTTGTCCGCTTCCCGTGTCGCATAAACTTGAGCGCTTCTTCCAGGACCTGGGCCAGACGAAAGTCGACGTCACGGGCTAGCTCTTCAACGACGTTGTCGGCAAGTGAGGCAATGCCTACTGATTCGGCCACGTCTCGTACATTGTCGGGGTTCCAGACTGAGGACATGATGGTAGAGTGTCGTGCGAGGCGCGGAGGGAATCAAGCGGAACGCAGGAAGGGAGCCGATGGGAGGGCGGAGAGGGTATCACCGGACGGGTGACGCAGCGGCGGAATTTGTGATTGTTAGCCCTACGACCCAGTGAAGCACATGCCGGACGCGCGCATGCGCAGACAGTGGGAAGACGTCGCCGCGGAGATTGGAAGCTGTGTATCCCCGTGTTTCATATACGACGGCGCGATTGTGATAGTCGTAGTCGTGTTGTCACTGCTGCTACTGTAGAGAGAGGTGAATTGACCCGCCCCAGGCTTCGATTGGCTGCAAGGCGGGTCTGCGCGCGCAGAGGGAAGTCGCGATGGGTGACGGTCCTCGCGTCAGTCTTGGCGCGCCACTTCATCGGCCATCGTCTCCCTCACCACTACTACTACACACTCGCCCACCCACCCCACAACCGTCCAACTTACACGCACACCTTCACACACACATCCCCGTTCACATTCACACCGATGGATGTAGTCGCTGCGTATGCACGCATCCACGTCAACAAGTGTGTAGGTGTGCGTAGAGCAACACCGCCCTTCGATTGGCCTGCTGTTTGCTTCACTTGAGAAATAGACAAACATTGCCGCTTCACCACGTGCTAGCCTCTGCCGACTCCTGCACCAGCGGCGCCAGAAATGCGCCGATGGCGGTCCATATTGCCGTCCTTCTGGAGGACCGCTTTTCCCGCTGATAACCCGATCCAAAGAGAATATCTCGCGTATCGACGAGGTCCTGGTCTTGTGTAGACCGCCATTTGCAAATGCTTCCGGGGAGGGAAAGCAAAGCTTACCCAGCAGTGCCATCGACTGGCTGTCACGGCTGCGGTCCGTCTTCCCCGCCGCCTCGTAGTCAAGAAACAGTGCCCATCCCTGCTTACCGTTGTGCCACAATTGCTCAACTGTAGCTCGCCGCCACATTGTTTCCTTCCCTTCCTCAGGTTCGGTATCTGGCCCGTAACCCAGGTCTCTGTAACAGGCCAACATCTTGATTTGCCATTCGTGTTCTTGTTCTACCAAATTGCCTCAGCTTCAGCTTCACCCGCTGCTTCGGACTTGATGCTGCCTAACGCCACCCGTGTATCCCGCTCGGCCCGCTGTGACTCTGGTTGTCTCTTCCGTGGCTGTTTGGGTACGCCAGCTCGACAGACTCCCGTGTAAGCCACTAGACAGTGCCTGGAGGCTTTGGATTGGAAGCGTAACAAAACCGCGCCTCAGACTATTTAACCTCGAGACTACTTTAGCGTTTTGTCCCGCACAACACACTTCCCCTTCTATTCATCCCAACCTTTATCGAATCATAATTTCAAGCTGTCTTTCCTGAACCTCAAACATTGCCTCTATCCACTTCGCCGTCAATTCCATTTCTTTCACCATGGCCATGTTGAATCAATCTTTGACGGGCAGAACATCTGATCCCATCGACACACGCTCTTCCCATCACGGATCGAGTTTGGCTATCACTATGCCACCGCAAGATCGCTCGAGAGATGACCCCCCATCTCCTCCCCCTCAACCTCCCCCTAGCCCAGCTCACTGGAGTCGTCTCGTCTCTGTAAGTGGTATTGCAAGAAACATTGTATTCAGCTAATGCTCTACCAAGATTGACACACTGGCCCCACTTGACATCTAAGTTCTGGCTCAGTAACGTCAGGTCGGTAAGCAGCCACTCTTTATCCAGTTCGACTCTGTCTAACGTTTCTCCCAAAGTAAACTGCGATTCCTCACATCAGCATTTTCCATAGGCAATAATCCGCACCACCTTTGGGTCGGCTTATCGTACTATGTGCATCAGACCTTCACCGCCACGCCAGATTTTGTCAAGTATCTTGTGCCAGTAACATGGGTAGTGTAGGCTGATTCAGATATGGGTTTTGGCAACCTTGGGCCTTTCTTTGTTTCACTTATCTAGGGTGTGATTTGGGTGTTGAGGCGTTCGGTTAAATGAGTAACTGGGTGTATTCTTGCACAGCTCAAGTACGCGGACATACCTGTTCGATTTTGTAACGTACCGCCTAGCGGCGCCTTTCTCCCCAAATGCAAACATTGTTTACATGATATTCCTTGTGTTCTGGTATACCTAGCCACTTGTCTCCCTGCTCTGCTGGAATAGATGCAAGGGCCAATGGCCTAATAAACCCTGGTTAGTGGCAGCAGCGGATGAGCTAGTCTAGCAAGACTACAGGCTCCACTTCGCGAGCCCGGGTATCTGATAATGTTCCGGTCAGAACATTACACAGTAAGACTACTAAGCCTGATTGCCATGCCCAAGTATTATCCCCTGGTGTTACACTCCACCTCGCTTACTGATTAGCGCGCACTAGTCGCGTGGTCTTTTCGGCTTTTCCAAATTCGAAAACCCAGACAGTGCGGCTCCACCCCAGTTCACTGTACACCCGATCAGATATACATGCACCCTTTACAAGACAAGCATTTCCCCTCTCCTTGATTGTCTTATGCAATCTTACTTATACTGCAAATACACAAAAACCACGTTGTCTCCCGGGTTTTGCTGCGAGAGATATCCAGGTCTTGGCACGGATCGACAAGTCCCCACTATCCGCCACCAGCGATTACCCCACGGCATCTGCCACTTGGTAGCTCCTTTAAAAGAACACTCTTTCCTCACCTTACCTTCATTATTGGCCTTTTACCTCCGAACCGCACTGGAATCCCCCAATCACGTGCGGAATCATCATGGCCGCCAATGAGCAGGATACCACGGAACAGATTCTCCAATGGTACTCCAATCTCTACAGTCGTCGGGTCGACCTGGTAGGCGACTTCGCAGGGAGCGAGAGATTTCTCGTACACGGCGAATCACTTTTACTCCAGTGTTTTAGCGACCCACATCTCGACTTCGACCCAGGCTACCAACTACTACACGCCTCGTACACTGTCGAGAAATATCTGCAAGGCCTTCTGTCCCGCAGCTGCAACTTTCACATTGCTTTCTTTGACGAGCACCAAGAATTCTGTGTACCTCAAGATGCCTCTCCCGCCGTCAGCGAGAAGTATCTGCTTGCACGAGCAGCTATCATTCGTCATCTCAAGGTCAATCTGCCAGACGCTGTCCCAGAGACTGAAGTCCACACTTTCGCTTCAGTTTCTTCAGATGAGTTTGCAGAATACCTACGTGCTACCGATATCTACTTTGTGCTTTGTCACGATGGAGCTTCATTCACAGATATCCGTAAGAGGATGTTACTACACAAGGACCTCGGCTCTCTTAAGGATGAGGTCCCAGGTGCAAAGGGCCGTCATCAAAGCTACAAGTCGTCATTTCGCACTTTTATCTACAGCATGATGCAGCGCGGCTACAGCGCTGCACTCGTGAATGGGCTTGAGTGGCAGGACACAAAGGTGGTCACGACAGTCTTGGAGCACGCACGTTCCTTGACCCTAGACGTTTCATCAGCAGTAAGTATATATTAAGCATGAACACTGCTATGTCGCGTTCTGCGTCGTTCATTGATAAGGTGCTGATACAAATTATAGAATCATCATCCTGAGAGGAATGTCACTGACATTGTCGATCTCTCTCACATGCGTGGATTCCTACAGACAATCAGGGAATCATGTGATCAGCTTCTGACTGAGCGTGAGTATCTGACAGTGCTCGTCGCTTCGAAACTTTCAGCCTCAAACGCGAATCTGTCATCTACCCTACTACAACAGGTAGCGGCCTTGTCAGAGCTGGCTTTGTCGGAGCGCATATTGAAACATCAAGAAATTCCTGACGAGATCAACAACTTCATTCTAGAGTTTTGTCATGAAGCGCGCAGGTTCATCAGTAGTCCGGCATGGACAGAGGCTTTCGCTGGTCATCCAGATTGTGACTTAGCTGACCTTATCGACGGACGATTGCTCGCTTCTTATGCCTGCAAGGCCTCGCCAAAGCCCAATGAGCACTTTGAGGTCCTTCTTAAAGCCACAAAAGCTCTGAACAATCTTGATATCCCATTGCAACCAAGCACGTCCTCTGCTGCAGATGGCTCGCCCGAGACCAGCAGTGATGATGAAAGCTTCAAATACAAGGTTCTTCCCTTCTCGAACGACGTCTTCGACCCCCACCTAGCCCCAATTCACCTTGACGTAGCTCGGTCGAGTGGAAAACCAGACCCGACATCGGCTACCATCTTTCGTGAAGTCACACATTGGCACAGCCAAAAGTCTTTGAACCAAAAGGCGAAAGTGGTCGTAGAAAAAGACCCAAAGATTGCGAAGAAAGCACTTCGCCGGAACCAGTTTTTCATGGCTGAGATGACTTCGTACGCTGCCAGTCTGACGAATGCTGTTGGTAAAGTTCTAGACCCAGAGACGATTACCCTTGGAGACAAAGCGAAGCCTGCGCCATCGAACACAGAAAACAAAAGACCAAAACAAGCGCAGAGACAAAGCACCAAGAACATCAATGCCTCAAAACAAGCCATGCTGGACAATATTGCAGCAAGCTCTAAGCGCAAAGATGAAGAGAATGCGAAGCAATGGTATCAGGCTTGGACAGTTTCTTGCGCAGGATTCGAAAAGCAGGTTGACCTGGCGTCTCGGTACAACAAAGCTAGGCAATATTTGGCGGACCGCAGCGAGGCTCAGCGTCAGGTTATTGGTGCAGATGTGCGCATCTACATGCTAAACGTTCTCTTAGAGATGTGGGTACGTTACTGCCGTGATAATGCGAAGGACAAGGGTTTGTATGTTGCAGCACTCTTATTCGATACTGCACGGACTCTCTGTAACCACGAGACTGTCACCAAGTCCATTGCGATGTGTCTCAAAGCTGCTATCGAGCGATTGAAGCTGCCGAAGCTTCAGGTGCCGTCAGCTCAAGGCGATCGGAAGCTGCCCTTTAAATTTGTAAGTGGATTGATGCTTGAAGCACTTCTTAGATGCTTGGGTTACTTGCATGAGCTTGCATGATCCGGAGTGTTTTATTTATCTCAAATTGCTGATGCTGACTTTTACAGGCATTGGAAGATACGTTAGTGTCCGATCTTGCTCTGACGCTGTCCCCAGAAGAGTTCCAGCTTCTCCATTGTGGGCCTTACTTTGATAGGACGATCGACTCTGCTCCAGACTCTCGTGTACCATTCGAGCCAGATGCGTGGCAACGACGGGTGCTGGATGAGATTGATGCTCGACGAAGCCTTCTTGTCATTGCACCAACTTCGGCTGGTAAAACCTTCATATCATTCTACGCCATGAAACAAGTCTTGGAAGCCAATAATGAGGATGTTCTGGTCTATGTTGCACCAACCAAAGCCCTAGTCAACCAGATCGCCGCCGAAATCCAAGCTCGATTTTCGAAGAATTACAAGTACAGTCAATCTGTATGGGGTATTCACACACGAGATTACCGTATCAACAATCCCACTGGATGCCAGATTCTGGTAACAGTGCCCCATATCTTGCAAATCATGCTGCTGGCGCCCAGCAATGCCAAGGGTTGGTCTGAAAGAGTCAAATGGATTATCTTCGATGAAGTTCACTGCATTGGGCAAGCCGAAGATGGCCTAGTTTGGGAACAATTGCTGCTCATGGCTCCTTGCCCCATCATCGCTCTCTCTGCGACGATTGGTAATGCAGAATCCTTCAACGACTGGCTCTCAGCTAGCCAAAAAGCCGCTGGTAATGAACTAGTGATGGTACAGCATCCGCACAGATATTCTGATCTTCGCAAGTTTGTCTATACGCCGCCTCCGAAGCGTGACCCAGCGAGCTACTTGCCTCTTCCGGCTAACCGGTCATTCGCTCAGCTCGGTCTCGACGAGCATGCAGATTTCGCATTCTTGCATCCTGTTGCCAGCTTGATAAACAGGAGCCGAGGTCTTCCCAGTGATCTGTCTCTCGAAGCCCGGGACTGCCTCACTCTGTGGCAGACTATGTGCAAACATCAAACTGATGAGTACCCTGTCGATAAGTCACTCGACCCCTCTAAAATTCTCCCTACCATCATCAAGAAGGCAGATATCATCAAGTGGCAAGATGGCCTCAAGAAAATCCTTACCGCTTGGATGGCGGATGAGGCATCACCTTTTGAGAAGGTGCGCAGTGACCTTAGCAGTTCCATCAACCGTCTTCATGAAGCATCGCCCACCGATGAAGTCAAGGAAGATAGTGCCGACAACAACGGAGAGGTGGACGAACTAGGAATGGAGATCAACCATGACATTTCCAGCATACTACCACTGCTAGCCGATCTGCAGCAACAAGATGCGCTTCCAGGTATCATCTTCAACTACGACCGTGCGATTTGCGAGAAAATGTGCCGAACGCTCATGAAGCAACTTGTAGATGCTGAAGTTGCCTGGAAAGAGACAAGCCCCAAATGGAAAATCAAGCTGCAACAATGGGAGGACTGGAAGAAAGAGGTGCAGAGACGAGAGAAGCAGGGTCTTCGTGGAGATGCTTCCAAGGGCATGACCAAGCAGGACCAAATGAAGGAGGCTGCTAGTGTTGAAGTAAGCACTTTTGCCTCGTTTGATCCAAACAAACCTCTTGATGGATTTCACTTTGCCGATCATAAGAAGTTGTCTCAGGAGGAGTTTGCTGTGCATGCAAAGGAGCTGCGTTACCGTGGCGTAGAGGAGTGGCTGATTGATGGCCTTATGCGTGGAATTGGAGTCCACCACGCTGGTATGAACCGAAAGTACCGGTACTGTGTCGAAATGCTTTTCCGCAAGGGCTATCTGCGCGTGGTCATCGCCACTGGTACTCTGGCCTTGGGTATCAACATGCCGTGTAAGACTGTAGTCTTCTCAGGAGACTCTGTCTTTTTGACAGCTCTCAACTTCCGC